CTCATGCGTGCATACATCGACACAACGACGCAAAAGGCAGTAGGGTTCGTCACACTTTATTGATCACTTACAGGTCAAGACTGTTCGAAAAAGCTTGCAAGATAGGGTACGTCTTGTCATGTAGGTATCGCTGTTACATTAGGAATAGTCGTCCTATAGGCAGAAGGACTATGCTGTATTATTTCAGAACGAGGTAGCCGTATTTTTTCATCAGTGTCTGTTCTGGGACCCAGTTCTTGCTGTACTCGATGTTATAACCGTAACGAGGCAAGGCAGCAAACTCTACGAGATAAATCCTTTTGCCAGAGCGTTTTGTCTCTTTGATCACGCGTTGAGGGACATCGCCTGGTTCTTGAGTGAGTCGAATGGTCCAGTCTCGAAAGAGCGTCCACTCTTCTTCCTCGTCACCGCTGTCGTAGCCGTACTCTTCACTATCATCAGATGAAGCCGGGTCGGAAGACACGTGCGAGCTTGCATCACTCTCAGGACCGCTCTGATCGCTGTCGGTTTCTGTCGTCGACTCTTCCTCCACAGCAGACTCATCTTCGTCTGAGACGTTTGTTTCATCTTGTGACATGACTGAATACTCATCTTCCCCATCGTCTTGTTTATCTTCCTCGTCGGTCGGTGAATCAAGTGCGTCAGTGTCATGTTCATACGATATGTCGGAGTCGTCGTCAAAAACATCCCGCTTTCGGCAAGATCCCGTCTCGGGGTCAACGACGACTTCCTCCGAGGCCACCACTGACTCGTCTCGGTGTTTTCTTTCTTGATGACGATCGAGGTTGAACTTACGAGCAAACTCTTTGCCACATACTTCGCAGACGAAAGGCATGATGCTTCCTTTCTCTTCGGTGGACAACTGAGAAATGAGGCGATGTGTTGCTCCGGAGTAAAATATTACTCCGGAGTGAGTATTAAATCCGTTTTGGAGTAAATTTTTTACTCCGGAGTAATATTTTACGGAGTAATACTCACTCCGGAGTAATATTTTACTCCGGAGCAACACATCGCCTCATTTCTCAGTTGTCCACCGAAGAGAAAGGAAGCATCATGCCTTTCGTCTGCGAAGTATGTGGCAAAGAGTTTGCTCGTAAGTTCAACCTCGATCGTCATCAAGAAAGAAAACACCGAGACGAGTCAGTGGTGGCCTCGGAGGAAGTCGTCGTTGACCCCGAGACGGGATCTTGCCGAAAGCGGGATGTTTTTGACGACGACTCCGACATATCGTATGAACATGACACTGACGCACTTGATTCACCGACCGACGAGGAAGATAAACAAGACGATGGGGAAGATGAGTACTCAGTCATGTCACAAGATGAAACAAACGTCTCAGACGAAGATGAGTCTGCTGTGGAGGAAGAGTCGACGACAGAAACCGACAGCGATCAGAGCGGTCCTGAGAGTGATGCAAGCTCGCACGTGTCTTCCGACCCGGCTTCATCTGATGATAGTGAAGAGTACGGCTACGACAGCGGTGACGAGGAAGAAGAGTGGACGCTCTTTCGAGACTGGACCATTCGACTCACTCAAGAACCAGGCGATGTCCCTCAACGCGTGATCAAAGAGACAAAACGCTCTGGCAAAAGGATTTATCTCGTAGAGTTTGCTGCCTTGCCTCGTTACGGTTATAACATCGAGTACAGCAAGAACTGGGTCCCAGAACAGACACTGATGAAAAAATACGGCTACCTCGTTCTGAAATAATACAGCATAGTCCTTCTGCCTATAGGACGACTATTCCTAATGTAACAGCGATACCTACATGACAAGACGTACCCTATCTTGCAAGCTTTTTCGAACAGTCTTGACCTGTAAGTGATCAATAAAGTGTGACGAACCCTACTGCCTTTTGCGTCGTTGTGTCGATGTATGCACGCATGAGACACACACATACGTGACATAGATATGAACTACTAGTTCACTTACTCCGGAGTAATCATTTACACCGACGGTTATGTATATGCATATGCATATACGATATATCTACACATCATGCACGTGAGGATACACGATACGGACAACCATGACAAATATACTTACTTGCTACAAATAAACTTACTCCGGAGTAAAATTTGTACTCCAAAACGGAGGAATAGTTACTCCGGAGTAATATCTTACTCCAAAAATACTTACTCCGGAGTAATGTTGTACTCCGGAGCAACACGTTTATATCGATATATGTATATGTATATGTATATAGATGCACACACACACACACACGCGGGCGCGCGCGCACACACTCCGACGATTATGTATATGCATATACGATATATCTACACATCATGCATGTGAGGATACACGGTACGGACAACCATGGCAAATATACTTACTTGCTACAAAAGAACTTACTCCGGAGTAAAATTTGTACTCCAAAACGGAGGAATAGTTACTCCGGAGTAATATCTTACTCCAAAATACTTACTCCAGAGTAATGTTGTACTCCGGAGCAACACGTTTATATCGATATATGTATATGTATATGTATATATAGATGCACACACACACACGCGAGCGCGCGCGCACACACTCCGACGGTTATGTATATGCATATACGATATATCTACACATCATGCATGTGAGGATACACGATACGGACAACCATGGCAAATATACTTACTTGCTACAGAAGAACTTACTCCGGAGTAAAAATTTTACTCCAAAACGGAGTAATAGTTACTCCGGAGTAATACCTTACTCCAAAAATACTTACTCCGGAGTAATATTTTACTCTGGAGCAACACGATTATATCGATATATGTATATCGATAAATGTATATATGTACATACACACGCATACCCATACATATTCGATCTTCGCTCGCTGTCGACAGACTTGGACTTGAACGCAGGTTTGTCTCCGCAAGTACGCCGGTTTCTGTTGCCACTTTATACAATTCTCTGACCAACACCCACAGAGCTTCCACCAATCGCCATGAAGTACGTCACCTACTTCACATGCAGACCAATCGACTACTCCGGATCCGCAGAATAAGTCACCATCTCTTGCCATGCGGCCAATCATCTACTACAGACGTTAACTTTAACCACGCCCCCACTTCATGATGCAATCCCGACGGTCCCGCTGTCATGTTGAATAGATTACTGTCAAAGTAACAATATCGGTAGGCGTGGTATCATCCTTCAAAAATCGTTGCCTTGACAACAGATTTCCCAGGTTACCGGGTTCAAAAGTGCACGCTGACCTTTATCTGACCTCCTCCATTGACGTCATGACACCCTCATAATAAATCATATTAAAATATACATAAATTAATTCATAATTGTACATAAATATTTCAGTTATTAATAAATCAACGTAGTCTTTAAAATTAAAAAAATGCATAAATTTGCATAAATTACCAAATTTTGCATAAATTTACATAAATTACCATTTTTCCGCACACCTGTGTAAATTTGGATATATGAATAAATTTGCATAAATTTGCATAAATTTGCATAAATGCATAAATTGGTCCAGACAACCCTGTATTCTACTCTGTTACAAATGAATGTGAAAGCTTTACCAACGTTTATTAAATTTCACTCACACTAAAAGCACAAAAACATAAAAGGTGAGCTTGCTTGTGACAGCTGTTGTCGCACGTCCTATCCAGAGAATACTAAGTAGGCTGGTATCAAAAGGTCCAGTTCTTCTTATAGTAGATGTCAACTACAGTATCTGTCTGCAGATCTGAACACCATTTGTAAAGTTACAACACAAACTATGCATTGACCATCGAATGCATTGGTAAAACTGTCAGATATGTTCATAATCACAAAGAAGCACACAAAATCATACCATGAAATGTTTTGTATGGAACTTACATCGGTTCATATCTGCTAACATCACAATGTTGTCGTGCAAACCTGTTACGATAGACTGGCCAAAAGACCACACCACACACCTGTTACACATGCAATAAACCACAGAAAACTTGCAACACTCATCTATGAAGCGTCGTACATGTACAATCAAATGATTTTGGCAGATACGAAGAAAACGTACAGCGATATTTAAGCTTCAGCATTTTAACATTAAACACACTCGGGACTTACAAGATCATTCTTTCAGTAACATTGAAAATACCATATCAATGATATACAAAGATGTGAACTTCAAGAACTACAGTAACCTGCAACAAAAGATTTCTACCTCAGTGCAAAATGCTCACTGACAGTACGAAGCCATCTAGGAAAGGCAGTAGAACTCTACTCCCCAGTTTACCATACTATCAGGTGCACCAGGTGTTTCGGTGCCCTTCATACAGTACTCGTGAGCGGCGTTGTACCCAACCTTCTTCTCACCCTGTTTCATGTATATGCCTGGTACGCCGCTAAAGTCGGTTCCTGTAGGGAGCCTTATTTTCACATGGTTGTTCCCTGCGCTCACGAACTCTATACCTGTATACGTGGCAGGGCTGATTCCGTTAGGTCTATTGGGAAACGTCCACTGCCATGGCCAGGTAGGTCCCGTGTAAAGAGTAGATCTGTACGCAGTAGGACTAGCAGGGGTATCTGTAGTTTCGTAAGTCGCAGCAGTGTAATCTGTGGTAGGATTTGTAGCAGTAGCCCTAGCAGTGGTAGTATTGGTAGTGGTACCAGAGGTATCATCTGTGGTACCTGTGACAGGATTTGTTGTAAAATTTGCAGCTTTACTGTCCCTATAATCATAAGCAGTTCTAAAGAGATTGTTGCTACGTTGGTAATAACACCTTGCAGTTTTAGCCTGCACAGTCAGCAGTACAGTGTCCTCTGGGTTACCATGGAGCCGACGGGGGGGCATGCCGTCTCCCGGACTGGTCATGACCGGACCGGGACACTTAAACTCCAGACAACCGAAACCGGTTGAGCTATTCCCTAAGTCGATTTCGTCATCCCGAATCCCGTAAACTTTCCCGGTATTGTCAGGGTAACCTCCCCCTCCCTCGCTTTTTGTACGGATTTCTACTTTACCGTTTGGTCTGTTGAAACTAACCTTAACTTTGATGAAGCACACAGTCTTGTTACTGTCTTCCCTGTTATACCAGGATAGCTCGTTGATGGGTTCATTGTACTGTGCCTCATCAAAGACATAAGGAGGGAAGATGTAAGGTTCGTATTCTGTGTTGTAGAAAGCAATGTGATTATGTTCAATGGGTGCAGCGTTACACAGGGACTGCTGTGTGTAGAGAGGACCATTGTCTGATGCGGTCGGTTTGAACACATCAAACGAGATGATCGGGAACCGGGGATCATCGTTATGTTCCACACTGTTCTCTAGGTCAGTGGGCCATTTTGTGGGATGGGGCTGATCCCTAACGTTTAGGGGTTTCAGCGTACGGTTTCCGTGACTAACCAGTACGGACGCGTTAAACTCCCTCCCGGTGGGCTCACAGAACGTCTCTACACACGCGCCGTTAGCACCTACTGTTAGGGTCTGATACCGACTTAAACCGCTACTCGAACCCCACCAGCTCGAGGTGTAATCAGGTGTGTCTACGGTGAGTACTATTGCTTGTGCTCCACGTTCTTGGTCACTTTCTTTTGCGTTTTTAGCTGCATCTTCGTCTTTGTACACTCTGACTTTGACCCAACATCTCCTATCCGTAGTCTCACGTTTGTCACAGTTGATTGGGTACCCTTGATATTCAAATTCGCCTATGATAAACGTCTCTTGTCGTTTCCCCCTCCTTGATGCCGTCCCTGTCCTCAGATTACCCACCAACTCCCACTCCCCAGACCTGGGGTTCATGGACCACAACTTGCAATTCAGGTTTCCATTTTCGTCAACATCACCTGGATCGATGTTGACCTGTTGAGGATCTATTTGCATCGTCATCTTCCCTCCCATAACTACAGGGTTTCCTACATCATCTTCAAAGTCCATAGAAAACATGCCAAAAGTGCGCAAAGCCTGCTGGGTCCCCTCCTCATCAACTGTGGTCAGATCGCTCTGAATGGCGTCAAAGTCGTCGGGGTTTCTGGGGTCTATAAAACCCACACTAGCCTGAACTGTGCCTGTGTAAGGATCGCCATTCTCGGTAAAGAAAGAGTTAGGAGGGATGTCTACTTCTGCTACCGGGGGCTGACCCGGCAGGGTGCCAAGGCTTATGGTATTGGTTTCGGAAGCGTTAAGGGGGATGGCTGGCGGCCGGACCTGCATCCTTACTGTGTAGTACGGCTCAATGCCTTCTTCAACGGGCAGAACTTTTGTTGTCGTGACTAAGCTTTTGTAAAAATCCTTAAATGTGACAGTCACCTGATCAACTGTCAGTGGTACATTCAGCTCGAATTCACCTGTCTGACTTGTATAGCCCTGAATTTCGCCGTCCATTATAATGTCACCTTGGTCTAGAGGTATCTCTGTACCATTCTGCATGCCAAAAGCTCGACCACTAACCCTTTTCGTTAGTTCTACACATTCCCCACACCCACAACTTGTCGTTACAGTTACATCCAAACTATAATCACTGCACTGTACTGTGCGAGTTGCTGACGCTACCGGTGAACAGCAGAACTTCTTGTTGTCCAGACAGCTCTTGTCGTCGCCGCCCAGGTCCCCCGCACACTTTTGCCGTGAGCAGGTCCCGATGTCGTACCTGGCCGTGCTGGTGTCTGGCTGGACACAGTCGTTGGGAAGGTCGATAAGCTTGTTGGCCGGCGTCGAGTCGCACATTGGTGTGCCGTTATCTAAGTGACAAGACGTGGACGATCTTGGTAAAACGTACATGTGCTGCAATGATCAGTATGGCTTTCCTGCCTTACGATTTCAATTTCCAACGTATATGCTGCCTAAAGCTTTACCCACTATATACTTCATGAGCCATTCCTTGAGATTTAATAGCAACCATTACACGAAACATTACGGTATTTAGGCAATTACAAAACTGACAAAAAGTTGACAAGCAACTTACCATAAACAGTGAGCAGCGCCCCTTTTGAGTACTTGGCCCCCGCGTCGCTGTTGGCCCGGCACTTGTAGACCCCCGAGTCTTCCTCCTGTAGGTCGTACAGAGTTAGGGTCTCGTTGTACCGGTACACGTCCTCGTCCAGCACACGGTCGTCTTTGAACCTGAACAGAAATCATATATCAAGACATGCCAAGGCAACAAGTCCTCAAAATATTATAGGATAACAGATGTTTGATCTTAATCACTGCCTTGAAATTTTAGCTAGCTCGTTTACATTATTACTTGCACCGAATCAGTGACGCCAGAGCGACATGACAAAGATTGTATGTTTTGACAACATCATCAAACAAGGATTTTCTGGACATGTTGATGTCGTGAGGGAATGTCTTACCATTCATAGTAAGAAGGCATCGGTGTTCCACGGGCTCTGCAGCAAAACGTCACGTCCTGTCTGACAAGCCGGACCTTTCGTACTGGATTCTCTTCCATGACCGGTGGCCCTGAATTAGAAAGAAACAGACAAGCTTGCAATGACATTAATCATCTATTATTGACATTTGCTTGGGGACAATCTTCAAGTCTCATATGCCTGCGAAGATTCTATGTTGCCACCATTGGGTCCAACACCCTCGTGAGCTAACGTCTGGCATTTGTTCTTGTGACCATCTAGTTAATGACTATTCAATTAATGAGAATAACGTGTTCGTCGTCAGTGTAAGGGCCTATAATGACCAGGTTTCCATGAGAGAAGGACAGTAAAACTCACCCATGACCCTCATCTTCACTGCAACAGAAGATGTCTCGTTGCCCAGTTGAGTAGAGTTGGCGTACTCCTCGAAGTATCCCCCTCTCCTGACCAGGATGAGAGTGCCCTGTGAGCAGGCTCCGGCCAGGGCGAAGCGGCCAGTTGAGTTGGTCGTAGAGGCGACTTCCCACGGCTTCTCGGCGAGGTAGATCTCTGCACCATCCAGTGGAGCGTTTCTGGTGTCCGTCACACTGCCGTCCAGGACGTGGTTGTCACACATGCAGGCGTCACAGGCGGCGTTTAACGTACCGACTGTGCAGACGCGGGAACAGTCTGAAACAGTAATGTTAAATGTCATGTCATGTCGCATTTGCTCCACTGTTTATGAGCTACAATGCATTGCAACATCATCAATGTCTGATCCATAAATGGTAAGGTGCTTATTAAGAAACATGAATATGAGCTACATAAGGCAGACTTCCACAGTACATCATCATCCACATTATCGCCGCCATCATCAACATCATCATCAAAATCATCATCATGAACATCATCACCATCATATGCAATAAGGTACTGACTGGGACATTTCCAGTCACTACAGGGCCTGGCCTGCTCGTCGCGGCCGGCACAGTCGAGCCCCCCGTCCGCCGGTGGAGGGTTGGTGCACGCCCGAGTCCTGCGCTGTACTCCACCGCCACAGGTGACGTCACAGGCTTGCCATGCCGTCCAAGTTGTCCAACTTCCATCCACCATTATGACCAATGGGCGGGGTTGTGGGGTGGTGTCTGATGTCGTATTGGTGCCGTGTAAGTTACCAGAAGACAGTGGTCCTGCATAACAACAGCACAATAATGTTTTTATGTAGCGTGTATAAATCATGACTTATGGCAATCCAATAACCTTAAAACCCCACCCCTCAACCTAAGCCCTAACCCTAAACCCTAGACCATAGACCCGAAAACTTAACCTTACACCCTAACCTTAACACGATGTATCACGTCTTAGCACGCCGTTCTTCCCAGATTAAAGGGACAAGGCGAGTTGATAATCTTAACGATTAATCCGGAATAGTTCACAAATTTGAGCACATGTCAGATATATACCTCCAGTGTTGATCACACCCGTGACCACCAGCACACCGACCACCATCCCTGCCACGGCGAGACACGCAAAAATCAGGGCAGAGATGAAGGCAGGGCGCTTCGTCCAGGGTTTTCTCGCGGATGTAGGAGCAGAAGTCCCATAACGATTACTCGATGCCCCCTTGCTGTGAAACGGGAGCTCTCTGTGGTCCGTCCTGAACATTTCCATCTCGATCCGATCCTCGTTGATGTACGTCTGTTCTCCTAAATTTGCGTTGGCCGTGCCTAAACGCAGGTAAGAGACATTCACATTATTAAATACTAGTACATCCTCACATTCCTCACAAACTTAACCGAAGCTAATGGATACTGCCTTGCCACTGTAGGATCTGGTTGTAGATTACGTCCATGGCCATGCGACACTATCTTGGCTTACGATTAACGTACGAGTTACGATTTTGTCACGTAAGATCTGCTTTGAAATTAGCACAATACAACATGATAGCAGTTGTCCTAACCTTGATTATTGGGTTCTGTCAGCGGCTCCAGCGGTGTCCTGCCCGCCGGACCTCCCATGGCCAGCATCCTCGAGCTCTCTCCAGGAGCACGAATGGGCGGAAGTACGTATACGGCAGGTGATGGGATTGGTGTCTCAGAGGCAACCTGGTTGTTCTTCTTCATCTTCCGTTTCTTCTTCTTTTTCTTCTCCTTTCTCTCTTCTGTAGTATTGCGAGAGGTGGACTGTTAGACCTGATATTTAAAATCAAGTCACGAATGCTAATAATGTTAGACTATTTTGCATATAACCCACAACAATTTATTCAATTTACTCACCCAGCATATACAGAAAAAACTTTTGAGCTCCTCTGATCTCTCAACGAAATTCTAAATATCAACATGACCTCTTTGCAGGAATAGTTTCGTACCTCTACTCTCCTCGGTTTTCTGCTGCATCAGTTCAGAGTCCTTTTCTTCTGATCTCTCCACCTGCTGCTCCATATCTACGATAGCGATAAAACTGTATTGATTAAATGATAGATTTAAAAAAAACTACAGCTAAAAGAGGGCAGGCAGGCAAAACTACTGCCAGGTAGCGACGACGCATGTAGTATTTCTGGTGACGAAATTACGTACGGCATTGCAGTTTTCTTTTCACTGTTCCATGATGCGAAACAAAAGTGACCCTTTTTGTCTACAGGCACCAGGGCACAGTGTTACAGAAGTAACATGCCAGGGAAACCTGACACTGCGCGACCCAATGTTGTTCACAGTGTTTGTTATTGTTGTTGGGGTGGGATTTAAATAAGACCTGTCGAAGTCATCACTGGTCTGCCGCTGAAAAGCCACCAATCTAGCTACATTGGAGTGCTTCCAGGTAAAATAGTAAGACATGTTAACTGCGTACTGGTTACATACTATACTACAAGCTAGTCAGTCAGGCATCGCCAAAAACTGAGCTTCCTTTAGACAGCCTGATTGCTCAGCTGAAGTAGTTCTGTCAAACCGTCTATCACGAAAATATCCAAGAAACCACTCATCAGAGTGCAGTCAAATGATATACACAAATGATACACAGGTAACCCGTATTCTCAACAAATACCCTCATTATCAATACAAAGTCTAAGCAGATGAATACTCACCTTCTGCCTTCTTCTCGTCGCTTTCTTCCATTTTGGTAGCTTCTCTCAACTTTCTCACCTTCCTTTCTTGTTCAATCTTTGCAAGATCCGCCTGCAAATAAAGACAAAATGTCAACAGAAGAATACTCACCTGTGAAGATGGAACCATCCCGAATGAAACAAGTCCGCAGTTTCTTGATAATAAAATGTCAGTGTATTTAGCTTTGTTATCACAAGGTAGGAAACAAAATATATAATTCAGGGTAAATATAATAAAACTCTTAAGACACCTACTTCCAAAGGCAGTACTTTTACCATGTAACGGCTTCGGTATGACGACTAGCTACTGGAAAACTATCATCTCAGATGCTTTACCTTGTCTTTATAATGCCATGCAAAAAAATGGTCACAATTACAAAAATACCCCATGTGACAATTCCTCTATGGATCTTGTACCCCCTCGTCCGCACTCACCTGTTATACTTTTTTGAGGTAAACCAGAGCGAAGAGAACTCAGCCGGTGGCGCTCACAGCGTGTCTGGTATCTGTACCAAGTTTTGTGCCCGAATCACAGACGACAACGTGCGACGCAAAGCCGTACACTTCTCTGTTTTTGTCCAGGTGCCGAGTAAAGATAAGTAAACATTTTTTTTAAATCTTAAAGTAACTCTGAGACACCATTGTATTTGCCGTACGTTCTGCATGGCGATTTTGTATTTTCTAGCAAGTATTTTGTTCTTCATCGACTGTTTACTTAAGCGTGACCGTGCCTTTCACGGTAATGCAGCAGAACATCTGTATTGACGGTGTTTTAGGCCATGCTCCTGCGCCTATTTCACAATCACAGGCTCGTGGCAGAACTCTTGACTTGGAGTCTTTTGTATCTTATCGGCAATGATACAGGTCATTTACACGGGTGCCCAAAGGCACACAGACGAGCATGTACCATGCCTCGCCAGCTTATATGTCAACAAGTTAGAAAAGCAGGAGGTTGTTGACGATCAGATATCTCAACACAAGACAAACAACGCCAGTAATCAGATCGGCACCTGATGGGGTGAAGAACCAACTTTAATTTTCTGCCAATATAACAGTGTTTAACTGGCTTACATCCCAGCATATTATACTTCGCTTGCTTATCGTTTGCTTAAATGAAAAACTTTCAAATCCTTGTAATGGCACACTCTACGAAAGCAGTGTATGTAAACCATCAAAGGTAAACAGTAAACATAGATCATAAACAGTTGGGTTTTTTCATATCACAAGATTCACCACTAATGAAGCCACCAGGTACAACAAGTACTTTATCTTTGCACAGCTCTCATGGTAGCTGGAATCATCTACAGGCGCATCTAGAAGTACTCTATGGGGTCTTTCATTTTCTTGTCCAGTTGTACAGCAATAAGCGAGACGTTATTTCGCAAATCCTTGTACACCCTCAGATGCACACAGTTATCAGCACCTAGATCCACCTTCACCTGCAAAATAAAAACAGCAATTTTGGTATCTCTTTTGGAAGGTGGAGCCCATCCCTCTCCTTCCACTGCCTATTACCTAAGACAGGTACCCATTTTACACCTCGGTGGATTGAGGAAAGCCATGTTAAGTGTCTTTCCCAATGACACAATGTCTAGTCAGGAATACCAGGGATCAAAGCTGCAACCTCTCAATCTTTTGTCTGATAGCCTAGCCACTGTTACTCAGCTAATTTTTAGCCAAGGAAAGCTGTTCTCTACTGGTGGCATTTCTAACCCTCACCTTGATGAAGTAGTTGATCCCTGCCACCACCTGTGTCTTGTAGGACACTGCCTGGAAGGTGCGATATTTCACACCTGCTATTGCCTCCACCTCATCCTGAACCTGGAACATTGACAAGTTACAGGCATGAGCATACATTGTCTCATGTCTGTGCAGCAAAAATTTTTGATACAGGCAGCCATACAAGACATTATGCAACATGTGTACAGCATCATATGCACAGTTAGGCAATAATATTATCTGAGTCAGTCAATCACAGTAAACTTCCCTTCAACATTAGACACCAGCTGCACAGGTAAGGGGCAAGTGCTGAGTTGTGCTCTGCATCCCAGAGATCACCCGATAGCACCCGCCTCCGCCACATCAGCTGTGGGCTGAGCATAATTTTAGCCGTAGCTGCCCTCTCCCCTCAAACTAAATGCAAGATATTCACCGTATCGCAGATCTCTTGGATTGCTCGGATGTCTTCTGTCGCAGCTGTTTCCGTGTTATCTGTAAGGTTGGACAAGAATGTTAGAAATCAAGACGAGAGACGACGCAATTACCACAGCGCTGCGCACCATTCGGTGGCCAATGGAAATTGGCACATAGATACTAGCTGGCCAATTTGATACAAGTGTACGTTGAATCTATGTCATTTAAAAGCACCACAATAGCATAGTCTCATAGATTTCCTACATTTACGGGTGAAATCATAGGACCTGTATTATAGAAAACGTTCTGGGTAGTGCTGGAAATTCTCTATGTTTATTTATTCAAGGATACATTTGTATCAAATGTCCTTGGTTTAATCGCCCTCAGGCGACAAACGTCCCTCAACTGTTTACTAGTATCTACATATCCGGTATTCGGCGCTGGGAGTGTTGCCAGTCTGCAGAGGCCCATTAAAACACGTCTTGTCTACGGCCTGTTGAAAATAGTTACCACAATAAACTGCGAGCTCTGAAGGCCCTCAAGACGGAAGTAGCTTGGTGACCATACTCAACGGGTCGGCAGTAATTAAAACAGCCGGCTGCTACGAGCGGTTGCCAAACAACCTCCGGCCAGCCGGAGGCACCCCAAAGCCGAGCCGTTGAGCCAGGTCACCAGGATAGACCGAAGAGGCGTCGATGGGCTCCCGGTTGAGGTACTAGAACATATCGGCACTAGTATCGTGCCGCACAACGAGCTTCTGTGGCTGTACAAATGTGCTGTAAGGAGGGCTGTGAGCCCTGAAATTTGAAGGATGCCATGGCTATCTACAAAGGCAAGGGTAAACGACGCGACTGTAGAGATTCAATCCAGGCACTCCTCAGTCGTGGATGTAAAATCCACACGACCGAACACGAAGCTAATCGTCTATAGGGCCGTACTACACCCTCACACACACGCACACACATACACACAGGCACACACACTAACACTAACACACAAACACACACACACACACACACACACACAGGCACACACACTAACACACAAACACACACACAGGCACGCACACACACACACACACACACACACACACATTTCAGCACCAAGGACATCGCCCTGCAGCGGACATACAGGCGGACAGGGGTACCGGGTGGCCTGGGACGGCGTTTTCTAAACATTTGAACTGTTTCTCGACCTTTCATTTGTATTTTTGTACACAGAAACGTGTCCTGGTATGTACTAGACTGACTGACATAGTAAAAGACAAAAACGGTTAAGCGTAACAAAGCTGAAATACAACAGATAATAAACCAAAACGCACTCACCTGGTCCCACTTGTCCGGTTGTCTCGTGGATGTAGACAAACATCAACATGGTGGTCAGTAACAGTTTCCAAAGCATGATTGCTGTGCTGAAACATGTGTAACAACGGACAGATACATGTTTGTGACTGCCTTGTGTATTCTCGACCGACCCATGTCGCTCGGTATCGAATTACCTGTAGTTCTACCGTAACAGTCGGCTTGTTTGAATTACATTTGCAGTTTAAAGCAGCTTATCAATGAGCAGAGAATCTTCTAAAAATGAAAAATCGAGAGACCTTCAATATACGGGTTACCGAGTATGAGAATATTTCTTACCACCTGAAGGAGCCACAAAAAACTCTGGTAGAACCCTGTACAGTCGATAACGAGTTTCGACCAAGCCTCAGAAAGGTCTCGTCGTGTTCAGTACAGACCACAGTCCTCTCTCCAACCCGTACAACACGACGGCGAACTGTGCCGGGGTGAAATCCAAGCCCCTTCCCGTTGGTCCACGTTTCTTCCCATATCAGTTCCTATTATCAGGCTATGTCATTGGTCAGCTCATGTATTGTAGACCCCATTACAGGCCCCAACAAAGGGCTAGCGTTGGAGTTTTTGCCGTTTCCCCGATTATGTCTTTTTTCTGACTGCTACAGTGTTCTGCTCATGTAAATTGTTGGCCATAAGGAGGTGGCAAAAACACATACTTTTTACCTTGACAAGAGGAGGCCTATTTAAAAAGCAATACCAAAGGACTGCCGTAGCTAGAGCCTGCTTGAGAGGCTAGTCAGCTACTTACACCAGGATACCTGTGCAAGTTGTGTAAACTTTCCTGTACCCAAAATACAAAGGCATAAAGTCAAACCTGTTTCAGCTGTGAATCTCATTCATTTTCTATAGCTATTCGCCCATAAGATGAAAGAGACTAGGCAGCTTAGAATAGGTTCGGTAACCGGGAGAGTAAATATCATGCTTGAAGTCAAAGTTGGACGAGATATTGAAACTCGTGTTTATGAAAAAAAACACGCCAATTTCGCATAAAGATTTTCAGTTCCCTGGAGCAGTCATCACACAGATCTAAAAACTATCCCACTATGATGTGGACAATACTCGTCAGTTCTGCGATGTAAATAGTAACGATGCATGGAATTGGCTGTACACTCCAGGTGGGGATTAGATCTTAGATATACATATCAACATAGAAGACAAAATTATTCATATCCCTCGTGATTTTTATTCATTCTGTTATGCAAAAATTTGCCATATTTTGCACATTGTATAACCAAATGAGAATACATGGAATGAAGTCAAGCTTCATGATTTACCTGAGTAATTCTCTTAAGTTCTCACATTGATGTTATGATAGATCGGTAGAAATAACATTACATTCAATTATAGATATCATAGTGTCTTGTCTGACTTGTTTTCTTTAAACCTTGGTCCTGTCTTGAGTTGATTTGAATCTTGTGATACAGTACCTTGATCTTAAAATAAGCAAAAAGAAAGGAATGGACAAACATCAATAAAAGCAAAGTTGTTTGCCATGGCAGAAGACATTTGATAGTTTGTATGATTCAGAGACACAGTGTGTCCACTGAAAAAGTCTAGCTTCAAACTATGATAAAAGTGATTGATGTTACAGGAAATTAGATATCCCAACACAAGACATACAATGCCAGTGTAAAAGCAATGAGAAGGACTCTAACTACTGTTGTCCATATCAGACTGGAGACGAGCCAGTCCTGTAAGCCGGGCGTCTCTCCACCTCCTCCGTTCTGTCAGGGCTTCGGGGGTCGAGGGTGTCCGACTGGTCATGGCCGTGTCCACCTGCTCCAGTGCCGGCCCGCTGAAGTCTGGGATGGGTCCGAAGGTGGACAGCACTCGCTGCATGGTCTCACCATACCGCTCTATGTAACTCTTCATCCCTGGTAGAATGAGCAAAGTGTCAGTAAGACATGGTAACGAAGCAATATTCAAACCTATCTTAGCTGCCAAATCTCTTTCGCTGTTCTATTTGTGGAGAGAGCAAATTTAAGAGATTGGGCATCTATGATAGGTAATGATAAATGATAACAAATTCAGCAGAGCAGGACTTTTTTTCAGCTTTGGAAACAGACAAAAGCTTAGGAAGCAGACAAAGAACCCATATATCAATGTACAAAACTAGTATTTGTATCTGACCTTCAGCGTTGAGGTGCATGACCTCCAGCGGCCCGATGAAGGCGTACCTCCGACCCAGCCCTGCTGACATCACCGTGTCTACATCCTCAGGGGACATCACACCGTCCTGGGGGGGGGGGGGCAGGATGGATACAGTCATATCAAGGAACAAAAAACAACTGTCGTTTCTGAAACATCCATCTAGATATGTACTTCTCATATCAAACATATCCACAAATACCCCAACCCCATGTATTGCTCATCCTGAAAATTGATATTTGTACTCAGCTCTGCATCTTGAAAAAATTGCATCGAGTTCTATATGTATCTGAAGAAAAAAATATGATGCTCTATTTGTATTTTATTTTCCACAATGAAATAAATCCAGAAATTCTGCTGAAAACAGAGCAACAAAAACACAGAGATTCAAGGGGAGGGGAGAGAAATAGGTTTAACCTAAAACACCAAATAAACCTTGACTGAGCTAGGACTGCCCAACTAACCTGTAACCAGAGGCTTTTATAAAGGGTTTTTAACTGGACAATAAACAATGGTTACAATTCAGATCCAAAACCTTGAGTCTGCATACCTGTATGAGCCTCCATGACTCAGCGATAATGGCGTACTGTATCCTGTTCAGCGCAAACCCGTCCACCTCCTTCTTCAGGCTGACTGGTGATTGGCCGATCTCCACCATCAGGGCGCGGGTGCGGTCCATGGTGCTCGGGTCCGTCTCGGGGTGGGGGATGAGCTCCACCAGGGGGACATAGTACGGTGGGTTCACCTGAGCGATGGAGAAAGATTCTGTCAAGTATTTGGTCTCCTCTTTGAGTTGTTTGATACAGAGCTGAGTGACTATTGTTTGCCTAGTGTGTAGCTTGGCTAGTGTGTTACACTGAAAGACAAATACAGTCCAACCTGTACAAGTACAATGTAACCACCTCTACATTGAAACCACCTGGCCATTGTGGTCCCTTCTATAAATTTTCCCATTGACACAAGCATTAAGAATACTGGCTATAGTGACCACCTGTCCACATAGGCCAGATTTCATCAGTCCGAGTGGCATTCTTAGGCAATTTGGCTGTATATGAGTTGACTCAGAAAACAGACACCTATGGGATGTGCCACGATGCACTGATTGAACATGCTGGAGTTGATCATTACAGAGCTATTCATGTATCAGGGCTGTGTGCCTGTGTTATACTGGGATAAACAGATGCAGTAATAGAGACACCTACTGGATGTGCCACGATGCACTGTTTGACATGTTGTACATGTATGAGGGCTGTGTGCCTGTGTTATACTGGTATAAACAGATACAGTAACAGAGATGGGATGCCCAAACACCGGCTCCCGACCCTTCCGCCTTGACGCGGTGCGAGGGCCCGAATGTACCAATTTCCTAGTCCCGGGGTAGGTAAAACGTCCCTACTCTGTAACCTCAAATGAGGGGGTGGAGATTGGGTAGTCGCTAAAGGGAGGGTCACCCGTCTGTCCCAGACAGGCCCTGCTAGCCGTGGGAAGAAGACGTTAAACCACTAGCACGAGATAAACGCAGGAAGCCTCGAATTGGACTGAATTCCACGGAACGAACTGAACGGAAAAGGACTGAGAGTTCGGAATACGCGTACATTGGAACTATAAATGCAGGAACTGTAAAAGGTAAAACTGAGGAAATCGTGGAACTTATGGCAGAACGTAAAGTTAAGGTCCTAGGGGTCGCTGAAACACGTTTAAAAGGAAACGGAAGAAAAACTGTGCACAATGGTTATGAACTACTATACTCTGGCAGTGAAAGAGATACCAGACATGGAGTAGCACTCTTCTTGGACCCAGAATTTTCCAAATACATTGAGAAAGTAGAATATGTGAACAACCGTATTATTGCAGCAACACTTAACATAGACTCATACAAAACCTCATTTATCCAGGCATATGCGCCTCAACAAGGCAGACCACGGGAAGAAAAAATGAACTTCCTCGAACAACTTGAAGACACCTTCGATAGGCTGCCAAACGAAAGTGACATTATTGTCATGGGTGATCTCAATTGCCATGTAGGCAGTGTCGCGGTGAGAGGAGTGATTGGCAAGTTTGGAGTAGGAGACAGAAACGAGGAAGGGGAGATGCTCATAGACTTTTGTCTTAGAAATAACCTCGCAGTGATGAATACATACTTTGACCACCAAGAGAGTCACCAATACACGTGGTATAGATATAACTCCCACATTAACCTATACGACCAGAAGTCACAAATAGACTTCATACTTACAAACAAAAAATCCATCATCAGAGATGTGAAGGCCTTCCCTTCAGTGTCACTCGACTCAGACCACAGACTGATAAGAGGGAAAATGAAAATACACCTACCAAAATGCCCAAAGAAAACTGTGAGAAAGAGAGTCAAAACTGAAAATCTGGAGGTTGTTAAAGAACACATTGAAGAACAACTACAAAACAAAATAGACAACATCAAAGGAGAAAACGTAGATGACCATTGGAACTCCTTAAAAAGTTGCCTTCAAGACATACAAGAGAACGTGGTAGGAATGACTGTTGTAGGTAACCCAAAAAAGAAAAGAACTGGATGGTGGACGGAAGAGGTTAGAACAGCAGTAGCGGATAAAAACAAATGTTTCAAACAATGGCTGAAAGAGAGGACACCTGAAAGTAGAGCAGCATATGTACAACACAGAAACAATGTCCAGCGAACTAAAAGAAGAGCCCAGAAAGAAATGTGGGAAAACATAGGAAAGGACCTACAGAAAGATAGCCAGGGAACCAAGAAACTGTTGTACAGTATGTCTAAAGCCTACAAAAATAGGTCTAATGACAAGCCCAAAAATTCCACATTAAAGAGCAAAGAAGGGAACCTGATAACAGGACAAAATAATATCACAGACAGATGGAACGAGTATTTCCAAGACTTGCTGAACATTGTTGATGAGGAAACACATGATGCAGACAATAATCAGGTGCCAGTAGAAACCCTGCTCACAGAAGAAATAGATGATGCCATAACATTAGAGGAAGTAGAAACAGCTTTAAAGCTGACAAAGAACAACAAAGCTCCAGGCCCTGATGATATTCCCATCGAAACAGTAAAAGCAGGAGGAGAAGCTATGAAGCATATGCTGCTAGACATGTTTAACCATGCATGGAAATCTGGGAAAGTGCCAGCAGAATGGAATAAATCTGTCATATGTCCTATCTTTAAGAACAAAGGAGATCCCCTTGAGTGCAAAAACTACAGGGGTATATCACTTATGAGCCATATTGGTAAACTATATGAAAGAATCCTGGAAAGACGACTGAGACAGAAAACAGAAAGTCTGCTCAGTGAAAGCCAATGCGGCTTCAGACCAGGCAGGGGAACTATAGACCAAATAGCAGCGCTGAGACTGTTTATGGAAAAGAGTTGGGAATACTCAATTGAACAACACATATGTTTCCTCGATCTGGAGAAAGCATTTGACAGAATACCAAGAGAGAAGATGTGGACAGTCATAAAAGAAACTGGAATAAGTCTCAGACTCCTTAGAGCCATAAGAAGTACATATGAAAACCAGTGCAGCACTGTACTAGGTGGCACTGCATACTTTGACACCAATACTGGTGTGCGCCAAGGAAGCGTTCTTTCTCCACTCCTCTTCATTATTTACTTTAACCATACAATCCAGGTCATAGAAAGAAAGGACTTTGAAATAGAACGATTTGGATATGCGGATGACATCGCACAGACTGGGAATAGCATACGGAAACTACAAAGAGTTATGTCCCAGTGGGATCAAGAACTGTCTAGAGCGAGCTTGAAACTAAGCTATGAGAAAACAGAGTATATGAGAGTCGGCCGAAAACAAAGTAAGGGCTCCATATCGGTCAACAACCACACTCTCAAACGAACAACTAGCTTCAACTACCTAGGCAGTAAAATGACCTCCGATAATATGACTGAAGAGGAGATTAACAACAGGATCACCAAATTCACTAAGAACTTATGTGCCCTTTATCCTCTACTGAAAGAGAAATGCATACCCAGAGACGTTAAAACCTGTATTTATACTACAATATTGAGACCTGTATTGTTATACGGAAGCGAAATCTGGACTCTAACTCAAAAACTAAAAAGTAGGATACAAGCTACTGAAATGCGAGTGTTACGACTCATCTATGGTGTCACAAAAAGAGACAAAATCAGGAATGACATCATCCGTGGAGCACTTTCAGTTGAGTCAGTACTCTCCATTGTGGAAAGAAACCAACTGAGATGGTTTGGACACCTACACAGGATGCCGGAAGATAGGGATGTGAAGAGAATCTTTAATTGGAAACCCAAAAAGAAAAGACCAGCCGGCAGGCCAAGAAAAAGATGGTTGGACCAGATCATTGAAATCACCAGAAGAGAAGAGCCAGACTTCCGAGTAGTTAAAGAAATAGCTGAAGATAGAACAGAGTGGAAGAGACTGACCAAGAGGCTGACAACTTACAGGCCTAAGGCCTAAAGGCGTCAGGGTGAGAAGGTGAGAAGTAACAGAGAAACCTACAGGATGTGCCACAATGCACTGTTTGACATGTTTGAGCCCGGTGAAGATCTTGGATGGCAGGATACAGGAGGTGGAGCTGGACAGGACCACGTTGTCGTCGGCAACGGCATCCAGCTGGCTGAAAATCTTTCTCTTCAGCTCCAGGTTCTCAGGGACACACTCCTGAGGGGGAAGGATGATGATTGACATCTATCAATCAACCAATCAGAAGAGGCTGAAACAGCAACTGATTCTCAACAAGGAGCTTCTACGTGTGTGTAGAAGCTCCTTGTTCTCAATCAAGGTACAAGGTACAAAGGTAAAGGTAGTTAGCCTGGTTACCAAACCTATTATAGCTTCCAAGTCTATAATAGGAGAGGAGGTAGGACTCAGGAGCTATAATAGGTTTGGTAACCAGGCTAGGAAGGATGATGATTGACATGATCAAAGACAATTCAAACTCCATATCACTCTTCTTCAGCGGCACTGACACATTTTTTGGTGAGGCTGAAGAAAAGTGATGGATGCCACTTGAAATGCCTGGAAATAATCTCCATAATTTACCCGGTAGTAGAGCTTGAATTGAATTGATTTATTGAAATTGCAACAGTGCAATACACGCGGAACAGAGGCAGCTGTTGCTGGTGTTGCGTCCCGCACATAGAAACGAATACTGGACAGACAATACTCATTTTCACTTGAGTCTAGTGGGGAAAGTCGTGTAAAGTGCCTTTCCCAAGGGCACAAGATCGGTGGCATGTCAGGACTCGAACCCGGGACCTCTTGGTTCCGAGTCGCGCACGCTGCCGTTGTGCCACACGACCCCACTTGAATTGAATAAGTTCAATGAATATTGTTAAAATGGATTTAAATCTTCATCAATAATGATTGGCATCAATTAGAAATGGCTGAAACAGGAACTCCTTCTCAACCAAGGAAAAGATAAAGGTAGTCCCATAGCCTGTTTGAGGACATAGGGGCAGTAGGTTGTTATCCACTGTGTCAAAGGCACGGTACTGGAAGGTGACCATCCCTCTCCTTCCTCCACTTTGTACCTCCCACAACAAAGTCAGGTACCCATTTTACACCTGGATGGAGATAGGAAAGTCTTGTTAAGTCGCTACAGACAACACAACTATGTACCTGTATGTGAAGCGCCCCCTGGCAGGCGGCATTAAAATCGCTGCAGCCAGAAATCAGCCCAAACTGCTCGTCTGCCGTCAGGCTTCCACGCAGCAGCCCAGCTTTCTGAAACAAAAAGTCAACTTTACACTCATATCATTACATACAGGGCAAATATTTTCTGGTCAAGGTAGATGTAGATTCTATCCTGAATCAGGGCTTTTCTTCAGCACCAGGTTTTCCCATCTTTGCACTCACAGCAAACACATGCTTGCATCCTAGTGTCACTCACTCACAAACTCATTCACTCACTCACTCATCACTCTCACTCATCACTCTCTCACTCACACACTCATTCACTCACTCACTCACACACACTCATTCACTCACTCACTCACTAGACATGCCAAATCTGGCCATGACCTTCGGCCATTAGCAATAAGATTCCATCAAATGGTGGACTGACAAGACACTGTGAACGCCTTCTCATAAATACTGTAGTCTAAGTGTCTCAAAAAGTTCCTAGTGCAGAAGCTCCCCCTACCTGCAGGTCGTGGAGGCGCATCTTGATGTTGTCGAGCGCTCCTGACACCTGTTCAGGCAGGATGTCGAACAGACAGACCTCGTACCCTGACGCTGCGAACAGCATCGCCCAGCCTCGGCCTATCAAGCCACTGGGGATACAGGGAAACAACACTGGTTATGCATCAATAAAGGTTAGACATCCAGGTATCTTGGGGAGCAGACTAAAGCTAATAGGCTGGACTCCAGGCTATAATAAGATACCAAAGTAACAGTTATCCAAGCACCTCAATAGATTTTGACTGATGAATGGTAGTGGATACTACCTGAAATATCTGACATTTTTCAAAATCTATCCAGCTTTTACTTGAGTAACACTTGTTCTGACATTTAGCATCTAACATGTACTAGTACAATGCATCAAGGTTGGTTGGTTGGTTGGTTTACCAGTTGGTTGGTTTATCAGTTGATTGATTGTTTGATTGACTGACTAGTCTGTTGGTCAGTGAGTTGTCCATTTTGATCAAAAATGCACGCATACACACATATGGAAATAGGGCTTAACCCAGACCAGAAGTTAAACCCTGGTTTTGCAGTACAAAGTCCAGCCTTCCTGTCAAAATCAAATCTGACCGACCAGAGAGATGTTGTGCATTTAAAGTGAGATTTGTCGTGAATTATTGTTTATTGTTTGAAACTAAACATTCTAGACATTCTCGGAAATCTAATGTGTTTGAGAAACAATTTTTGAGTCCTTTTTTACGATATTTCGGATGAAAATAAAGTTTTTTTACCTTCCGATGATTCCAACTTTTCCCTTCGCCGCCATTTTGAACTTTTTGTGCCGGAGGGGGCGTGGCCAATCAGCTGATCGGAGGTGAAAGGTCACCATCACCTGGAGGTCAACGTTCACTGGGTCAAATATAGTTCACGAAGCAGGTTGAAAGTCCGATCACATGGACCAGGTGAGGCGTTAAGGAATAAATAGTCTGTTGTCCTGTCACGTGTAGCTGCATGTGGCGACTTGAAGGTAAATCGTGTGTAACAAAGAGTGTGGCGATTTGAACGTGAACTTCCAGAGAGTGTGGCGAATAATCAATTTGAACGTAACAGAGGTACATGTATCTACTGAGGGGAGGGCGTGGGACTTTGTTTACCAAAGTCTTATGTAGCGTGTTTACTATAGGTAAATGTATAACGGTGACGTCGCTAGCTGTTTTTACGAAACTGTTGCTAGCTTTAGTCGGTAACCATTGTGCCACGGCCCGGCTTAGGGGCATTTTACCCACCACCAGACCTTGTGTTCCAACCGGCCTTCAGTAGACTTTAATGCGATCGTAAATCACACCTACACCACCCTAGCTCCTAGCGAAATTATACTGTTGCGTGCTTCCAAACCGTAAAAGTTCACTGGCTAATAGGTCTACAATGTTGTTTGTCTGATCAGGGTGATGTGATGTTTTCCTTTGATATATACCGTCGTGCTATACCGTCAATATTTATCTGCTTTACAGATAGTGTAAAGTAGCTAGGATGAGGTATTCAGACAACTCGAGGATGGCATTGACTGACATGTACTGGCTGTCCTGCTGAAGTCAAACCACCATGTCCTTCCGCACTGCCCAGCGGCACGGCTATGCAGTGGAGTTCTCCCCCTACTACCCCCAGCTGCTGGCCTGCGCCACCTGCCAGCACTATGGTATAGCAGGTGGGCTGTCGTGTCAGGGATACTATTAGAAACATTCAAAGTAAACTAACCTACTAGTACTAATCACAAATGCTACACAGTCAAGTTTAATGCAGTACAGTAATCTTGTTGTTGCTATCTTGTCGTCATATCCTGTCTTCAGTAATTTTCCTTGGGATCTAGAGTAGAAATACTAGCATCACTTTCTTCAAGCAAGGAGGTTTAACCTAGGAATGTAGTACACAAGATCTATGGGCAGTCAAAAGTTCGTGGCTGCCAAGAGCTCTTGCTTCTAGATCAAGGTTTGACACAGTGTACATTTGTACTGCCTGCACTGTACCCAGGTCTGTCGCTGACTCCCTGTAATGTCTGGAGGGCAACTAATTTCACAGTAGAAGGGAAAAAGCAGAGAACTCACAGCAAACATAAAACAAACATGTCTATTTCACCATGTACATTAATTTTATGTTCTCCCTGTCTGCTGTAGGTAGTGGTTCCCTGTTCCTGTTGGAGTCCCTCCCGCAGGGCGTCCGGCCGGTGCAGAAGTTTGACTGGAACGACGGACTGTTTGACGTCACATGGAGCGAGAACAACGAACATGTGCTGGTAAGGACACCAGTCACCAGTACTAGTATTACATTTTAAATAACATTATCTCATCAAACAAAGCAAGTTTTGGGAGAATTTCAGATTTTGATTCCCTTCTGTACAGGCCCCGCAAAGCATTTCAGAATGCTAGATACCAGGTTTCCCAGGTTGCTGTAAAAAAGTAGCCTGGGTTCCATCCTGGTTAGTTTACGTCCGCTCCCACAGTCGACTGTGGGAGCGGAGGTAAACTAACCAGGATGGAACCCAGGCTAGTAAAAAAGTAGAAACTGGCCAAATATACTGTATGCCAGAGGAGTTAACCAGCTAGAGATAACAATTTGCAGCCAGGGGAGCCTGGCAGTGGCTAGATTTAATGAACAACTTATAGAAATAACCTGCCTTATCATGACATTCAGCCATTTGTTGAAAACTTGTTCTGTGACCGATCGACAGGTGACAGCCTCCGGAGACGGGTCCATACAGGTCTGGGACACGGCGCGGCCCCAGGGACCAATCAAATCGCTCCGTGAGCACACCAAGGAGGTTTACGCGGTGGACTGGAGCCAGACCCGCGGGGAACAGTTTGTCCTCAGCGCGTCCTGGGACCAGTCGGTGAAGCTCTGGGACCCCGCCGGGGACAAGTCCATCGCCACGTTTCTCGGGCATCAACACGTTGTGTACAGCGCGATCTGGTCGCCGCACATCCCATGCTGCTTTGCCTCGACGTCCGGCGACCACACGCTCCGCGTCTGGGACACCAGAAACCCGCAGATCTCGAAACTCGTCCTGACCGCACACGACGCGGAGGTGCTGAGCTGTGATTGGTGCAAATACGACGACAATCTCATAGTAAGCGGAAGTGTGGATGGTACAATGAGAGGCTGGGACATTCGGAGGCCGCAAAGCCCAGTTTTTCAACTCGACGGCCACACGTATGCAGTGAAGAGAGTCAAATGTTACCCGTTTGAAAGAAACATTGTCGGTTCAAGTTCCTACGATTTTTCAGTGAAGATTTGGGACTTCAGCCGACCCCAGCCCTGTCTAGAGACAATAGAGCACCACTCAGAGTTTGTGTATGGTTTTGACTTTAACCTACATGTGCCAGGACAGGTAGCAGACTGTTCATGGGATGAGTGGGTCAGGGTGTACACACCCAAGTGTCTAGTTCCCACATGACAGTACATTATTGGACCAGTGGGTTAGGAACACACTAAAGTGTCTAGTTCCCATGTAATAAGAATGATTGCAATAGCCAAAGTAAGTTACTCAAGCGACTTGACACTAGCATGGGTAGATTGTGAAAACAGTTGCTGACCAAAGGTAGTGGGGATGCTACCTGAAATGTCGGTTTTTTTAAATCTGTCCAGTTTCTTGAGTAACTGTATCTTTGGTATCCTATTACCTCGATCTCTAACCTTCATAAACGAATGATTGTAATTGTTGCATGTTGATCATATCTGTGTGCCGCAAGTTCTATTGTAACAATCTTTATATCATGAATAAGAAAAATGTTATACCAGTAGCTGAGAATATCTGAGCCACAAAATGAATATTGAAGACAATGCGATATAAAACACAATAAGATGCTTTTATTACCAATTTCATAGTTATATACATTCATCCAAACAAAACATGCAGTACTAATCTTTTGTACTACTCAAGTACAGTCAGCAGTATAAAATAGTATAAAACAGCAATCAACCAAACCCTCCTCTGTACCAACAAGCCAATTGATTGTTTCCTATTTAGATCTTTGTTCAATTCACCACTAAGTACACAGTCTAAATGTAAAGCTTCTATCCCAAAGTGAAAGTAATGTGAAAGAATGTTCTATGATTATTACAAACTGTTAGTTAGAGAATAAATAGTTTCACTGAATTGTTTTGGTACAATGTATGTCTATTCTGCTACAGGACAGCTGGAAAAGCAGACAGATGATGATAATATTGAATAAGAGGCACAAATGAAATGCCTATAGTAGAGGAGTATGATGTTACAAGACACATTTTCCGAGGTACAATGTGTGGAGATAGTGGGCATGAATATGTGATTTGAGAGGTCATGTTAATCTTTACAAAATATATACATGTACAAGATATTCAACTGATGAAAATGTCTTGTTTTTGAGTGTGAGGTAACATATATCAACCCAAATGTTGAAATATAGTGTAACTACTTACTTCTAGCTGCTACCTTGTTTGTAGGTACATGTAGTACATTTGGTTGGCAAGAAAACAACTGAGAACAGGCTGTTTTTTTCAACTTGATATAAAATACTATCCTATTCTTTTATTCTAAACACTTCATGTTCATATCAAAAATAAAAGAATCACTTTCTTCTCTGGTCACACCAATACATTTCTTTGGTTCTTGAAACTTTTATAATCATAAAATTACACCATATTAGAATATCAAAATTGAGCCAGGAGAAAAAGTCTGCCATATATAGAATTAAACGTTCTTAATCTTATAGTGTGTTGAACATCCATATGTTACCTTTTTGCTTTTCAATTTGCCTTTTTGGCTCATTTCTGAATGTATCAAAAATCCAAGTGACTAGATTGGTGTGACCTAAAATACATTCAAATCAACTGTTTCATACACAGCATTATGTATTTCACAAGTTTCAAACTCTATCTTTAACAACATCAGAGCACGCTCTTGTTGGGCTGGTAACCGTAGTCCACTTCTGCAGGAAGATCGTGAAGGTTTCGTACGACAGTCTGAGGAGGGTTGGAGGCACCGGCGGACTCCAGGCGCATGGACCGCCGTACAGGGGACATCACCACATCTGTACCCATGTAGTCTCTGTGGTGGACACGGTTTTGTTAGTACCAGTTGATATATATCTTTAAAAGTGAATCTACGCATCTAAAACTGACAGACACACTTTAGTAGGGGTAGTACCCATGTAGTCTCTGACAGGTCGGAGGAAGGCACAATTTTTCTCACCCTATAAACATTTGATTTTAGAAAAACACGAAAAATTTGGAATGTCAAATTCATGAATGTGCTGTCATGATGATGGCGTGTGTGGACCAAAATCATTTTAGATCTTCCTACAACATTACAAACTTTACAAGTTGTAGTTTCCGACTTATTCGGTACAACATTTATACTTGTGTACAACTCCCTATTCTTAGGATGCACAACAGAATGAAAATACATGGCAGGCAAACTTGGCTATACTCTACCTCATTTTCTTGGAGGGGGTGATGGCAGCAAATCTAACAGCTGTGCCTGCTGTTTCCTCATCTTCACTGCTGCTTTGCTTTTTCACTAAACAGAAGAAGAAATAGAAATCAAACAATTATCAATCCATACAGAAAATCAAATCAATAATAAAGATCAGAAATTGTAAAAAAACTGATCCTTTGACTGGTTCAGTCATATTGGTGTATCATGTATGATGTTGTTTGGCAAGCACTCATTGGTGGCTGTTAGTTCAAACTGGCTGATTCCTGATTGGTGGATGATGATGTTTGGTGATCACTGATTGGTGGACCTCAGCTCACACTCACCTCTGATTGGTGGATCGGGAGAGAAGCCCATGAGGTTGATGGTTGGGTCCTCCTCCTCCTCGTCAGAGCTGAGGCTGGACCGGTACGTCCTGACTCCGCCCTCTGTACCCATGATGGGGTTCTGGTCGGGAGGAGTGAAGCCAAGGTCCATCGTGTCCTGTGCAGAGAAAAAAAAAAGAGTCAGAAAAACAATTCTGGTCAGTCTGAAATCTCTCACAGATTCTTTGTTGAACATTTTTACAAATGTTATTTCTTATCCCTTTCAATCCAAACAGAAGGTGGGTATGGTGCCAGGTTGGATGCAAGTTGCAAGTCAAAACTTTTCTTCCAACCCAAAAGCTTATTAATATTCTCTCCTAGAGCTTCAGAAATATAGATTGTACCTGGCAGCTCCCTTTTTAACTGCATATGCAGGTGGCATTTCCAGCCCTGAGACACAAAGACAGATTATTTTGTGTGTTGTACCTGGTTCATGCTCAGCCCTGCCAGCAGTGTGGCGGGTGTGGCACAGGCTAGTTTGTTGTCTGACACTGAGGTGAGAGGAGAGAACACGGCACCGGCTGTCGACGGTCTGGACTTGAACAGGTTTGGAGCTGGAGGGGAGAGACAGAAGATACTAGTAGTTAAAGACATGTTTCAAGAACTGTGGGCATCACTTAGTATCCTTTGGTCCCAATTGCTCAGAATATTAACTTTATCAGACACAATATCTGCTAGCTACATTGCTTCTTTGAAACTAAATCATGTATCACTATAGAAATACAGCAATACTGGTAAGAGACCAAAGCATCACCTTCAAATGTGAAACATGACTGTTACTAGTACATGAAGTAACATTTTGAAATGTAAGGCACTTAAAACTTTGAAGATGACTTTCCAAACATCATGACTTTAAAGTTTTACATAGTTCTGCATCATTCGCTGAGCTAACCTGAAACCAAAACGTTTAACAGAAGACATACCAGGAGTCTTGGGAAGAGGTTTTGCGAGACATCCTTCCTCCGGCGGAGACACAAAGTTGACCACGCTCCTTCTGGCCACTCTCCTGGCCGGCGTCTTGACCTTGGGATGACCTTCCTGGTCAAACATGGAGGCCAGGCTGCGCTTCATGGGGCTGTGCATCTCCGTGTCAGAGGAGTTGGGGAGTTCCGTGTCCATCGGCTCCGGGGCGTCCGGGCTGCTGTCGTCGGCAGTGGAGGTCGACGGGCGCAGGAACATGCTGAAGGACTGCTTCCTGTCCTGGAGGGAAGAAACAAAATAAAAACATCATTAACATGGAAGGGAAAGTAAACTTATCCTGAGCAAGTTTACCTTCTGTTGGCCATAACAGGAAATGTCATGTACACAGTATTCACAGTGTATTCACAGGGAATATACACAGGTTTATCATAAAATGTTGTAAAGGTTTTGGGTACAAATTGTCCGAAATTCTTTATTTTACAACCTTTACTTTACAGATGTTGTCCGCCAACTAACCTCTCCTTGCTCTGGCATTTCTGTTTCTATAGCAACGACCCCGTGTTCAACAAACTCTTCTGAGGCGACATTCTCCTTGAACTCTGACGGGCTGTGCAGCTTCACTGGCGTCCCGATCACCACCAGTCCCTTGGTTTCCATGGAAACTTCATCTTCCGTGACCTCTGACCCCTCGTCCTCTGAAGGCGGGGTGTGGAGTTTCACTGGCGTCCCGATCACGGCCAGCTCTGGAGTTGCCATGCCAACGGGCGTGTCTTCCGAGATGGGCGCTGCGATTGGCTGAGGGGTGAGTCTGCTGGACCGGCGCAGGCCGGCTGACAGGGGGGTCCTGTCGGTGGTCTCCATGGCAACGGGAGACTGCTTGTTTCCTGTGAGGAATCCCAAATATGCAAATTACTTGACGATGTCCAGTGAAAGCTATCCATAAGTAACATGGTGACCATCTAAGACAATGCCATATAGAGGAAGAATTAACAAATGTGGCACATATACCTCATGTGCTATGTGTATATCACTCACTGACACTAATATTCTAGCTGAGATACCTGGAGTGTGTGTGAGTGCCTGTCATACCTGGAGTGTGTGTGAGTGCCTACCATACCTGGAGTGTGTGTGAGTGCCTACCATACCTGGAGTGTGTGTGAGAGCCTGTCGTACCTGGAGTGTGTGTGAGAGCCTGTCGTACCTGGAGTGTGTGTGAGAGCCTGTCGTACCTGGAGTGTGTGTGAGTGCCTGGATGAGCTGACTGACAGGTTTGGGGTGAGTCGGGAGGACCGTCGGCGAGCCTGGGGGTCCATGGTCCTGGACAGTCTCCTGTCCTCACTCAGACCTTTCAGGGCCTTCAGTGGGGTGCCAGCTGGGGGGACAACATGGAAAAGACACATAAAAATTAACACTACGTTGTAATTTTAAGAAGTAAAAGCTTGCTTGGCCGTTGGGAGAAACAACAATAAGACTTAGTATAAATGTGAACATGCTATCAGCATTAAATTTCATGATCTGCCTTGATAGTTAGCATAGCGTAGGGCTAAATATTGTAGCAAAAAATTAGCACATTAGAAGTTCAACTGCCCCAGTGACCACAATCAAGACAAGGTAAAACTTTGTTCCCAGACAAAAAATTAGCTGTCAAATTTTCAAATGTACTTCTGCAGTCTTTTTCAGCATTTGAGTGACTGACAAAACTAATCTACAATCAAGCCATGCCCTCTGACCTCTGCAGTGGAACTGTGGTGTCTTGGCCGGACTGTCAACCTTGAAGAACCCTCCGTCGAAGGTCACGGTGTCCTCTGTGACCTTGGCCTCCTCCTTCTGTTCCGTCTGCTGCTTGTTGGCCATCATGGCCGCCTTCATGGCTGCCTTAGCCTCAGCCAGCCTCTTCCTGGCCGCCTCTCGGTCCTTGTTGTTCTTAACCGCAGGCTTCTTACCGGGCTTCTGAAGTAGATCACAAGAACAGCATGTTAGTGTGGAGTAGTCCTATGCTGGGTTTCTATAAAAGATTCGCATCCCAGGTACCACACTTTCTACAAACAGATTCAGTCGAACTCTAAGTAATGTACAAAACGTTTTCAAAATTCATAAGCTGCGAGATTTTATTGTGAGCATCCCAAATAAAGGGACAATGTTGTAAGAAAATCCAAAGAACTGTACCTTAACTATCTTCTTCTTGACCTTGACCGGTTTCTTGACCTCCTCTGGCTCCCAGTTCCTGCCCTTCAACTTCTCAAGGTCATCAAACTTCTTATCCACATCCTCAACCTGAAAATACAGAATTAACATTTAACCTAATCTCAAAGCAGACACTAGGGTAAAAGACAACTGCCAAAGGCTTGTCAGAGTATTCTAGCAGTCAGAAAACCTTACAACATCTGCTTGAAAACTTCAGTTGACCCGGAAGTCGATTCCAACTGACCTGGAAGTAGACCATGTCCCAGAAGCCCTGCAGGTCGGTGCAGGTGGTCTCCTTCTCGCCGGTGTTGAACTCACAGTTGTCCACCAGACCGGAGAACTGCTTAAACCGCTGGTCCATCAGCAGCTGCGCCTGACCGATGGTCGTACGGATCTGGCCTTGAACTAGAAAGGATCACAACAGAACAGTTAGGCTAATTTGGAACCTTTCTTGTTATTCATCATAGCATCCTACATCTTTCCTTCTGCTGCTTTACCCCCATTTTCACAGCAACTTTTTGAGTGTTACAGTTTCAGTTTCATTATGACACTCACAATATTATATCAAGAATACAACCTTGCAAAGGAATTTGTACGAGAAAACTACTGGACCTGACTGATGGAAGCAAACTTTATCATCAAAAGACAAGACTGCTAGGAAACACTACAAAGCTACCCTGAGTGCTTAACACTTGTTTATCAAGGCTCCCATATTTCCTCCCTTACAACCCTGATGGCACCCAGACTATGAAAGAGCCCCACAAAGAGACCAACCTTCCTCCGTGAGTCCATCCTCAGTCACTATCTCCTCCCAGGTCCTGCACAGCCCGGTCAGACGCTCCGTCTGAGACACCAGCAGCCGGCGGAAATACGACACATCGTGGGCTTCTGTTGGCAACACAAGGAAAGCAGTTCTATATACAAACTTCCTAAGATTCAAAAGATTTCATTACTTCATTTGCTAAACCAGGTTTCAACTCACAGAGTGGGTACAAAAAAAATCTTGAAGACAAGGAAAGCAACAAAACAAAACTGAACAAGCTTGGCTAATGCTGCTACTAATTTTATACTTAGTAATTATGTTTTTAATGCTATTTGGTGAGGAAGCCCATAATGATACAGAATTCCATTCTATGATAGCTCTACAAAAAAATTGAATAAGAAATACAAAAACATTCCTAGCAGCAACAGCTTTTAAACTTCAGCAGAAACCTCACCTTCCTCCTCAGGCCCCTGCATGATGTCATCAGCAGGCTGGATGAACTGGTTGGCATCTTTCAGAGCTACAGGCAGGACGTCCTCTGTAGCTGCAGCATCAGGACCCTCCTCTGGCAGGGATAGAGTCACCTGCTCCGGGGCATCTGAAGATGCTGGTGCGTCGTGGGATGCTTCGACGACTGGTGCATTGTGGGATGCTTCGACGACTGGTGCATCGTGGGATGCTTCCACGGCTGGTACATTGTGGGATGCTTCCATGGCTGGTGCATCGTGGGATGCTTCCTGCACTGCATCTTGGGAAGCCTCCATCTTCTCGACATCATCTTGAGGGGTCTCAGTAGCAAGTGGCACCTCCTCCTCTGAGACTTGTACCTCCGGCATTGGCTCCTCGAGGAGTGCAACCTGCTCTGCTTCTTCCTTTGGCTTATCTTCTGTAAAAACTGTAAAGAACAAGAAAGATTTAAGGAAAAATACAACAAACTGCAGCAACAAACAATCTTTAAAATTCAACAAACAATCTTTAAAATGTGAGATCTGTCTCCTTGTTGGAAGTGTAGTACCTAATCAGGGTACGAATAAGTCACCATTGGCATCTAACCAATCTGTCTTGAACTAAAATGCAAGCTGTAAACATAGAAGCCAAATAGATTACAAACCTTCAAACACAACTGGCTCCTCATTGGCTGGCTCCTCCACTGCTGGTCCCTCATTGGCCTTCTCCTCTGTTTCCATGGCAATGGGAGCTGGCTCTGGCATGATTGACTGTTCATTGGCTGCATCCTCATTGGTTGGCTCTTCCATTGCCGTGGTGAAAAGAGTTGGCTCCTCATTGGCTGTAGCGTCGGTTGCCATAGCAACAGGTTCTGGCTCCTCATTGGTCTGATTCTCACTAGAAGGCACCTCATTGGCTAGCTGCTCTGTTGCCATGGTGACAGGTTCTGGCTCGTCATTGGTTTGACTTTCATTGGCAGGCCCCTCATTGGCTGGCTGCTCTGTTGCCATGGTGACAGGAGCTGCCCCGCCCTCCTCAGCTTGGGCCAGTTTGCTGGTCCTCCTGGTTCTACGGGTGACGGACTTGGGGGTGGAGTGTCTGATGGAAACGAAAATGACATGATTGTTTTTCACTTTCTATCAAAGATACTCCTGGCTCCTCTGGCCTCACAAATTCTTGTTTCTTTAGACAGAGCATCAACAACAACGATACAGAGCTCACAAACCAGTAACAAAATAAGATTGGACATCACACGTCTTAATTGTTACACATGCAGTTTGAATCATAAGCTAGAATCACCCAGGAAATCTTGATCATTACAGTCAAGTCTATACAGTGGCAGTCTTGCCATAAGGGCAAACCGGCCAATGTGAACACTTTTTGGTGGTCCCTCAATTTTTTCCGTTGACACAAGCATGAAGAATGCTGTCTATAGTAACCACCTGTCCACATAGGCCAGATTTGACTGGTGTCCAGACAGTGTTCACTGTAATTCAACAACCCCATTGCCTTACCTGTTGTTTTTGGACACAAAAGGTGAGTTGAGGAATGACCCTCCCACACCGGACCCCGGGAACAAGAACGCATCAGCTGACCTCGGACTCAGGGGAGTGAAGGAGAAGGAGGGCAGGTGGCTCGGCGCGTGGAACGAGAAATCCGCTGGCGCAAACGACGGGACGGGGTTCGATTCCTGCAAGGGAGAAGTAGCAAGGTTAGTTGGCGCTGTACTCAAAGGAAATTTCCTTCTCAGATTCTTAGAAATTCACATTCTACTTGTGGCAAAACAAGGACATGTGCTTTATGTAATGCAAAATTAACCAAGCAACAGAATAAATTCTCAGTTCACTGATGAAATATAGAAGATGCTGTATGAAATCATATCCCTGAAGCATTATTTTCATGTCTCCCAGAAAAAAGAATAGCAAGGCAGAAAAACACAAGTAAACTGACCTTTGGCTCTCCCCTCTGATTGGACACCGTGGTGACCTTGCTGAGGCTGAAGTCAAAGTTCACAGGTTGAAGGTCATCATCCAGGCCGTCCTCCACAGTCATAAAGCCGGCTGCCTCGCTCTTCGCCCGAGCCCGGGTGACCCTCGGCGGCTCGGCTGGCTCAGTGGCGGTGGACGCACTGGCAGCTCGCTTCTTGACAGGGGCTGGTTTGGGCTCTGGAAAGTCAAAGGCCAGGAGAGGCTGTTTGACCTTCTCTACTATTTTAATTTTTTATGTCATATTTTACAACATGATAGTTCTTTAAAAATAACAGGTATGGCACAGGGCCTGGCAGCAAGGTAAAAAAGTACTGTAGTCACATAGCATTAACGTTAATGCTTCCACTCCACTGGCTTTCCTGTAACCAACCGAAGTCAGGTACCCATTTTACACATGGGTAGATAGAGTACTCCTAGAGGAGAGCTGTGTTAAGTGCCTTTTACAAGGATACATCGTCTAGCCAAAAATGCCATATGAATCGAACGCGTGACAGCTTGACCACTTGACCATACAAAGCCACTATTAACATGCTGTTACCAAAACATCCCCCCAAGGAAACATGTCTCACCCATCTCCTTGGTACTGGTGGCCCTTTTCCTGTTCTGGCGCTGCGGAGCTTCCTTCTTCCCCGCCGCAGAGCCACTCGGAACGCGCTGCCTCGTGTTGCGTTTGGGCGGCTCTGCCTTCTGATTGGCTGATGCAGCTCGTGACCTGGTGACCCGACCAACCGGCGCCTCGGGTTTGGGCTTCGCCTCCGTCCGAGCTGCAAGTCTGGCCGACACCCTCTTGGGGCCAACGGGCTCCTGGAAATTTCAGAAGGGAAGGGATGGTTACAGTTATCTCCCTAAAGAATGGAACAACTGTCCTCAACAACCCAGTACAATCATAGTGATTTACATGAATAGGGTAGCAGCTTTTCTGATACTAGATATTTTTTCATGTTAACAATTTGATCTCCTAAATTTCCTTTTCTGGCAAGACGAACTGATGCAGGTAAAATTTGTCTGGTTTTAGTAATTTTACCTGCACAAAAAATGTATTCGTTTGAAGTTCTGTCCCCATACTACCTATAAACGACATGTTGATTAAAGGCCTTATAGAACACCATGCACAAACACACAGTAGGATAAGATCATGACACAAACCTTAGCCTTCTTCTTGCCGTCCTCTGCGGCAGACCATGTTGGTGTGGGGTCGTACTTGACGTGGCAGACTTTGAAGGTCCTGTTCCTGGCCTTCTCCCGCGCCGCCAGCTTCTGCTTCAGCTCCTTCTCCTGCTTCCACTTCAGCAGCATCTCCCGACGGTCAGGCTTCACCGCTGGATTCACGGCAGGCTTGGGCTGTTGGGCGACTGGGGGGACAGGGAGAGATCTGGTGTTACTCTGTTGGGGCATTGTACTTACTTAGTATCATGGGGCTTAAATCCAGTCTTTATCATTGTATAAATGGTGACAAAAAATTATGCAAAAAATGCTTGTAACTTGATCTACCTAGACAGTATTGGGTATCTATGGATGCAAAGAGAAGTTGACTGGGTTGCTGGGGGGATAGAGGAATATCAGGTGGTGCTCCAGTCCTGGCTTTAGCGGCCCAACTCTACTGGCATGTTAGTTGTTACCTGTCTATTTGCTAAATTGGCCACTCTACTCTTTCCACCATCATGACCATTTTGGCCTGTGTCATTTTGGCCTGTTTTTTAGTTTTCCCTTCTAGTACTGATTCAAGCTTTTTCAAGTCCACCCCTTTCCCTCCACATGGACTGTTCCTTCATCATCATCCGTCGTCCCTGTCGGGCGGGGTGAGTTGCTGTTCCTTACCCTGTTCCTGATGGTCCTGTGACACGTTGAGGTCCACCTCCTTCAGGGGTGACATGTCGTCGATCTTCCTCCGTCCCATCAGGTGCCGATCGCGGATGTTTTTCTGGTCGATGGAGCGTCGGTGCGCCCGGAGCGCTCGCTTGTCGATGCCGCCATCTTTCTGCTTCTTGTACGCGCCGGCGTGGTTTGCCACTCGGGACCGGTCCATTCTCACTGGAGAAACGGGGGAGAGAGATTTGGTTGAAGACATGATTTATTTCACTACCTCAATCTTATGTAGGTACTTCATCATGAAAACACAAGAAGGGCAAGAATGTTTAACCCTCACATAACAGAGAAAATTAACCTTATCCCTGCTACATACCTCCATGCTGCTACTAAGAGAGAATGGGGAGCCAAACTGCAACAACCAGTACTTCAGTGTGCTAAAGTTTAAAAACGGATAGTGTGTATCATATTGTACATCTTAATCAAAAAATGTATTGTGTACTTGCACATATATATAGATTTCATTCATAATTTTGAACATCTACTTAAAAAGTCCCCACTAGTGACTAGCCTACCTTACACTTTATTTTTTTTTTTATGCCTCAATCTTTTGTTTCTATTTTTGATGTGTGTGCCCATGTAAAAAGTTAATTCATTCCTCCATTCACGTTTGTGTTGCAGAGAAATGATTGTCAAGATGGCGAGAAAACAACAGAAGAAAATCACAAAACACGTCACGTCTTTCAAATCTATCATGGCAGACTGAATTTCACCACTCCACTCACCGTTACTTCTCTTCGTCTCTTCTCAAAAAATCAGCTTCAAATCCAAATCTTGGCCTCGACCGGTAGTCTTAGACGCCGGATTTACACCAGTTTCACTAAAATGTCCTAAACTATTGAAATAATCTTAAAATTTTGGACGCATGGGCTCTCCTGCGACCTCCTCGACTTTCCTGCGATGAACTGAAAATTTAAATCTCACCACGTTTGAATCTGATTGGTCGAGACAGTTGCGCGTGCGCATTTTGTACTTGTCAGAAGCGCCGACTAGCAGGTTGTATCAGTACTGCAAGCAAATGTTCACCATTAGCTGCAGTAACAGACAGTCACCGCCAGAGGCCGCTGTGAGACCGCTTCAAAATCAAGACAGCATCAAAGCATATAAGATAAAATCGTAATGGTTTTACTTATCCTTCAGATCGTTTTTGCTATATAAGCCATACCGAATTATTTATTTTGTAATAAATTTTTTTTATACTCATGATGCTGATTCAAATTTATTTCAAGCATACATAAGTTTATTTCCAGTTGTGTTTGCATGCGTTCAAGCCACGTATTCCACGCTCTGCGATAAAAAACATGGCAGGTCTGCAACGCCTTGTTCTGTCCGTGGCGGTTGTTCTGACGGCCTGCTGGGCTGCCGAGGATCAGAAGGATGAGATCTGCTTCCAGCAGCCACAGAGAGGCACGCTGTACCCGGGCATGCAGTGGCCGGGATCCACCGAGCACGCACTCACCGGCAGCAAGGCGCAGAGTGAGTCACACCACGTAGCTAAACCTGCAACAAAAGCATAGTTTTTTTGGCTCACCAAATAATTGTATAATTTGCAGTGGTCAGAACTGCCAACATCAGGGCACAATATACACCTTGAACCACCTGTCCTTCGTGCAATTACGCCTAAAAGAACTAAGAATTTTGCCATAGATAGAAACAAAATTATGGTACATGTAACACCTTGCAGCAAAAACGGCCCCTCCCCTTTTTTCCACGTGTGAATATGCCAGTGAAACCAGCAGGTTTTTCGTCGTTTTCCAAGTCCTTTCAGCACAGTTTTAATATGAGGTACTTGTGCAATGAGATGTAATGTTACCCCGGTTTGTGCCACGTCTTCAGAAACTGCCCACATACACACCTCTTCACACCTGAGCTCACCTGAAAAGGTGCACAAACTTCGAGCACCATTGTTGACATGTGATCACCTCTTATGTCCAATAATTTGAATAATGGCAAGGTTCAATGGGTAAGTTACTAACATTCAACATACATTTTGTACTTTTTTTTCATTTGTATGTGGGGAGATTGCTCAATAATTGTTCATCATAATAGTAAAATCATAACCACTGTTTTTTTTTATGCAATCATAATCCAAATTACGGCCTTTATACCATATCAAACTATACAACAGTATTTCTTTCTAATGCCAAATAATTGTACTTACAAGAGTTGTTTTATTGAAGCATAAATATCAAGTGCTATTGATAACAGGTATCCATTTTATGCACGAATGTTAACACCTGTGAAGCCAAACAGTCATTAATTATTAATAGTTTGAGAGTCTCCAAAATACTCTGAGAGTTACACGTATGTATTAGCATCCAGCCATGTGTATCGCCTACACAACAATAAGGACATGTTTGTTCTCATTTTTATTCTCCCACCTGGTCCACACATCTTTGTGCTTAGGTGCATCTAAAATAAGAGGTAACGTATATTACTGTATGTCTTTTTTTTTTCGCTACACGTAAGCACCTTCTTGAAGTCCAAATGAAAATTACATGTGTGTTGTAAAGTAGAAAGTTGAGCCTTCAACTTTTTATCCATTAGATCCACCAGTAAATCACTTGCCCTGTTTGAACAATTTTCACAATTTTTCATCACCCAGAGTTACACTATAACCCAACATGACGCAAGATGCCATATGGTAAGCTTGTACCTGATATTCAAGAAGAGAGTACATGTACTAGTAATTATGGCCCGGGTATGTTTACAAGGCCTGTTAATTTCCCACATAAAGTGGGTGTGCTTCCATGAAGGGTCTTATCCTATTTTTCTGCCGTACTTTTTAAAGGTTGATATTCATGTTTATGTTCCAGTCTCGAAGCCCGCGCCAGACTTCCAGGGTACAGCTGTGGTGAACGGGAAGTTTGAGGAGATCAAACTGTCGGACTACAAGGGGAAATACCTCGTCTTCTTCTTCTACCCGCTAGACTTGTGAGTACTGCTCTCCAGAACTTTCCATAGAACTATCTTTGGTGCTGTTGAATGGTGCTGAGTGATTATGTGAGTTGTCAAGAGAATCAAGAGAATACAGGTTTGATTTCTGGCATTCCTGGCAAGACATTTTGTCCTTGAAAAAGGCACCTCACATGACTTGGTTAGGGAGGTAAAAGGTGGTAGAAGGAGAGGGATGCCGTGCCCTAGACACAGTGGATTAACTATTGTGTGTAACTATGAGACTGAGAGATATTGATGTTTCATCATATTGTGATCACTCGGTATCACCATATTGTCTAAATTATCTAAAGCATGAAATTTTGTTGCCCTCTGCAGCACGTTTGTGTGCCCGACTGAGATTATCGCCTTTAACGAGCGCGTGGAAGAATTCCGTAAGATCAACACGGAGGTCGTGGGTGTGTCGGTGGATTCCCAGTTCACGCATCTCGCATGGTGAGTTCAACTTCTTTCCTACGCACAATATTTAGAGTACTACAAAATCCAGTTTGTAGTGTTATACATACAATGTATACATCCCAACAAGTTACCTACTGCTATGCACACATAAGGACAAGAGTGAATGCAATGATTATTTCTTTCCAATCTATGTTGAGCACGTTGGCAGAATGCACTGCGCCTGCGCGAATACAACCTTAAACAGAGGCGTTGCACACTTGTTTGTAACATCACCAACTTCTGTTGCTTGAATGTTCTCAGAACTTTTTTCTTTTTCCCCATAGGATCAACACCCCCCGTAAGGCCGGTGGACTCGGCCCCATGAACTTTCCCCTCCTGTCCGACCTCACGCACAAGATCTCGCGAGACTACGGAGTGCTGCTGGAGGACGTGGGACACACCCTCAGGTTTGTCTGTTTGTTTATTTGTTTGTTTGTTTGTACAGGTAGTTTGGAGTGACTTTTCTGTACATTTGTTTTGAACAGAATAGGAAGAAGAAGAAGTGGAGCAAAAACAATTTTTTTATATAGGGTCAATATAAAAAAAGTAACATTTTAACATCTTCCACAGGGGACTGTTCATTATTGATGACAAGGGGATCCTGAGGCAGATCACCATGAACGACCTTCCCGTGGGTCGTTCTGTGGACGAGACGCTGCGATTGGTCCAGGCTTTCCAGTACACTGACCAACACGGAGAAGGTACAATGCGCAGAGATTTTTTTTGGGGGGGGGGGTCATGAGGTGATGCATGATGCCTTTTCAGGTAGCTACTGGTGCAATACAACTTTGCTACAGCTGGTGTATTTAGCCAGGCATGGTCCTGGTCACCCCTACTCTTTTCATGAAATGACATTTCAAAACTTAACTATAGACTATCATAACAAATATGGAAAAATAAAGAATGGTGAGAGAGCAAAATCTTGTAGCAGAGTTTTATTCCATTGGTGAAACATAAGCTTAAGTGCTTTTCTGTTCCTGTGTGATAATTGTCCTGTTTTTGTACTGTTCTCATGTGATTATTGTCCTGTTTTTGTGCTACAGTTTGCCCCGCTGGCTGGACCCCAGGTGCAGACACTGTAAGTGTAACTTTTTTTTTCTAGAAAAATTCAAGGAATGAAAAAATTGAATAAAAGAAATTGAGCTCAAAACAGATCTCTATGACCATAGCTAGTTATTATGGAATCAAATATAATAGCATATTATATAGAAGAAAGAAAGATCTTTTGAAAATTTTACTTTACATTTAGCAACTAGTTAAATATATTTACTTGCAACCTTTGACATCCGTCTGATTTTCGTTTCAGATCATTCCAAACCCCAACGACAAGCTGAAGTACTTCGAAAAGGCGAACAAGGACTTGTGAAGAAGAGCCACCTTGCATGCAACTCTTTACTGTATTGCACCTTACCTAGCAATAGGGGCATTACCATCAAAAAGTTATGAAAAGTGTATCAAATTCCTTTTAATCAGTTTGTACTGGTATTATAAGCATAAACTTGGAGCTGTGAAAAATATTGAGAAGTCGTTGTCTAAGGCCTAAGGTGTTTCCTTTTTTTGCATCGTAACATTTCCAATTTTGTGAAAGAATGCAATCTTATGGTCAGTGGTATGTGGGTTGCTGTCAGCTATGCAATTGGCAGAAGTGGAGAAACTGGTATATTATAGCCACATGTGTTAGGTTGATATGAGTTTATTACATGGTATTGAATTGATCATGTATATCTACTATATTCTGCTCTAGAAGGAGGAATTAAAAAAGTATTGCCACAGAAAATAAAAGTATCCTATGTCAGTGTTCCCTTGGTTTTTAGATGAATTTTGTTTTGACCATCCACATAAGATGTACACTTTGTTTGGTGTCCTATTTTGCAGTGGTCAAATTTCGTTGTGCAGTCTTTGAACAATTTAATGTAGACTAAAACAGCATCTTGGGTTTCAAAGGTTGAGTATGATTCATTCCAGGGATGATCTGAGTTCATATGTTACCATGGCAATAAAGAACAGGCTAAGCTTTACAGCAAATAAAGCCACAAGTCACAACAGTTTGCGTGTTGTCTTCTTTTAAAGACTAAATTTCTGCTATATTAAAAACCTTGTAGTACACTGGGTCTTTCTGTACCCAGAATCCTTTCTGAAATATGTGTAAAAACCTCGAATTTGAATTGTTTTAGGAAAATACCAGCCAGTCAAAAGTTCCAAAATTTTGCGTGCAGTTCCAGTACTAGTCAGCAGGTGTCGCTTCTTCCGCTACCGCGGTTTGAACTTTTTGGCGGGCTTGACGTCACGCCGCCAGCTGCCAATCACACTGGCCCCGCCCCCAGGATACGGAACAACAAGTACACACGCTAGCTGGTTGCTGAGCTCGGAGAAAGGTCCGGGTTTTCCACGATGAGAGCTAATTAGAGGCGAGGTTTTGCGGTCAAAGCCACCAGAAAGAGGTCTAAAGAAGTAGAGGAGTGCTGTGGAGGTGTTGTAGGGGTCTAAGACGTCGGAAAGGTGAGTTTTTATCTTTAAGAAAAGTTGGCGATCGGCTGTGTTGTGTTGCACCGCCTCTTCCGGTGTGAAGGGGGAGGGGGGCGGGCTAGCAACATTTATATGATGTAGAAACTTTCATATAGTTTTCTTCCGAGCGTTTATGTTTTGCCTTTTCTGGAGTATAATTTCATAAACCCAAGTGTTTGTTTGATGTACAAAAGTCGACAAAAAATCTGCAAAGTCAGCAGCAGTTGAGGAATATAACAAGGAGTCTTTCCAAGAACTTGTGTCTTGACAAGGAGGATAAAAATCTGTCTCCAAGTCGATCATGGTTTCAAGACGATGGTATCTATCTTAAGATTACTCCAGAATGTTAAGACTTGTCTGTGAGGCACTATTTGGTGCCAGAATTCACCTATAATAATTCATAGCATTTCTTTCTTGTGTTAGAGTTTTATGATAAACTGGGAGAACTGACCACAAACATATCATTTTGACAGAAGAGGCAGATTGTTTTGTACCCAGATCATTGATTCCCTAGATGTAATTTTGCCCATGGGAAAAATCAGCATTGTACGAGGGCTTTAAAAGGTGCCAGTTAGGAATCCCTCCCATAGGACTAAACACAACAGTATCTATGATTACTTAGTGTTTATGTGCAATTAAAAAGATACTCTCACTACAAGTTGTGTGTCCAAATCTAAAGAACATACTATAAACTATAAACTGCCACATCACATATCAAGTTGTCAACACACCTGTTCAATACTTATGTAATGTTATATGTCTTCAGAAAGATATAGATTGCGTTAGCCTTTTAACTGAAGGACCACAGTCTTCTTCAAAGACAGAAAAGGTCTCAGAACATGTAACGGGTTTCCTTTCTTTAAGAACAGAGACTGTTTGAACAAGCCTCTGCTTTGCCTTTTGCCAACCTGGTGATAATCTCTGAACATGATAACTTACGAGTAAAGATTGGTAAATAAATACGATAAATAAGAAAGAAATGATTCTAGTCACATCATACAGTCAAGACACTTAGTACTTAGTGTCCCTTACACTTTGGTTACCAGGATTAGGTTTACCCGTGCTGTTCTGAAAGGCGTGGTCTCTCCTAACACATTACTGCTGTGTGAGTAGGATCAGCAGAGATCAGGGCCTTTGTTCTACACACCATCTCACCTGCACATTACACAAGCTCTGTAAATACTGCGGCAGGGGGGGACTCACACGTCACGGCTCAATGCAGGCAAAAAAGTCAAATGTCAACTGGATTCATCTTAAAAGATGCACTCAGACTCCTGACATACAAACCTAATCTCCAAGCAGATCTTTTGATGACTGCAAAACATACTAAGTAAAACAGTTAGTGAGTATTGAATTGGCAAGACTTTATCATTCGCGGGCAGTATCCAATATGCCACCCCCAAAAAAAGATACCAGTACAAAATGAAAGCCTGGGAAAAAAGCTGAAAATGGGAAAAACATTCAGTTTTATGATGAAATTGCCAACTGGTGTTTACTTATTACTTTTCCTCTCCATTTCCTCTTGAGCATCTTTACAAATATAGGCCATCTCAAAGGGGACAGCAGATCTATTGAACCTCACCCTTCAAGTCTATTGTTGTTGACCAGCCACAGCTAATCCATACTGGCAGATAGAAACCCACAGTCATCTGTCACATCTGACAACTTCCATCTATTCATGATTTTTTACCTCCCAGGAGGACACGACTGTACACATGTACAACACTGGTAACATGTCCTCTGGAGAGGTGGCACAGAAAATACAGGAAATGCATACACAATAAAATCATTATATTCTTCTTACCAAACTTTCTACGGCTGTTAAAAGACAATTAGCTGATTGCCAATTAAACTCAGCCCTGTTTTTAGGAATCCACCTGTTTTGTAGCAGGAATATACTATCTCCAAATGCCAGGGGAGTTCAGCCTAGGACTATTCCATCTATTCAGCACAAGTAAATACATTTAATCTTTAAACGTGACTTCAAAGAAACACGGAAGTCTTTGTTTTATAATGAGACCAAACCGCACTTCTTCACACAATGCTGCTGTTGTGTATAACAGGAACTCTTGGTAACGCTCCAACACTTCAACTGGTCTTAATAAGTTAATACATATCATCAGGTCACAGTCAAAAGGTTTTAAAAAGGACTTTGTTTGCACATCATATCAGACGCAATTTTCATGGTCAGATTGGGTAAACAGCAGATCTGATAATAAGTGAACATATTTATTCTGCCGCTGGTAACCGGATAATGGGTGCTGTTTAGAAACGGTGATACTCTCGCCTTGAAGTTATTTTTGTGTGCAGATTACTGAGTTTGCCGTCCTAATCCTGAAAATAAGTCTCTTATTCAGTAGGGGTTAGAATGTTTTGTGGCACAAATTTGTCACCTTGGTGATCGGTTATTAGAGTTCCATTCTGGTAATGGAAAAAGCTTGTTATTCTGTAATCTAATAACTTGATAATTTTTAATTAGACTTCCGACCTTGCTGGCCCATTATTGTACATTGTATATAATCGTGCTGCGTGTGTGTGCATAGCGTCAAGCGTTTCGACATATGTTACTGTACATCTATAAGAAACTGTCTGCTACAGAAAGGTAAGAGTTTGTAGAATGTTAGAGAACAATTTTGAGTAAGCTTTTTTTTAATCAAGTGTGTCAACATTACTTTTTAAAATTTAAGATTGAAAATTTTTTATTAAAGATAATGAGCATGTGACCCTATAGTCTATGCCTAAATTTTTCTGTTTTTTTTTAATAGCTTTAAACTTTAGCCTTGGCATTACGTAAGTAACCTTGGCTTAGAAAGACTGCATCAAGGCAAGATTCAAAACATGCTACAAGCCTACAAGTGATTTTGAAAGACATTTTCTTAATGAGATAGATAGATACAAGTACCAGTAGATATGTCAGGAGTTCTTTTCACGATTGTCACGACATTTTACTTCTGACTAATCGGAGTAGACTAGAAGTTTGAAAGTGTGACAAACGTGTGACAACTCACGTAGAAAATTACTGTTTACCCGTAACCCTTGACAACCGTAGAACCTGTCAGGGTAAAATGTAATAATTTGCATGTTTGCCACGTCGCAGGCATACAACATGCCGGGGTCTCTGGATCAGACTTTTCTTATCAGTTTTACCCAATGTAACACCACAATCCAACAGGTGGTTTTTATCTGAATTCATAATCTCCACTTAGAGTTCTGCATTCTTCACAACATATTGAAAATGACAGACAAAAGGAGGTAGGGTCTTGTCTGATTTGGTAACAGATTTGTGAAATTTTTCCTTTTGTTATATTCTGTTGATATGTCTTTCTATGTACATTGTTTGTCTTTATGTATATAACAGTGTTGGTATGGGTACTTTCTCATGGTTGGTTTAGTCTGCCTGTTACTACTGTATGTACCAACATGTGGTTTTCTATTGTGTTCTGATATGGGCTGAAAACCTAGAAATACATGTAAGATGACAGTTTTTCAGCTACTGTAATTATGAAAGGTGTAATGACTTCGTCTAATTATGTTTTTGTTGTCATTAGAGCTTGTAAGTTCTCATTAGTACACGTGACCCCTACTGGGAAGATAATGAGAGGCTCGTTTGAAAAAACATGCCAAACCTTCCTCGTTAGCAGTAAATTAAGACTAATTACTTGCTGTATACAGTGTCAGTTTGTTCCTGTAGTTTGCTGATTGTGTGTGTAAGAAGTTGTTAATTTTTGTGTCGGAACTTGAAGTCAAAGATAATATATTTCTTACATGTTGTTACTTGTAATTGTTCCTATTTATAGCTGACAGTATTCATGATTGTGGGGGCATTTTCTAGCAGAAGATGAAAAAAATTCAGGCATTTGTTGTGTGCATTGACTCTTGTTTTTGACATGTAGTATACAATTGTATAATTGTATATATTCTTTCATACGTTGAAAGTAGATAGCAGATCAACTGATCTTTATTTTTGTTATTTTCCCTTTCCCCAGACCTGTTGAACCATGAGTGAGACAGTGACAGTTACAGAAACCCAGCCAGCGAACGCTGACGACTTCGATGATTTTGAGAAAGCGCTGGACTCACTGATAGAAGAGGACGACAAAAAGGTGAGAATCTTAAGTTTTCTGCATTGTGTCTTGACCCTGAACGTCTCTAAAAACTGAAATATGACCTTCCACAAATACACGCAAGAGTGTTTTTACAACAATGGTTCTAAGCACCTGTAGAAAATACAGGTATTTGCACCAGTGGTTAGCAAAAACAGGTATAAACACACCTGTTACGCTGAAAACACACCTGCGTGATACAGGTATGTCATGCCTCAGTCTCTAAGAGTTACCTGGGCTGCTGTGGCCTCTGTATTACAAAATCAACTTGGCAAGAGGTAGATTTATTGTAAGTGGAAGTCTTGGGGATTTATTTGAACAAAGCACTTCTTACTGTAATAGGTAATAAGTCAATGTTGTCATGGAGTGAGCATTAGCAACTGCTGAGTCCAAGTGTGTGGATGTGTCATGCCCGTAGCCAGGGGGGGTTCGGGGGGTTCGGAAGAACCCCCCCACAAGGCTCAAAGGTCCACTTTTTGGTCCACTTTTTATGTAAAGGTCCACTTTTTGGTCCACTTTTTATGTAAAGGTCCACTTTTTGGTCCACTTTTTATGTAAAGGTCCAAGAGTTTTCTTGAAAAGATGGACTATAATCGTAGAAAAACTGCTCCCTTTGTCATTGAATAAAAACTTATCTCCGATTTTTTCTTTGAAATCCTCTCAAAAACGCACGAAATGCCATTTTAGAAGGTTCATTTTTCAAAATTTTCCGGGGGAGCATCGCCCCCGGACCCCCCTAGGAACCTCGCGCCTTCGGCGCTCGCCTCGCGCCTACGGCGCTCGAGGTCCCCTTAAGCAGTCGGAAGAACCCCCCCATTCAAAATCCTGGCTACGGGCATGTGTGTGTTTGGTATTACAAACAGTCGCTACTGCCAATTGTTCAGTGGTTTAGGCCATTCTAACAGGGTTTTTAAGTACAGCCACTTCTACATAAGGACCACTTGGTCAATGTGATCACTCTTTGGTGGTCCCTAGATATTTTTCCCATGGACACAAGCATTAAGAATCCTGTCTAGTGACAACTTGTCCACATAGACCAGATTTTATCAGTCCCCTGTATAGTCTTGGGCAATTTTATCTGTACCAAATATTATTTAGCTGGAACATGACTCATAACACTGACCACACCCCACTGACAGTTGTTGCCACAACATGAGAGAAGAGTCTAAATTAGGGACAGTCATCTAATAGCACGAAGGAGAATATCTCATAAAATATTTATGTTCTTTACTGTAACTCTGAAATGTTTCAACAAAATTGTTACCCTGCAAAAGAATTTATCAGCTATGCTGCATATCATTTAAGGATAATCCTTGAAACATTGAAAGTTATAAGAAATATTTTTCACAAGCATGGTGAATATTTGTGACCTGTCATATCAAATCATATTTTAGACCAATATGCCAGAAAAATTAACTGTTGGTTGTCAAACAAAACACATTCTTCTACATCAAAGGAGTTTCCATACAAGAAGCACTGATATGAATAATTTATTCTGCCCCAAATCCCCAGATAGTCCTCCTCAATAGTGTCAGTGTTGTGGGTTGACTGATGGACAGTTTTATTGTACAGTACATGAATACATGTAGATTTACTTGGTGAAGTGTTGCTAATGCAGGTTGGTGACCTGTGTACTTGTGGTGATGTAATCATATGATATTCTGAAGGATAAAACCCCCCTGTCATTCCAACTACAAGCCTGACTTGTAAAGTTGTATGTAGGTCATCCAATGCAACTTGTATTTTTAGCAGTTTTTGGTAAACACGGAAACTCACAAAGTCATGAATAAATGCTTATTAAGTTATAACTTTTTTCTAGGTAAACATCTTTTGATCACACGTGTCTTTCCATACAAATTGTATTTTTAGCATTTTTTGTTGGTTGGTTTTGAAACATGAAAACTGAAAAGTCATGAATGAACAATTTTTCAAAATATTTCAAACTGCAAATATGGCAAAATTTAAGGGCTTGTCATTGACATGTATAAGTTTTCATATTTTCGTAATTGAATACAATATTCTTTTTCCTTTTTAAGGTCGACAACAAGGAAACATCAGAAGAGGTAACCGAAGACAAGATCGACAAAGAACTTGAAGAAAATGAGAAGGAAGGCCAGAAGGAACCTGAGAAGTCTGAGGAGAAACCTGAAGAAGCACGGGCTGAAACTCCTTCAGGTGAGAAAAGTGATGAGGATGATTATGCCATCACAGACGAGCAGCGCGCGGCAGAACTGGCTCTTCAGCAGATGAAAGAATCCCTCGAGTACAACGATGACGACACTCTCATGGACGGAGATCCTCCGGAGTACAACGTCAAGGAACGTCTCAAGGAACTCAACGAGGAACTGGCCAAGGAGCCTCTCGTGGAGGAAGAGAGTCGAGAAAGGAAAGTGTTGTTTAAGGAGAACTTGGTTGACTTGGAGGTCCCTCCGCCAGAGTACAGCGACGAGGAAGCAGACGGAGCCGCGAAAACGGACACGACGGAAAACGTGGCAGAGGACGTTAAGGACAAATTGACTCTCAGCGAATCAGAATCAAACAGCACAGAAAACAACGCAGAAGCAACCACAGCTGACGATAGTGGAAAGGGGGAAGAGAATGGCGATGGGGAAAGGGTTTTAGTCGAACGGGAGGGAAAGTTTGAACTCGTTCACGTGTCAGAACTACAAGGAGAGGAGGAAAAGATACAGCAGTCATTCGCGCCTGTCACCACTGCAGAGAACAATGACACAACACAGGACAATGACAACACAGACGAAGCAGACAATGACAGCTCGTCCACGCAAAGGTCGCAGGAGACAAATGAGCTGTTGCCACGGCCACCGGACAAGCCCCGCCCGGCAACGGCAGCCGGCGTATCCAGGAGACCGGCGAAGGTGTCTACCCCTCAGCGGGCGCAGTCGGCGTCATACACGCGGGAGGAGTACGTGAAGAGGAGTTCGCCTTACGGTCTCTCGGACACGCAGAAGAAGCTGATGAAGGAACGACAGAAGGCGATCGCGGAGAGGAAGAGACTTGAGGAGGAGAGGATGAAGGAGGAGGAACAGAGACGGAGAGAGGAGGCAGAGGGAGCGTTCCAGGTGAGGATGTACCTGTACTACCTGGGGTCGGGTTTCATTTGGGTTGCCAAGCTTCAGTAGGCAACCAGATACTGTTATCTTTATGGTCACCTTGGCTCTTTTGGTTACCAAATGTGAGCTGTTTTTAAATTAGTTTTTCCCAAATTTGAAACTAAGATATTTAGTCAAATTGATTCTGTTTTGGTAATAAGGATGTGTAAAGAAGAACAAAATTACCGGTAGAAAGGCTTCTATATACATAGCAAAAGAGTTGACCGTGCTGTGTGTATGACTTTGTGCTGCCATGGCAACGGCCTTTCTGTGTTCTGTGTTGTCCTGGCACGTGAAGGTCATCAAAAGGTATTTGAAGAAGGAACTTATTTACTTATTTTTATTTTGTATTTTTTTACCCCAGGCATGGTTATCACAGAAGAGAGAACAGCACCGTCGAGAAAAGGAGGAACTTCGCAGGAAGAAACAGCTGGAACAGGCTGACCAGGTGAGGTGCTGGATGTGGTGAAAACCTTTAACCTTTACTCTGCTGCGGTGGCCTCATAACACAACAGTTGTGTTGGGTTATGAGGCTAGGCAGCAGAGAGAGGGTTAAGGAGGCATTTCATGTATCAGAAATCTTGTTCCTCCTGTGCCATTGTGGTGGGAAAGATTATTTTTACCACATAAAATATAAAAATTGCAAATAAAAAAACAACAAATCACAGCTTTTTCTTGGACAATATGCACCCTGCTGTTTTGTGTGCTGTGGCATCGTCACTTGATTTGCTTTCAAGAAATCATGAAAATCTTGATGTTGAAAAATTGAAAAAAAAAGTGGTCTGTCTTTCTCTGAAAGGGGTTTTGTACAGTTTTGTTAATGATGAGCACAATTTTATTCTGCTACAAAGTGCTGCCGTGTTTCCTAGAATGGTTGCAAAAATGACCCATTTGAAGCCATACATGGTTGGAATGAAGGTGTTAAACTTTGTACCAATTCTCACCTTGCATTAGCATGGTGTCAGCAGGGACGGAAAGCAGTCTGTCCCACCGGGTGGCTCAGAGGGAACGGATGAGGTAGAAAATTTACTAGTATGAGTTTCTAAGGGCTTGGTCACATTGATCATATGATTGTTGTGTGAACTCAGACTTGAGATAGCCGTGCTTTTGTAATACAAAATCCAGCAGTTGCAGTCTCATTATGGAAAAGGCTGTCATAGATCCTTGTCCATAGCTTATATTCCACAACATCAGACTCATATGACAACCTTCAACAAATGTGACCACACACAAAGTAGGTTGGCTTTAGATACAAAGGGACTGGTTGTTACTTCTTGGTCTATGTCAGTGTGAGATTGTTGTTTTTTTTTGCACCGCCATATTTTTACTACACTTGAGCAACTAGTTTTAACATTTATGATAGTGGGCTTTTTAGTTGCTTTTTGTTGTCTTACTGTAGCACTTCTCTCCTCTTCCTGTTGGTAACTGGTCCCATGTTTTGGTTTCAGGATGATGATGATCCACAGGAGGCCTACCAGGAGTGGCTCAAGGCCAAGAGAGACCAGAGAAAGAAGGAACGAGAGATAGAAGAACAGAGGAAAAGAGAGCAGGAGGAGGGATTCTACCTGAGAGCAAGAGAGGACTGTGATAAAGCTTATAAACAGTATGTATCCTTCTGCTTCTGAAACTATTTTTCTTTACACTGGCTATTTTTTTTTGTATCTTAAAAGCCAACTTAAAATGGCATTTGGATGCAAATTCTACCCTTACAGTAGCTACTGTAGTTATATATTGTGATGAATTGCTTAAAAGTGCACTTGAAAGGTCAGTGGAAGCCATCACAACAACAGCAGTGTTCCGTATCCGAGCAGTGTTGCTAGGTGTATCTCAGGTTACAAAACATGGCTTCTCTAATGAAGGGTGGACGCCCTCACTGAATTCTTTCTCTTACACTTCAAAGTCTATCCAGTAAAAGGGTAGATTTATAATGGCAAGAATGGTCTGTGTGTCTTCAAAAGAAAGCTGTCTGAATAGACAAATGAATGTTTTTGTCACAGTCAATACAGTAGCACTTCTTTCACTAGGTCCTTTTAGTCGCAGGTTCTATTGATGGATCTGACCTTGAACCTGAAGGTCAAAAGATCACAACTTTTGTCAGGAACGTGACTTTCTGGACAAGGAAACTTTTCGTTTGTATATTGGAAGTCAGCCACGAGTAAACATCTCAAACTAAAGTGTTCAGTTCAGGAAGGGTTTGCAGTAATTGATTTTAGGTGGTGTTTCAGTGCCTTTTTATAGAAACTTATTTGACTTGGAAAAGTTGTTGGAGATGTTAAATGTACGCTGTTTTTTTCAAATTTGAAGTTGCCAGACATGAGTGGTATTTTGAGTTGCCAAAATGGAAATATGAAATAGCTAACTTGACACTTTCCATAAACATCTTAAATATCTTAAATTTTCCTTCGTCTTCCTTAGGTGGTTAAGAAGGAAGAACAAGGAGATCCAAGAAGAGAAGATGGCCACCAAGAAGAAGAAGAAGCGTCTCAAGTCTTCCGAGCGCAAGTCCAGAAAATCTCAGGAGCTCTCGCAGGCCATCCGACAGGCACAGGCCTTCAGATACGTGGACTACTATGGATATCGTTTCTAAGAGAGTGGGCACCCTTATGTTGTGCAAAAGACGACTACAGTGTATATAGCTACACAGAGCTAGTTTAACTAGTCTAGAGATTTTCAGTCAAAAAAATTGATTACTGTATCTTACAAACTATGGTACACTGTAAAGTACTGTTGATTGAAGAAAAAAACTTTACTACCATATCATAATTTTGAGATGTATATTTTGTTCTGACATTGTACATGTTTGTAGCCTTTCCCTACATTGTATTTTCGTAGTTGAACTACCATTGAATGAGGAAAATTATTCAGATGTTACATTTAGAAAAAATGTTTTAAAAGATAGCCTTTTTAGTCTCAAAACTATGCCTTAATTAAGGTTTGTTCAACATTGTAAATAACAGTTACATTTGATGACTTCTGTTTTTGCTTATTTGATGTCTCAGGTTCCTAATTTGTGGTGCATTTGTTTGTTTGATCATTGGATTCTCTATTGTTTTATGCTTTTGTGTTAAAGTTCATGTAGTATTTTTTGTGACAACTTGATTTGATTTTTTGTTAAACCAAAAGAGAATCTGTAGTGTGACTGAAAGCAGAATGCTTCAAAAATGCAAGAACTTCAAATCAAACACACCAGTTTTTCAAGTAGATCATTCAAAATCTGTTCTACACTTAATGGTAATGAAGTACATGTACTTAGCAGGGTACATACTTTTATTTTTGTCTCTCGTGTTGCTCTTGCTTGCCTGCCAATTTTGAACAAATGTTTTATAATTATAGCCCAGAGCCGAAATTTTGTACAGACCTGCCAACATTTATGATCTCCGGGTTTTCCCCTGAACAGTATTCCACTACTTATTTTCTACTTCTTGTAAGTGACAATAATCTTCTTCATATTAGCGCCTTATTAGGAAAATTAGACGTCAGCTGATATTGTTCATGTTATAATTCGAGCAACAGACTGTAAAAAAAATGCTTTTACCTCAAATGTATTTAGAGACTTTAGAGTTGTGCAATAGTCACTAGCAGTAGTATCTGATTCTTATGTTGTGTGCAGATAGTTTGAGTAACAAAGAGACTTTGTTTTATGATATACCAAGGCTGTTGTGTGCTTTGTATGTATAGTTACAGTAACTGTAGCTTGGTCTGGAGTCCTGCCTCCAAGAAATCATAAGTTTCAAATTCCATCTGTTGTCGCTCACCTGACATATGCATACTATAGGAAAACGTCACAAACTGTCTTCCTTGGATTATTGAAATCTCAACCTCATCTCACAAAAAATGGACTGCAAAATCAGTGTAGGAATGGGGGTGTGAAATCTTTAATCAGTATCTAAATATAGCAGCATTTGCACACAGAAACACATCTAGGTTTGTTGTATGTTGGAAATTTGCCTGAATGATGCTCACCCATCAAGACTGAAAGTGCTTGAAAATTCAAGGCTATGTTGAATCTGTAAAAAAAAAAAAACACTAGAAATACAGACTAAAAGATACATTTTTCACTCTTATGATACATTTTTCACTTTCATATCAGCACTGTTCACACAATATATAACTTGGATTCAAACGGAGTACTCTGGACCACACATACTGTTACAGTATAACATATAACTCTAGGTGCAACATTAAAGACAATTCTCCATTAACTTAAAGGAGATTTTAAAATTCACTCACTCTAGCAGCATTTGGACAAGATTATCTAAAGATTATAAAAACTAAAAGAAAGTACATGTATATTTTCTGAATAAAAAAAAATTGCTATACAAAATTCTATTCCAACTCGATAGCAGCCTGTATTGCGTCCTGCAGTGCAGTTATCCAACTGAACTTCAGTTCGTATGTTTCAGCTGCACAAATAAACTTCCTCTTCGGCGTCACCATCTTGAAAGCATTCTTCACAAACTTGGAGTCCGCAATGTCACTGACTTGGATGCGGTTTAGGGAGATGCTGGCGAAAAAATTGTGGTTTTCCTGGACGCAGCGCTCGAAGGGGAAGTGTTTGGTGGTGAAGACCGTGACCACGAGGGCATCGTTGAAGAGGAAAAACCCAAGGTTCTGGATGTGGTGGTAGATCCTGCAAGTCAGAGACAATGATAGTTCATTGATGATACATTTTGAATGTTAAGGCTGTGAATAATGATGGTTTTGGAAAAAAGAATCCTTTGTTAACTTTGAATGACTTTGTTCATTAACAAATGACATGTAATGTGTATGGAAGTGAACAAACTGACTGGAACATAACATTTATTGGCTTATAGATGTGCAAATAAACATTCAAGAGTCTGACACTATCCTAGGAATCAACCCTTAAACTGAAGTACCAGTAGCTGTTTGGCTACCAATTTGTAGAGGGCTATGCAGCATGGAGAATGTCAACATTACCAGGGGATAACTTCTCACAACACTAAAGCACTGACATAAACAACACAAAGGATTTTTCTGGGTCTCCCACCTGAGTTCTGGCTGCACCTCATCCTTGGCAGGCAGCAGGTGAGCGAACACCTCCTCCCGTATGAGGAACCTGTTAGCCTCCAGCAGCATGGGACAGCGCAGGATCCGCTTCTGCAGGGCGATCAGCCGACGGTCACGCTCTGACTTCACCTTTAACTGGGGGAGAAGGGTAAGATGTTTAATATACATGTATATGGTTAAATCTCCAAAAAGACCACTTGGGACTATATGCACAGGTGGTCACTACAGAGCAGCATGGGACAGCGCAGGATCCGCTTCCGTAGGGCTATCAGCCGACGGTCTCGCTCTGACTTCACTTTTCACTGGGGGAGAAGGAAACTTTAAGATGTTTAATATACATATATGCAGTTAAATCTTCAAGAAGACCACTCAGGAGTCGGGACTATATGGACAGGTGGTCACTACAGAGCAGAATGGGACAGCGCAGGACCCCTTCTGTTGCACTATGAGCCAATGGAAACGCTAAGATTTCACCTTCAACTGACAGGGGAAGCAAAGATGTTTCATATTTATAAACTTTTCCAACTTTGCACAGGGTTAATCATTATCAGAGGCTATATGTAAGGTGGTATGGCCTTGTCCCAAGATTACTCGAATAAAGGGAATTTCAAACTAAGAGAATGTGTAAAAACTACAATGTATATAAACTTGAAAAAAAAAAACAGGGAGCCTCTGACTTCCTCCGAAACTGGGATGAAGGAATGATGCTTACTTGCAAACTTTTTTTTAACTTTGCAACAGGTATTACTAGCGTGACTACTGGTACATCATACAAGCAGCACCTCCACTGGTCAGGCCCCTACACTACGGTCAGGTCTAACACAGCTTGTACTGACTGTTGCAACTCAAAGAAAAACTAGCAAAGAAACACAGACTCCCCGCCCACCTCCTTGACATACTCCTCCAGTTTCCTGAAGTTCGCGATGGCTGATGTGATGTCCTCCCTGTCGGGATGGTCGGGCGTGGTTTTGTGGTGGAGCTCCCACAGCAGCGTGATGTACTCGGTGATGCGGCGGGTCGGGGCCAGGAGAACCTCCTGGAGGGACAGCATCTTCATCTGCGGAGTCTGGCTGTAACGTCTCACGTAGGTGCGGAAACCTGGCGTCTGCTCTATACACTGGGAATAAAGTGTGTGTAAAGTGACACCTAGGGTGCAACTGTAGCAGGAGTCCTAATGTTAGAGGTATGCAGAGACCAGAGGTCTGCTCTATACACCAGAAGCAAGAAATCAGAGGTTTCAGAATTTATTGGAACAACCAAGGAGAATGTATGTGACATATTTTATTTGGACACAAACTGTGCAGGGATGCAGGGTTTCTTGTACAATCCTTCCTGAATTTTCCCATTGACTTTTAATTCCAGATTGCTCTTAGCCAAATTCATGGACCTTTAGGTTCACCCCATTTCCTGTGTCTGACCGTTTGACCTGTAATTCTGCCTGTCAATCTTCCCCACCCACCTACTGTCCAGACAAGCATACACACACAAACCTTTGACAATGATAATGATTATAGCTTGATACATACCTTCTCTATACACCTAAGTGACTGCTCATAGTTGTTGAAGTAGTTGGAGTAAGCCTTCAGCTTGATGGTGAACTTGAAGAAGACGTCCCCGAGACACTGGTGAGGTCCCCACTCCAGGATCCTCCCCTTCACATCTTCCACCAGTTCCTTAGACAGCTCAAGGAGTTGCAGGGCGTTCCCGAAGATGTCTTGGATGTTGGGTGCACTGATGATGGCTCTGTGGTGTTAAACAATACCAAATGTGTAGAACATGAGTTTCTTTTACAGTTGTAGCATATTGATCAAAGTACTTATATGTAAACATCTCATTGTTTAAAACTTACCAATTACAAATTTCCTATTTGGAAAATTGTGGAGAAAAATAATGAGAAATAACTTCTAAATCATCAGCAGGTATTGTAGTAATGAATACTACTGCAGTAGCCTCCACCGGGTTACATACTAGTATATCTGCCACTTTGGAAAACAGTGTGTTTGACAAATGTCTATTGCAACACCCCAGGTCGGATGTGCAGGAGTATTATTATAATTATGCTTGATATTGCATTTGAGGTCTCTTCAGATACATTTTTCCATGGTGGTGGATATATGTGGCCTGTCAGCATTAGGTTAGTAGATGTTACATGTAGATAACTTCAGTTCTCAACAATATCAGACATATTTTGAAGCAGTGTGATAAAAAGTCCTACTCACTTGTTAGAAGACAGAGCATTTCTGAGAGGGATCACAAACACGTCCCTCATAGCCTGCAGGATCTTGCAGTACCTGACCTCGCTGGACAGCAGCTCATGGGCAACCTGGGTTCTCTTGTCAGGGTGGTCCTGCAGGGCGACGGTGCTCTGTGGGAGGGAAAATTTACCACTTTGTTACATGTACTTCTGGATGAGAAAGTATTGTTTTGGGTGGCCCAGCTGTGAGTTTGTTTGTTTGTTTTGTTTGAACCTTTTTTTTATTCATGAAATACTCCGTGGCAACCTGGGTTCTCTTATCAGGATGGTCCTGCAGGGCTACGGTGCTCTGTGGAAGGGTAAAGTTATCACCTTGTTACTTCCAAGTGTGGAAGTATTGTTTTGGGTGGCTGAGCTGTGGGTTTATTTGTTTGTTTTGTTTTGTTTCAGCCTTTGTTATTAATGACATACTCAAATCTGCTGGCAGCTTTTAATTGAGGTCATAAGGGAAGAGGTCAGGGTCAGACAAAATATAACAAGATACAGCTTACAATATTTGGGGTCCATAAATATATTGTCCATGATTATATAGTTCTACAGAGTCTATATAGTGTACCGCTAAATAATACATCCTTGTGCATACATGATTTCAGAAAAAAACACATATACAGCAAAAGAGTTCAATTTGTGTATGGTCCGTATGTTTTCCAAAGCAGTGGAATTATTGGGGGGTGTTACCGTAGTTTGCATGCCACTCACCACAGGTTTGAATGCTGACTGCACCATGGTGTCATTCTCCATCTTCTCAGGTCTGTCTGTCAGACTGAGCGTTTCCATGCCAACTGTGTCAGTTGCATCTCCTCCTCCCTCCAGATACCTGCCGGCAGTGGGGTGTACTGTCTTCTTACCACTGGGGTTGGGGGAAACAGCGAACAGTAAACATTACATAATACAAAATCTCTGCACTGTCTTCTTACCACTGGGGTGGGGGAGGACAACAAGCAGTGGGCATTATTATGTCATGGGTAAGGTTAATGGTTAAGGCAAAGGAACAGTGTTGTAAAGTCCTAACCTCAGCCAGCTTTTCAGCACCAAGGAGAGATCCTGTTTTGCCCTTAGGATACCTTCAAATCTTACCTAGCACTGTCCAACAGATCTTCCACAGAATTTCCTGTGGTTTGGGGATTACCTGCACCTACATGCCCCCCCACCACCACCCCACCCCCCTGCCACCTAAACCCCCCTTACCTTGCACAGTCTAGAAGATATCTGCCCAGGAACTCCAGTGGTTTTGTGATTTCATCCACTTGCATAACCTAATGTTCCCTCACCTCCTAAGATCCCCCACCTCCCTTGCCTACCCCCTCGTCCCTAACCCCCTCACCTTGCACAGTCCAGCAGATATCTGCCCAGGAACTCCAGCGGTTTGGTGATCTCGTCCACCTGCATGGCCACCAGCCCATCCCGAATGGTGTAGATAACGTCCTGGAACCTCTTCAGATCTCCCAAGTCCAAAACATCAAACACCAACTGACCTGTGGATGTAGAGACGTAGCATGTGACAACCTATTTGTATTTCATGTTTCCATGTCTAGTTTGGTATTAAAACAAGCTTATCAGAATTCTAGCTTAGATATGTGACTATTAAAACCTGCATTCAACTAGATGGTAGTTCCAGATGTAAGGCCATGTTGATTTGATTATATGGATGACATCCTTTGGGAACCCCAAAACTGATGCGAGCGTGCGAATAAAAAAAAAGTTTTGCAAAAAAAAAAAGTTGCTTTCATTATGAAATCTACGTGGTCATGAAGATTGAACAAATGACACAGGGTATGGTACTCTTCAAATTCATTTCTTTACATTTTCGTCTTTTTCGTTTGGTTTTGACATTCTACGACATTGTTATTGTTTTCCAATACTTTTTGTGCAACTTACAGTATATATTTGCTCATTTTGCAACTGTTTTGTACGATTTACAGCATGGTTGAAAACTTTTTTTTTTTTGGTAACGGCCGAAAATTGATGCGCGCGCAGATGTCATCCATATAATCAAATCAACATGGCCTAAAGTGACCAGGATTGGAGTTGACCCTTGATCACATAAATGGAATATGATGCACTTTTGTTAAAGTGTACAAAACAGAAATAAGTTTTATCTATGAAATTTGCTGTGAAATTTGTCAAGTTTTGGACCAATCAGCAGTCAAAACCTAGCCTGGGTGTCATCCTCCGTAGTTTCTGCCAGCTCCCTAATGTCACTGGCTACTAATGTCATACCACAGATAGCCAGTAACATTAGGGAGCCGGCAGAAACTACGGAGGATGGCACACAGGCTAGTCAGAACCTCTAGAGGGTAGTGGGTGATTAAAGGTTGGGAAAGTAGTTTCCTACCAGTCAGCTGACTGCAGAGATCCCTGTGTGCATTACTGAAGTACGTCCTGAGCAGCTTGTGTGTGACCCTGAGAGCCTCCTGTACCAGGTCTGCCATACTGGCCCAGGCCAGCAGCTTGTCCATGTTGAAGTACAGGGTTGGGGGAGGGGCGTGCTCCGGGGTGGCCAGCCACTCTGACTGAACTGGAATAAACATAAAACATACAAATTGTCAGCAATGAAAATTTAATCTTCCTATTTTCTAAGTCTTGGCTACTAGTCTAAGAGTCTTCTAGTCTGGATGCCAGCTCTTTTAGCTTTAATATGCTCTCTTGGTCACTTAGCTGCCAAAATAGACTGAACCTGTATAATTCTATCCATCAATATTGACAATTTTTACAGCTAATACCAATACAAATGTCACACCATAGATTAGAATATGTGCCATTTATTTTTTGTAACATTTTAGTACATTTTTAGTCCTTAAAATCAATATTCACCACCTTGATGCTCTATAACCATTTTCCTGTGTCATTTTACTCAATAACGTGATGGTAACAATTCCCATACCATGTCCATACTGTCCCACAATGCCTGTAGGTGAGGAAAACTGCATGCCGGTCAGAATGCCCATCTGCAGGATGACTTCCATCCCTGCATCAGTGGAGGCCAGGGGGAGGAACAGGTCCACATGCCCACCCAGGTTAGGGGCCATGGTGTTGTTACACAGCCGCTCAAAAAACTCACGGATGTCTGGTCGCACCAGGCTCTGCAGCTTCAGGGTGTGGCCTGGGGAGAAAAGGTTTTTGACAAGAGTTTGAGAATACAGTACATGTATATATAATGAAGTAATTACCTTCTTTAACATCGCACCTTCTAACTACAATGTACTACTAACATAATTCTGCCAGGACACATATATCCACCTTCCTGACAAAAATGCTTCTAAACAGATCTCCAATGCAATGTCAGCCAGTAAAATGCACCCCTGTATATCTAAATATACTTGGGGGCAGATCCTACAATGGATATATCTGAAACAGACTGTTTTTCAAAGCAGTGGATATGTTTAACCCAGCAGATATGGAGGTTACGTATCATAGGATAAGTGGGGCATTTTAAATACCACTCCTACTTGAATATACGTCAGACCCAGCAAACTCACATAAAGTCATAATGCTTTGGGCACATCTGGTGCTTTTAATTGAAAGTTTATTGAAAGTTTATTGCAAATTCATGCCCGAGGGCTAATTGCAAGAACATGATAACAACAGTAAACAGTAAAAATGATAATAAGTAATGCTAATGCTACTTTATATATACATTTGTAGTTATTGTTGGGTTTGATTTCTTTTCCGTGTGCAGTGGAGTATGAAATGGCCGACGTTTTGCGAGATATATGAATTGGGAGGTGTTAATAGAAATGCAGTTTTTTGTAGGCTGGAAAGGTGAATAAAGCTGGGGAACATTTTGGTGACCATTTGAAATAACTGATCTCTTTCGGTGCTATAATGACAGCAATGACAAATAAAGTGCATTTCATCCTCCACTGCGTTTCCTGTACAATATTTACATATTCTGTCGTTAACAGGCAATTGTTTGTATCTACCCTTTTCTATTTCTAATGTATGAGCGCTAACTATGGACTTTAATATGGAAAGTCTTGCACTATCTCAAAGCAAACTTCAGACCTACCTTTGACCAGATTGGCCTCCCCCGGTTCCCCGTCTATGAACAGCCCGATGCTCTTGGCATGTCTCCCCTGTAACGCCTCCTCCAGCCGCTCATACAGGGACACCAGCGTCGTCCCCTCAAACTCATACACGATGGGGATACAGCCAAACAGTACTGCATCTACTAACACCTGGGGGGAGAGAGGAAGGGTATGGTCACTACATGTACACCTGCATCATGGAGGACTTGTTTCAGAAGCACTGGGGGATCAGATGCTGGGATTATGGAAGAGCAGGCATTTATTGTCATCAGCACATGTTAAAGTAAGATGGCCCGACAGATGACATACAGTCATCTGTCGGGCGCATAGTATGGTTGTACAGTCAAACCTACCCAAGAAGACCACTCAGGAGACCAATATAACATGGTCTACACAGACAGTTGGTTACTATAGACAGGATTCTTAATACTAATCTGTCTGTCTGTCTGTCTGAGACACCGACAAGAAGTAGTCACATTTGACAGGTGGTCCTTATGTAGAGGTGCTAACTTGAAGAAGTTTGATTATACATAGTTACACTAATGTTATAACCTCCCACCTCTGCAGCTGGTATGCTGGATGATATGAAGATGACCCGTGGGTTATCGTGGCTGGGGTAGTTGCGACCCAGAGGCACCAGGTCTGTCCCACCCTTGTACACGGCAGGGTACGGCCCTCCCCCAGACAGGTCCTTCCTGAACAGGCTGGACAAAACATCAGAGAGTAAACGGTAAGTGTCAGTGTGACTTAGACTTAGATTAGACTTAGACATAGGAGCTCCTGTGTTGTTTGACACATAAAGCAGTCAGGATGTTCCAGCAACTTTTGTTGGCAGCCATTCTCTTTAGAATGTGGTATATATTTAACTTCTAACCTCTCACCAATCCCACCCTTGTACAGGTCTGGGTAAATGATACAGGCTATCTACATAGATCACACAGAGGGAAGGCCTAATAGTATATAAGTGATGATAAGAACAAGCAGTGATGTCTGGCTATGGTGCTGACTTAATGCTGTGATGGAAGATGGTTTCAACCCATACAATTTGTGATTCTATTATCACAATTAGATTTGCATACCCCAGGTATATACATGTATTGGAATTCAGATCAATCTAGGGCCTCTTGTATCAAGTATCACAAGGAAATAATTTCATAGACCAGCATATGTAACTAACAATGATGTCTGTCCTTGGTGCTGACTGAGGATGTTGTGAACAATACACAACTTCTCAGCTTCACAGTAAGACAAGATAACAGAAATGACCAGTGGCAGTGTTTTCACCTTTTATGCATCTCCCTGGCCCTGGGAGGTTCCCAGTCCTGTTCTATAGAACCCCCTGTGTCATTGTAGTTCTCCATTTGTACACTCTCTGTCAAGGTCACGGCCTGAGACTCTCTTCTAAGGTCAAGCTCCTCTCCAGACTGAAATATAGCAAAACGTTGAATGATGAATCAAAACTCATGACATCCAGAAGTACCATAAATTTCAAGCTTCCAATATGTGAAAACGTCTATATTTCTTAGAGCTAGGAATACAGTGTGAAAGTCATAATGATACGTTGATTTAGAGAATTAAGGTAAGGTTTCCATATTTTCAAGTGTTTAGTGAGGCTTACCTTCCACCAAACTTGGGCAGAGGAAATGCAGGGAAAGAAGAAGGAAAGGGTCAAGAATGCTCCAATCATATCAAGAGCTTTCACAGGACTGTGTCTACAGTAGATTAGGAAATGTATTGTTGTAGGTAAATACAGGACTGCATTGCTTTCAGAAACCCCCAACATTAGTAGTAATACCTGATTCTGTATGTATTTAATTTTGTCCCAGCCCATACAGTACAACTTACAGTAACAGCCCTGTGTCTCTGCTTCCTCCATGAAGACTGTAAACCATATTCAAACTTGGACGGCGCTGTCTTGGACCTACTATGGCGTGGAATCCCGAACTTATCGGTGTAAAGCGTCGCTTTGGTGGCCCTGTCTGGGTCATTAGGGTTATACTCTGCCAGGAAGGCCTTATAAGCCTCCTCATACTCCCTGGGTTTGGGGTCTGTGGGAGCCCAGGGGGGACGGATGCTAACTTTCTCCTCTGAAAAACAAAGCAAAAGTGTTGTTAATATTCTCCATCAGATATATTGTATCTGCACCTCAGATACTTGTAGCTGTTAACCTATCATTTTAATGGATAATCTAAGTAAGAGCGTACTTAATGAAGAAAAAAGCAAATATCTGCAATGTAGAACATGAAAGAGACATGAAGAAATCTGATGAGCAAAGAACAGATGATGATGATAGATTATTACCTGATGGGGTGGATTAACTCTCGACAATGTGAGCATGGAGCACCAACAATGTAGTTAGTGGAATGTAAAAGGAAGACTTTCTAAACTTTGAAATACAAATAGGGTCAAAAGAGGCAGCATTAAAATAAAACATCTGTACCATTCAGTAGACTGCAGTAATAGGGTATCAGGAAGTATAATGATTATAGTGAAACTGCAAATGAAAATGCTAAACTCACTGAAGTTCCCCCCTGATGGCTGGTATTTCCTTGTTTTTCTCCTTTTTGCCTTCTCGTTATCCTTCTGTATTTCTCTCTCCCTGGCATCTTCCGACACACCAAACCCAAAACTGTTGTAGTTGTCCGACTGTAAACAAGAAATAAGCCATAAAATTACACAGTGTGCACTTTTAAATGGTCACCTCAATGAGACAATGTTTATCACCTAAACGACAAACAAAAAATAAATGAATCTGATTGGCGATGACTGAAAGGTTCAATCTACCAACATGACTCAACCATGTCACATCATATAATAATCCTATATCCTATATCTGCCAACTTGAAAAAAAAATGCATCCAAAGAGATCTCCATTGCAAAATCCCCCAGTATAATACTAGTACACTCCTACCTATCTAAACTGTGCATACCTGGGGGTGCTGCACTAGAGATATCTCAAACACACTGTTTCAAAGTGGCGGATATATGTAACCTGGCAAATAAATGTGGAAGGCTGTTTATACTCACGGGTTTGTTTTTGACGACGGTGTCGAGTGTTTTTGTGCAGGCGATGTAGTGGTACTTCCAGCAGCCGTACTCCCTCTCACTGGGCGTGTAGGGCAGGAACCAGCCGTACTTCACACACTTAGGGATCCACAGCGAGTCCTGGGAACAAGAAGGAATAAAACAGCTTCACACACTGCTGAGAGTCCTGGGAACAAGAGTAATAAAACTGGGGACATCAGTTTTACAAAAGGACATGTGCATGTACCATTCAGGTTCTGAATCAACCCCAAAATACAACACATTTTGGCACCAACATTTGAAGAAAGTCCTTGTCTTCCTACTTGTTGCAGTGCATCTATTAGTGCAGTGATTTGATTTAAAGTAAAAATTCATTGTCTGAATCATAAACCAGCCTAATATACATGTAGATTTTTTGTGGTATCTATGATAGCATTTGGGTCCATCACAGGATGCCCAGACCTGTTTTTTCACCTTCTGGCTTCATCACTTTCCATGTAAAAATCCATGAACCAACAAATCAACAGTACCTGTTCAGTGAGGAACTTCCAGTGCCAGGACACGCCCGCAGCCCGACACATGCTGCGTGGGTCCAGGAAGGAGAAGATGTAAATGGAGAGGAACTTGGGCAGGACGGTCGTGAAGTCTATCCTCTCTACGGGAACCTCCTGTACGAACCAGTCCCGGATGAACATCAGCTGCCCACGTGTGCACTTCAGCAGGATGGTGGCCAGGAACTTCTTACGCTGGGCGTCAGTCCACACATCAAACTACAGGAACAATAGTAAAGTTATTATGTAAGGCTACAAAGATCATATTTATATATAAATATGCTGCACAGTGTTTACCCTTCACTTGGAAATAGTTGTTGTCAGCACCAAGGACAGGTCTCACAGGGTGTTATTGTATTGAGCTGCTAAGCTCATATATAAAGTTATATATGCTGTTACAAACAGTTTTCTTCCATCACTTGGGAAATTTATTTGCTATCACTAGAAAGTTTGGCTTGTTCAGCACCAAGGACAGGGCTAATGGGGGCAGTGCCAAATCAAGATCTGTTATAAATATAACATATCAATACACTCCTTACAAGTCCCTGTCTATCTTGTGCAAAAAAAGTATTTAGCTGAAAACTATGTTTAACAAAATTTGATAAATAAAGGATTTGACCAGTATTTCTTACCCAGTTACAGATTAGGTCTTTTCTCTCTTTGAATATCTGCAACAAGAAAAAAGTTTAAAAAGTCAAATTCCTACTCCACATGCATGTCTTCATAGTAATCAATAGCATCTCCCATAGTGATAAAAGAATATTTTTGCAAACTTTTTACATTCTAACACTCAAGAATGACATTGCTACAATTGTATGTGTAACAATTATTGGGCAGAAGAGTACAAAGGTTATCAGTGAGTCTATTTACCATAACACATCAGCCATTAATCATAGACCTTCTGCAAACATTACACAAGTGAAACAGGCGACGCAGGTAGGATAATGTTTGCCTTATATATGTATACTGATCTGGAGGAGATAGGAGATTGATCCATTTCAGGTCTTTGTAATTTCTATATGCAAAGTAAGGCTAAGGCAATGCACTAGTTATGCAGTCATAAGACCTAGTCTTAACTTTTGTTAGTTATCATGTTCAGTTCCACTTTATGATAGTTCTAGTAAACCTCCTTGGTAGAAGTGGGAAGTTGAAATGAGACAGATCATGTGATTGATGGTTGAAATGAGACAGACCGTGTGATTGGTCAAGTTAAATGATACAGACCGTGTGATTGGAAGGTCTGTGCACGATGGGTGTGTAGGCACTCTTCAGGGTCATCATCCTGTCAGTGGTGTAGGCGTCGGGCTGGAGGATCACTGACTTGGGCCTGGGGAGGGGAATGGAAAATGATAAAAAATAATCATTTATACAAAATCAAATAATGAATCCCCCATCACCTCTTTTGTTAGGTATCAAAACCTCACAACAAAGTGTAATGCTGATCACCCTGAACGTGGAAATCTGGAGTATCTGCTTAACTTTCAAAATCAAGTATTTCTTTATCTATGAAAATCATAACAAAAAAAAAGAGACTCAATACAGAAGGAAAACGATGTCCAAGGAAAAAAGAAGTACCATTGAAATCTGTAAATTACCAAATTCAAAATGATCAGCCTTCCCTTCCTTAAATGTATGGTCTGTGCTGGCATGCATGTCCCATGTTATTGTTTAGTTGATGAAAGTTTGATGGGTTAGAGAGTACTTCGAAGCAACCCAGAACAAAATGTTTCAGCTGTTATCCACCTGTCTATCAATTAGGCATGTACCCTCACACAAGCAAAGTAAGCCCATGTTATTGTTAAGACCTGTACCCTAATATTTTGAGTGACATACCCAGACTTTGTTTTAGACTTCTTGACTCCTTCTTGTAGTCTATTGTATCAAGAAAGGAAAATAAGAAATATCTATGATACTTGGTAAACCGAATTTTACATTACCTTAATAAAAAATGCTTGATACATGTCTACCATTTGAGTTTTAAAGGAAATTCAGAATTAAGATCTGAATTATTGTAAATGCAAAAAGGCACACTCAAGGCTCAGTTAATTGAAATTTTCTGTCTTCTTCCTGTTATTTTTTTATCTCTTTGGTTTTTGAAAGGACTATTAGGGTTAATTACTCTTAAGGTCAATTAACTTCAGGGCTGCATCTTTTCAGTGTACCAATTACCATTCATACTGCTTAAAGGTCAAACAACACTAATTTGAATAAATCAACATGACATTTCCTGAGTGTGTCTGTATCAGATATAGAATACTGCTGGTAAGAGTTATCCCACACCAGAAAATGGTACAGTCAAACCATGACGAAGTGGAGTCATCACTATGGCAACAGTAACGCTCACATGGGTCAACTACTTTGGCAAACATAACACCCATGCAGAATCAGTCAGTACATGTTTAAGGGGTCTAAGGTTGCTAGGTAATTAATGTGCTTAGGTTGTTTGATTACTGCATACTTCTACAGATATACGCTGTATACGCTGGGTATTGGAAGGAAGTGAGGTTAAAGATCTGCCCCATTCAAATTCACTTTTTCACCCTATCATGAACAGTACAACACACTATGAGGAAAAAAATTAACATTTTGAATCTTTGATGCTGACAGGTGCATAATCAGGCATATAATTATGTGAACTATGACCTTTATGAATCCAGGTTAACAGGTTGCACCTGCTGTGTACAGGTGGCATGGAGACAGTGAGAGAGGTCCCTCTAGATTTAGACACTACGGTTTCAGAAACTGTACAAAACTTAGATTCAAATGTCTCTACAAATATTGAGGTTATGCCCCAGGAAATGATTCCATACTATAAAGTATAGCATGCTCTTTTCATTGACATGATTGTATAACTTAAGCGTAGATTCTGTCACAAATAGAAAGGTAAGTTAACTTCTAAGATTTTGCAAAGTCCCAATCTCTATACAAATTTAGAGTGACCTGTGTGTGAGATAAATCATGTTGTATTTGCTTCTCACCCCAAAGGAAATTTGCATTAACACTTTTGTGCTTAGAACTGCTGTGACAAGTATAAATGTATTGATGAATTATTGAAAAGGGTGAAATACCATAACACTTTCCTGTGCATTCATCATATCATTGGTATGCAGAGATTGTGAAAGAAAATTTAGACAGTGCATAAGTTATTGAAGGAAATAGCGTCACTGGCACAATATGAAGTTCCCTGTGAGCCATCTGTCTAATGTGTGTAAACATAGGCTAAATTTGATTAGCTAGGCAAGTCAGTAAGACAATCCTATAAACCAATTTATCTATGTAAAAGAACCTACCCTGGTCTCCATTTGGTTGTCCTATGAAATTGCAATATTGAACAGGTAATAGAATATCATTATTAGATGTTGTTAACATTTAAAGCAGTTTGAAATCGTCTGAAAATACCGGACGTTAAGGACTTGCCAGCAAGTGTCAACTAATTATCACCTTTCCATTGACACTGTGCACACCTGTCTGGCACGTACAGGTAGCACAAATGCGCCATCAAGGCGTTGAGAGGTGTGACTACGTTCTTGACAGTTTATATGGCTTCAACTGTGATAGCTATAAAGATGTCTTTGAATAATTTCATCAGGTTGGCAAGAGACTGTATACATATGTGTGAATATGTACTTAGGAAGGTTCTGTATTGAAACAACATGGATTTTCACAACGGACATCTAGCTGCAAATACAGATCATAACCGTTGTGCCCTGAAGAAGGTAGCAGACGCACCGAAACGTCGGTTGGAAAATCCCCTGTCTGTTGAATTAAGAAACTTTTATACAATAAAGATATCTTACTTGTATCCAACGTGGTCGCGAGGCGTGGGGCTTTTTCTCATTGGGCTGGAGGGCCGACCGCCCCAACTCATGGCGCTACTCGGCCGCCTGGTCGGGGTAACTTTGGCGGTCTTCTTTCCCGGTGGACTCGGGGTCCGGGCCCCCATGCTTCTCCTCCAGTGGCTGCTCATGTCTCCTGGCTAGATGGGCACGAAATTAAGAAATGTGCTGCAGGCGACTTGGTGAAATAAGACCCGAAAAACTTTCCCTTTTCAAGTCTTTCTTGGCAAGACTTCAGTATTAAAGGAGCCTGAAATAACAGGCGACCTCCCTCCTATTCGAATGTTTCCTTCAGAATTCGTTGGATTAAATCTGGTGGTTCAAAACACAAGTGTTTGGATCACGACTTCGACAAACAAATCCCGTCATAGGTGATCATCGTCCCTAATGTAACACCTGTCAATCTTCACTGTTTCTTTCAATGGGCCGCCATGTTGGATCCTGGATACCGCGTCTGAACCGCCCCGTTACCATGGCAATGGACGCTCTGTGTAACAGTCTCGTTTGATCCAGTCCTGACAGTATTCTCAGTTGAAAATTTGAAGGAATAACAGTAACGTTAAGTACGTTGGCTCTGAAAAGAGAGAATTGACGATGTACTGTTTTTCGAGGAAAAAATTTTAGAATCGTTTTTTACCCGCATCCCAGCATGCACCTGCTGGGACCCATCGGGTCACCGAAGGTCACTTCCGCAAAGCGGACGGAGAAAATGTTTTCTCCAGTTTCTGTGTAAATTACGAGGCAAATTAGCGTTTGTTGTGGTAGAAGAGATCTAGAGTATGGAAGAAAAGAAGGCCCAGCACTCGGAGAAGTCCAAAATGTCCACATCTCGGCGGATGTCTGCGCCAGGCGGGCGAGAGTCGCAGCGGGAACAGGCGCCCCCCTCCCACTCCCAGTCCAACCACAGCCGGGGAGCGGCCGCCTCGGCCACAGCTCTGCCCAAACCGCCGCCACACTCCCGCTCTAACAACAGGGCCGTGCCCAGGGGAGCCAGCAGCGGCAGGATCGCAACGGGTAGGTCCACGGGTTCGGGAAAGGGCGATAAAATTATCTGGGGTGAACATTATCTTTTTGTTCACTGTGTAAATTAAAAAAAAATAAAAATTATGATGAAAATTTGTGATGATTTAATGTTACCTTTATTGCTGACATTCCAGGGGCTAGCAGCAGCCGCTCCACGGCGCGGCCTTGTAAGGAACACTCCTTCCTGACGGACGTGGCTGATGTCAGACAGATGGAACAGGGACTCATCTCACTACTGCACGACTTCCACTCAGGGAAACTACAGGCTTTTGGTAAGATGTAGGATTGTTGCACACTGATAAGAATGTTTGTATCAGTCCTTGTTTGCAGCTTAACATTACTATACAGATGATAAATCTTGCATTTTGGCAAACACACATTCACTGTACATGATATGCTGTTGATATAGAACATAAAAATGACACTACTTAAAGCTCCTTGCTCCCAGTTTAGAAAACTTAATTTCAGGTTTTCTCAGGGACTTGGTGTGAACGGAACATTTCCCACAAGGTCCTGTAGCATTAAAAATCATGACAGGGTGCCATAATCTTCATTGGCTAAGAAGACATTGTGCTTGTATTTTATACTCATTAGATGTGACATATCTTACATTTCAGGTAAAGACTGCTCCTTTGAGAAGATGGACAATGTTAGAGAGATGCAGGAGAAACTGGCAAGGTTGCACTTTGACCTGGATGCTGCACAGGAGAACTATGGGTAATTGTTGATGACTATATCATTATGTTTGTGGTATGGTGCTCAGTATACCCTGGTCTGTGAACATGTGTATTAATTGTCTGTTTAGTTATTTAGTGTATTTTCTAGTGACTGTAATGTTCAACCGTTATGTTGTTTCATGCAGTCTTGATTCTGAAGAAGCGAAGGCCTCAGCTAATAAACATCTTGATCAGCTGCTAGGAAATGTGAGTATACCATATGTATCAGTACACTAATGTGTCTTTTCTACATCTTGTTAGATTTTTTCGTGATTTAAATGACCTATTCTTTACTAATCCTACCTTTTAACTTTTTATTACAGTTGGATCAGCTGAGCCAGTCAATGTATCCTTTCTGTGGAAATTTTTTAAGTGTACAGTATAGAATGTGCTTAATTTCTGCCTGGATTGCTGTTAACATGCTATAAAAACAGTAAGTTGAGGCACTGGTAAGAACAGAGGCTAGGAACTGTAATAAGGACTGTAAGTATGCAACCAAATTGAGAACCCCTGACTACCTTATCTGTGTTAATAAAATGTACAGATTTCTTATACATCCTTGACACCTGTCTCCAGCCAGAGCCTGCATCCAAAAGAGACCCCTCCTGCCAACAGACAGGACACCACACCGGGATAGTTTAAGGTCTATTCATTAAAAGGTTACATGAGATTTCCAGTACCAAGAACTGATTTTAGAGGAACCCCTCATCCATGATGGTCATCTGCAATTTTGTTCTTTGTAAGGAAGAATTTCTGCACTGTGAAAGCTAAAATTGATCATGGTTGCTGCCAAACTTGTGTGCAAAAATTTAGTTCATCATGCAAAATACAGGCACACCTGGTCTGAATTACTACACTAGTGTACATATTGTGAATAAACATGTTTGTACAGTCCAGACAGTTGTCTTGTATCAATGTTAAGGTTTCCATTTGTAGATGATTGAAAAATGACAACAAGAAGACCATATCAGAGTTGATGTTTATTACACATCCAGAAGGTTGATATTAGATGGAATAGTGAGTTCTCTATCGCTTCCCGCCAACTCTGGGTGCTGCAGCCTTTACCGTCTTCGGGGCCTTGGTCTTCGGCGCAGCTGCCCGGGCCTTAGCAGGGGCCTGCATGGGGGAAAAATAAACACCACTTAATCATGGAGCATTTATGGAGGGGAACAACCATGATTTTTACTCCCACATGGACATTTATGTTATCAGGGGTTAGCAGTTAGCTTTGAAATTGCTCCTATTGTACCAAAGCAAAATTACTTACCTTCCTCTTGCCTGCCTGATCTGCCTTCTTCTTTTCCTTAGCAGCCCTAAATGAACACATGAAACACGGTATGAGTTACTCTAGTATATGACTATGACATCTGCAAAACATTGAGTCAAGAAAAGAATATCATTTGATCAAACAGTGGGTTACTAAAATCTCAGATTCTGGCCAAATTTGTATGACGTACAATAGATTTTTCAGTTACAGTGCAATGATTACATGTGAGTTTCCTCACCCATAGGGACCTATAATTACATAGGGACTCCATGCAAAAATGGTGACTACCCCATCTATGTTATGTCATCATCCACCTCAAAAATTTGTGAAAAGCATTAAAAAAAACTTGAAAATGAATTCCTTACTTGACAGCCTGCTCCCTCTGTGCCTTACGGACCTCTGGCTTCTGATTTCTCTTGGCCATGATCTCCGTCAGCGAGGCACCAGTGATAGCGCGCTGTGGGACACATGGAAATTTAATCCTTGAGATCAATATAGTAATCAATGTCATTCATGAATAATAATGTTGCGCTTGTGTGGTCACATCATACATGGCCATGGCCCAATAGAAGGCGATCATCGATAGATGACCTCACCCCGTTTGGTGGAATGTATGGAAATTACAGTTCTCTTTGGCCACAATTTGAAAGTATAGTCCACAAGGACATACAGACACACAGAAAACCCAAAACAATACTTCTTTCATTTATGGGGTGAAGTAAACATAAGCAAGTCAGATCATTTTTAGTAAGATTCTTTCAAGACTAAATATTTAAGATACATATATCTAATGTTTCAACATACATTATTATGGGACTCTGAATAAGAGTAATTTATGAATGGTTTATGAACATTTACCTGGAACTTGGCGGTTCTGCGGCTGCGTTTCTTCTGAATCTCCTCCTGCTGACCCTTCTTGTGCTTGCGGCGGTACAGCACCGTCCACGTGATCTCACGCGGGTTCCGCTTCATCAGGAATGAAGCTTCGCATTTCGCGTTCAGGAAAGTGTACACCTGGAGAGATAACAACAGGCACAGGTCAGAAATGTAATGTAAGAACCAAGAGACCATATCTCACACAATAGTCGAATTATTAATTTATAGAAATAACAGCAATAACAAAGATAGTGTCGTATGCTCATTATCTTAAATATTATCTTATGTCTAGTTCATGCTACTTACACCTTTGATGATCTTCTATTGCATAGCCCCCCATGACCCCCCCCCCTAAAAAAATTGAGAATACTTCCCACCATTTTATTAGTCAAACATAGTAGACAGCGTTTATTAGAGCCTAGTTGTAACATTTAAGTTCATTCATAATTTTATAATTATAGATAGATCCGGGCCACAAGATAATTTTATGTGGGTGCGAACTGAACCTTTTTACCCACCCCCCCTCCCCCTTAAAAACAAGAAGTGAGCGTACAGTTCAGCGAACATACATTGTCGCATCTACAATATCACTGACAAATATGGTAAGACATGGATACACCACAATTAGCACATAGTGGGTAAGGTATATCGATATATAAAACAGTTATTCCGTTCGGCACTGGTACGTACCCTGCCATCGGTTCTGGCATATCTCTTGCCATGGCCGGGGTATATTTTATACCCACTGTAGAGACACAGCTCGATCCTGTAGGGCAAAAATAAGATTCACAAATAAACAATCAATTCTTTAGCTACGGTTAGATGTAAAGATTGTGGATAAAAATTGTGAGATGACGGAGAAATACGACAGATTCTTTCAGATGTCGTCAACTCACTTCATGATGGCTCAAGATGGCCGACCAAAAAAGGAAGAACTTCGGGAACCACTTCCGGAGATTACCGAGAGCCTGTTCGGCATATTCCGTGCTTGCCGAACGTATTGCTTCGGCTCAGTCCGTGAAAACTGTTACAAGCAACGTGATTGGTTAGAATTTTTACAAAAGGTTTGAGGATACTGGCGATTTTTTACCACAATATTTAAATAAAAACTGGTTCAAATTTATGCATAATCTATAGTTTTCTTCCAGACGAGTTTGAAATGGCGAATTAATCTCGGAAAGTTGATGAAAGCAGAGATAAGATGAAAGTCGACTTTGACCAATCAGAGGAGAGGTTAGAAGTCAAGCGGGAATCATTCAAAATGGCGGATGGTCAAGAAAACCTCCCTGGAAACCGGGACCAAGGTGTGTTATTTTGCTGTTATTTGTCCGTCTGAGGCATATAAACGCTTCTTCTAATCCTCATTAGATCACAAAGAGACCATTGCACCAAAAATTTTGCTTGCCATTGCTTTAGAACCTCCTCTAGCGTTCAAAATCGTCCGTGAAATTTTGCACCGAAAACCGATCTTCGGATGTGACAAAACAAGTCAGGTTATGTTTCATACCAAATAGTGACTATCAACACTGATTTCGTTACACACATTATCGTACTTATCCCACTAAAGAACACTCTAAGACAACAGCTTTTTCCCTGCCTCTCAATGTCACTGCCCTGCCAGCTGTTTTTTATCCTTGAAGCAATTATAGACCTTGAGATGTCGTAAAGAAGTGGGCGTTTCTCAAAAAATGGACTTTTGTTTGAAAGGTCATTTGTGTCAGCTGGCCTGAAGAAAAACGTTGACAGTTTACTGTAACGCCTTGTTTGGGTTGGAGTATGATTGGGGGACCCTATTTTCTCTGTTTTCAAATGTAACCTCATTTAGTTAGCCCCGTACCTAATTAAACTAATTATTATTACACTATATCAGCACTCTGATAAGTTATTAGCCATTAGTAACAAATGAGATTACTGAATTTTTAGTAAGACACGCATAGCTTGAAAGGCCACATTTGTAAACAAGTCTATTGTTTGAATGTCTGTTACTTTTTCCAAGCTTGGGGCAGAAATTAGGTCAATTAGGTTAGTAACGTTCAGGTGGTAAGATTGTTCTGTGTTAGTGTCATGTTACTTAATGTATATGTTAGCCAACTGTTTCAGTGGTATAAGACAGACGTCGCAGGTGTCGTGTGTTTTGTATACAGTACCTTCTCAGCTCCGCTTGGGGAACGCTTGCGACAAGTTGACAGCCTTACTAGTAATAGGTAAACTGTCATAATTTAAAAATTCTCAGTGAAAAAGGTTGTTACAGTATGTCTTTAGTCACAATAGAGGTGAATGTTTTTCTGCAGCGAGGCACAGGAACCTAGTCACCAAAACTGGAAGCAAAACTGTACTTTTAAATCTTGTTTAGGCTACATGATTGATTGAGGCATAAACAGGCAAATTAGGTTAGTAATGTTCTTGTCCTATACCTAAAGTCTTTAGTGTTACATTATTCAATTCAGTTCAATCCATGTATCTCTGTAGCCAGCAGTGGTAGAGAGTCTACATCAAAACAAGCATTCTCCAGGCTTCTAAACATTTAGATCAGCCACCAATTTTATGGTTGGTCGTTACAGATAATTGGCTTTTGGGTTTGGCTGTTTTCACATTCACTCAATGGTGCTGTGAATGCCCTGTACATGTAAGTGTATGCTACACAAGGTCGTGCACTCTAAGTTAGACTCAGGAACTATTATGGACACTAGATTTATCCCCAAATGTTTCTTTAGTACAATCATGACTTTGTGTGATTATATTTCTCATGTACTAGTACATGCCCTTTTAAATATACTATAGAGTGTACCAGTTAAACCGGTTTTTACTCAACATGTATCATTTGTATTCTGTACGGAACATGTTATAGAGGTTGGATCTGTAATAATTTTTAATTAGTCAATTACATATTATAATGTAATCTCTGGAGTGTTTCAGAATTATTCCACAGAGCAGAACATATCACATTACCTTTTATGGGTATGAGAACATTTGTGTTGCTGTGGTATGTAAGCCCGAATTACGTCTGACAGCTCCATAGTGTTTTAGTGTCCTTTAAAATCATAGTTTGATATTAGGGAGGGATGGATGCATGGATAGGAAGCAGAAGTTGTTCAATGTTGTCATGTATTTTAGAAAGCTATTGGAATATTCAGTATACCATATAGCGTTTACAGGAGGGTAGCTTTTTACATCATTATGCATGAGAGAAGGTGAACCTTGACCTTACAGCACACTTTACATAGTTACTGCTCTCCTAGCTTCACCAGCGCTATAAGACTTGAGCAAACATTGTCAACGTCCAAAACTATTGGCTGGCTGCATTCATGTCGCTGGAACTAGGCATAGACTGTCCACTGTTAAGCCTGGTGTTGTGTTTGTCTGAGAGTGAAGGCTAACTCCAGGAGAGGGAGTGTTTAATCAGGTGGACCAGCCAAGTGGAGACTATGGCATTCACAAGCTGTTTCTCTTCAGTGTTCCTTGATTGTTGGTACTTGAGAGGTACTTGTTACTGGTATTTGAATACAAATTGTTTGTTAGAATTTATATTCCTGAGACTCTGTATATGAGTAAGCATATTCCCGGTACACTTAAGGCAGCAACATATATTTTCAGGAGGATTCATTGTTAAGGAAATTAGTTTCGCTACTTGAAGTATCATTTCCAAGTTCCAACTTATTCCTCGACACTCTTCAGAAAGGAATGGGCACGTATGTTCAGTTTTGACAAACGGACTACCAAGGGATCCCAATAACACAATTACACAATAACAGACATGCAAATTCCATTCAAATTATAGAAGACAGATGAGTAACTGCTTGTAATGTGATCATTGTTTTAGCCCAAGCACATTCACTCATATACCCATCAGTCAAAATTCTATATGTGGAATGTTTTTAATGTGTTCAGGGCTCTCCGTGAATAAGAGACCAATGATATAAAAGTCCTTGCCAACAGTATGGTCTGAGACTCTGATCACCGGACTACAGCCTCTACTCATTGCTTGCCATTTGGGGATGGCAAAAAGGGTCAAGTTCCTGGGTTAGAAGTGGGACATGTTCTGATATAATTTTGTCCTATGTTGTACTCAGGAGGTGACGGCAGAATCATGGACCTGAGCAGACGAGGCCTGTCGAGGATTGAGCTGCCTCCTGGCTCGTCGCCCGTCACTCTCATACTGGACAAGAACAACATCAGCAGGATAGACAACCTACAGACTCAGGGACAGATCCAGCAGGTAGGGAACACTGTTTGTGCCATGGACTCATGATGGAAGGCATGTTTTTTGCATCAGGTTTCTCTATTTATAGAATTTACAGGCAGGGTTCAAAATACTTAACTTTCCGTTTGCTGAGCCTCAACTGTTTCTGCCTGCAAGCTTGCAAAATACTTGAAATTTCCTTGCATAATATAGCAAGTTGCAGGTAATTTCAAGCTGTGACATGACAGCATTTTAGAAAAAGGCACTTTCTTATTCAGTGAAGGGGATGCCTTATCCTTTTGACAGTAGTATGTAACATTTTGGGAAGGATTTGGATCCAATTTCTGTTATAGAAACCACTATAGCCTATAGGATTTTTCATAATTTCTAAATACATTGTAGTTAAACACTATGCTGCTAGCCTTGAAACTAAGTCTATGTTATTTCTAACACATACCACAGGTAAAACTTACACATGTCATTCAGAAATAATTATTTTTGAAATCTATTATGTTATTAAAATTGGATGTGCAGTGATCAAATTTCCCACCCAGGGGACGTAGCTAATGAACACAAATGGCACAGTGACTTCTGCTGTGCCAATTTACAGGCTGTGTAGGTTGTCTTCATGCTGAATAATTGATACTGCTGGGACTTTATTGATTGGGAACTTCTAGTCGTTAATGCACAGGATGACATAGATGACCTTGCTTAATATATATGGCAAGTGAATCTGGCAGTATATATAGGTCATATTTTACCAAATTATCAATTAGTGAATATGGAGTCAAGATGACATGTCATACAATATTATTATTTTTTAAAAGATGTACTGCAAAGATTAAAAAAGCATCTTGTTACAAAAGAAGTTCTCACAAATTTATATGTAAGCTCAACAATTGCTTGTCATCATTTTGATGGTTGTAAAAAATCATCTTAGTTTCATATTTAATTATATTTATGGTGTAAATTTTTCGCTATACCAGTCTATGTCAGATTTAAGTATCTAACTTTGAAGTGCTCTCCCAGCTGTCTGTAGCAGGAAACAGACTTGTGCGGATGGTGGGAGTTTCCCAGCTGCCCTACCTCCGAGTTCTCAACCTGCCCAACAACAGTATCGTCACCATTGAAGGACTCAAACAGCTACAGCAGCTGGAGTGGCTCAATCTGTCAGGAAACAGTATCAAGGTAGGAAGAGAGAGGGAAGCATAGAAGGGGAAGGGAAACAGGAGAAAATATCGTAAACCTAACAGTATCAAGGTAGGAAGGAGGGAGGGAGGGAGAGAGGGGAGACATAGAGGGAGATTGAGAGATAAGGAAAAGCACAAGTAGATGGGAGAAAAGAACAGGAAGAAAGGAAATATCACAGAACAAAAAATTTGAAATGGATAATAAGGAAAAACAGCAGGTAAGAAATGGACAAGTAACTCATTGAATAGCATGATCTTTTCACTTGCTACTATGGCTACCATGACTCCATGGTAGCAAGCAAAAAGGGAGAGCCAGCAGTAACTATAGAGGATTCACCCGGGTACCTGTGCTAGTGATCTTTCCCATATGATATGATAATGATACATCTTGTCCCCAGGACCTGAGCCCCCTGTCCCCGTGTATGGGTCTGACCCACCTGGACGTGTCAGACAACAGCATCTCCAGTATAGCAGACCTCTCCAGACTCACGGGACTCAAGGTGGGCATGTAGACAAGTAATGATTGATAGTAGTGCTTTGTAGTGGATGAATATCCATTGAAAATATCTTGTCAAACCGAAAACTTCTAGATGTATCTCCAAGCTATTTGTTTATTGATAAAGGCCACATTCGACAGGCTCCATTCGATAGTAAAAACTTATATAGTACTACATTAGTAACTTTTATGCACCTGAAATTTTGGTTCATAACCCTGAAACTTACAATTGTGGCCAAGGTGATGTCTGACACTTTCCAAGCAATTATACTAATGATCAGATTTTGAAATATGTATTGATGATGTCTTTCATCTGGATAGACGTTACTCCTGCATGGAAACATCCTGACAACCCTCCGGTCCGTGCCCTCCAACCTCCCTCCCTACATCAACATTCTCTCCCTGGCTGAGAATGAGATCAGTGACCTGAATGAGGTACAGTTTCATATCTGCTAGTAAAGTGAGAGCCTTGAAAGTTTAAGGATACTTTTGGTACACCCACCTATTTATCAATGTATTAAAGATGCCCAGTAAGTAAATCTTCTCCCTGCTGCCTAACCTGCCAATAACCAATATGAATTTAGTGCCTAGTAATAGTAGTATAGCTATCTTAGCAGGCTGAAGGTTACAGCAAATAGAAAGATAGGTAAATCTAACCATTATACTATCAAGTCTGCAGTTTGTATGATATTGCTTGTTAGTACTAATGTGAATACAGGTCGTTGACCCTTTTTGTCTGTTGCCATGGAAACCAGGTGTCGTACCTGCTGTGCCTTCGCCACCTGGAGCAGCTGTCAGTCATGAACAACCCGTGTGTGCTGATATCTGCCATCCTGCCGTATCCTGCACTTTATCAATTAGAAGTCTTGTTAGGCTGCAGATAACTTAAGATAATATGCTTATCACAAAGGAAAATGTATGATTTGCTGTTTTAATGGGTTTGATTTTGTGTTTTCCTGTTTTTTCCCCAGCGTAAGACCAGAAAAGAAAAAGTTTGTTTTGTTCTTAGACTACTGTTATATTTCAGTACCTTAAGGTATAAAAGTTACTGCCACGGACACCATGTGACTCACCTTACCAGACTCAGGCTTGGTTTCAGCCAGCTGAACTACCACCTATTCCAGCATCACTGTATCAGTAGTCCCGAGTGCAAATGTGGGCATCCAAATGAGACACCAGATCACTATTTATTACACTGCAAATTTTATGATACTGAAAGGACCAAAATGTTGTTATCCATATCTTGCCTTCATCTTGAAAACATACTTTCTTCCGACCCACTCAACGTTAACGACGTCGCATTATGTACTTTACTTCTTACAGGTAGCCCCTCCCTCCCATACCCTACTAACTGCCGTATCTTTGATATTGTGTCCAACTATATCCACCACTCTGGAAGATTTGACCAAACTCAATAATGTTATGCTATAGGTATTGGTGCGCCAGCCACTTTCATTTTATGTTTATGCTACACTTTATGTCATCTTTATGTTTACTTTTGTATTATGTTTTATGAGCAGCGGATTTACATAAGCACAACAAGTGCTTCCTATCCAATGCTCAAAAATCCATGTGAATAAAATAGATAAAAGTTACTGTTTGTTAAGCCTTAACACCCTCCACAGTCAGTTTGAGTATCGTCCCTTCATCATCAACTGGTGCCTGACACTACAGATCCTGGATGGACAGCCCATCTCACGCAAGGAGAGGTAAGACATGGAAAACTGATCAGGGAATGTCGTATGTAGTTTGGAAGCAATAAACTCCATTGCATCATTTCAGAATTTAGATGACACTCAGAGAAAGTAAAGTTTTTCCCAAACAGTATACTGTATAGGTTTAAACTTTGCATTGATGATCTGTAGTTTGGAAGGAAGTTGCTAGGAGGATTGATATATCATTCTGCATCAGGAGCTTTCCCCAAATTTAAGCACTTTTTGTTTAAAGATAGATGCTTCAGCAATAGGAAGTGCCTATAGTATGCTTGTCTTTTTTTTCTGAAGAAATGATAATGAAATTGAAAACAAACTACAAAGAACTTAGGCTTCGGCAATTTTAACTTAAGAAGGGTCATAAGACTCACAATTACTAAGCAATTTTATGGACAGATACAGAGTTTTAAATCTACATAATGTTATTTACCATGATAACAGATGAATGTACACTGGAATCCTGAGAGTTGTGTTTGTGTATAGTTTGAAGGCAGAGTGGCTGTACAGCCAGGGGAGGGGCCGACACTTCCAGCCCGGCCAGCAGGCAGAACTAGCAGAGTACCTGTCCACGGTCTGTCCTCCTAGTGCTCAGTCACAGGTAAGTCTCATCACTTCTTATCCTCTCTTTCACATACAAACACTAATGTCAGTACACAAGTGCTTTTTCTTATGAAATCAACAACAACAGCCTGCTGTCATATATCTATGAAGGTTGGCTCATACTAGAAATCTCTTCATGCCCAAAGTCCAATAGTACAATTATGTTTTGCAACGGACTGTTCAAAGGCAGTTTTTTTTACGTGCATACCATTCTTCAATAAGACGACATTTCAGATAGCATCCACTATTTTTCACCAGTAACTGAAAACATTCTAACTGTTCTACCTGGATGTCTGAATCAATCTAAACCTTCATCGGCGCATTCTTTAACATGATGTTGAATTGTGGTGTTGAAGTTGTTTTTCCGTAGAACAATACAAACATTAATGCTGATGTTTTTCCTATGCCCAGTTCCTGTTTGATGACAGTAAGCTGCAGAAGGTTCTGTCCCAGCAGCAGCTGCACCAATACCAGCTGCAGCACCCGCAGCTCCGCCCCCAGCAGCCTGCACGCCCGGCCAATCAGAGCTCACCCAGGGGTCAGAGGGCACAGCCAGCCAATCAGAGCTCACCCAGAGCTCAGGGGAGGCCCAGGACATCACCACAGTCACCTGGTTTGTTTGATTTTATATCATGATACATAGGAAATAGTACAACTTGAAACTTATTATGTTAACAGTGAAGAATGGCACAATCAGCACCAAGGACAGGAACGATGGATATTTGCAAGAATGGTTTTGAGGCACTTTTGATTTCAGAAATGAGTATCTCATGACTTTTTTTATTCCTGAATGATAGTATCTGAATGAATGTACAGTAGTTTCTATATCATGGCACATAGGAAATAGCTTAACTTGAAACAGATAATTTTAACAGTGAAGAGCAACCCAATCAGCACCAAGGACAGGAACAATGAATTGTTGTAAGAATGCTTTTAAAAAATGAGTCTCTGGTGACTTTTTTAATCCTGAATAATAGTATCTGATGAATGTACAGTAGTTCCAACTCTGGAGTTCATATTGTATGCTTGATTTTTACATGACAATTGCAACTTATCAGTCACTTATAGCTGCTTCAAAACACTCATGAGATGTTTTTTTTATTTTCCAGAGAGGTCTGGTGCTGGGTATAGCCTGTACTCCCCTCCCAGATCAAGGTCTCCCACTGCAAAAACAAGGTATACTGGTATTTCTTATTCCTAATTGCTGTGAAATCAATCAATCAATCAGTCAGTTAATCATGAAATAAAGACAATTAATTGCTCAGTGTTTTCTCTGACACAAGGTATGTTTCTTACTACATGTATGTTCCTTATCAATTAAATGATCAATTAATGAATGAGTGTTTGTTGTTAGATCTCCCCCCAGACGTGAGTTGAGCCCTGGCCAGCCGAGGCCAGCGTGGGAGAGTTACAGCAGCCTGATGTCCAGCCGGGGGGCACAGCAGCTGTACAGGCACAACGGGGTCAGCAACGGCGACATCAGGGTGCACGACATAGAGCCTGGTAGGAAATGGGATTTTTTCTTTCTGTGTGATAAAGTCTGGACCAACAGACATTGTATAGAATGTTAATGTAAATGTCCTTAAGTTATTAAACTATACATTATGTAGTACATAAACAGTTCAGTTTTTTTTCAAATAACCTAGTAGTTTTTTATTCAGCATGGTCGTTTATGTCAGAATTATTCTCAGTAATATCTGAGAAATATATTTTTTCATGTTTCAACCTCCTATGCACTTGTGTAAATATACTAATTTGACATATCGGAAACATTGATTCAGAAACTTATTTTCAACTTCTCAGTTCCTGACCTGAACACCAGCCAGCTGACCTCTGACTCCTACTACATCCCTGTGACCCCTGACCGTCGACCTTTGACCACTCCACCCGAGGATGAGCTGTCGTTTGCAGACATCATGGAGATCCATCGTGCGAAGTACCAGCGTTCAGCGTCGGCATTAGATTCCCCTGTCAGACGGAGCCCACGAAGTCCGACAAAAAGTTACGCCAGCAACTACGCAATGTACCATGGGAAGAGTCCACTGAGGGATTATGGGAATGAAGATGAGGAGCGTTATGGGATGCCGGAAGCAAAGCATTATGGGAGGGTGGAGGTGAGATCTCCAAGGTCATCCCCAAGGTCAAAGGAGAGAAGGTACGAAAGGTACGATGGGAGGCCGGAAGGACAGAGGAGAGAGACGTCTCCACACTTGTCTCCTCCGTCAAGAGTGCCCAGGTACGACACACCTGACTCCCGACATGCAGCAGGGGTAAGGAGCTCACCAGAAAGGCACATGAGAGGTACAGATGAGAGGCTATCCCAGCATGTTTCACCCAGAGCGAGACAGTCACGGTACGATGCTTACGATTCTCAGGCTGTTGGCATGCCGAAGAACATTCCAGCATCCACTGACTCTCCAGCAAAACCTATTTCTATCCAAGATCCGAGCTCAGGTAGGAGTGCCTTCAGATCACCAAAGCCAAAGTTGCTCCAAAGTTCCGATACCTCTGCCTATGCCACGTATGACGCCAGACCTGTCGGACACCCACCCACAGCGAAACCAACAATGAACAGTCCCCTGACCACAAAAGTTCACTCCCCTGTTCCCGTGAAGCACAAACCAAAAGTGAAAAGTCCCGGCAAGAGTCCGATCAGTCCAAAAAACGTCAGCAAGAAACGGATGTTTCCTTACGATCGCAAGCCAAGCACCGACAGTGACTCTGAGAACATAAAACCCGGCGAAACCCTCCCGGCAAGAGAACTGTCTCATGTCAAGGATATCGTCTCAGGGAAGAGGATAAAGAAGGCGTTAACCCAGCCCGAGGAAGAGAGAAGAGGCACAGAAGACCTCAGCCCCATGCTGGGGAAGAAGAGCGAGCTTCCCAAGTGGGCCCAGCTGGAGGGGGAGCTGAAGAGTTCGTCCAGTTTTGAGATCAGCTACGACCAGATTAAGAAGATCACCGACCAGGAGGTCAAACAGACCAAAGCTGCCACTCAAATCCAGGTCAGATGTTACCATGGAAACCATGTCGGTTATCAGACACCCTGTCTGTAGATATCTGGACGCTAACTGTATTTGTACAAATCTAAAAGCAAGAACTATAACGTTATATTACTATCAGTAGTTCAAATTCAATCTACGTGCCTAAGTACTCAGGCATAAACTGGCCCCTTAATTGCTCTTCTTTATATGGTAAAAACCAAGAAGCATGATCTCTGGCTGTCTCTTCTACTGCTTGTGAGCTAGTATCAGCTTAAGAAAAAGACTCAAGAAAATTGTCACCTTCTATAGTGGACTTCCTGTATGTTTTTGGTTTGTATATTGAAAACTGTTACCACTTTTACCTAGGCTTTCATAGTAGATGGCAGGATGCTAGTACAAAAATAACGTAACTAAGGCCACACCAATTTAATTTCTTGGTTAACGGATTCGCCCGCTTCATTTTTTTCTGATTTGCAAATAAAAATAAAAATCCAGAATCAACTGCAAAATGCTCATATTTTGCCCTGAACAGTTGAAAACAGACCTTTTCATCCTAGTTGTTACAGTTATTCCATCTTTCAATGCAATGGTATCATTAAAAGTTCAAAATTCATTGTTTACATTTTGAACCAGCCTGGTGTGTTGACTTCATGGCTCCTATCGTACCATTTGGGCCATAATAGGATGCCTAGGCCTGTTTTTATTTTTATTTTTTTTTCGCCCGCCCGCTCCATTATTCTTCTATAAAAATCCGTTAACCAAGAAATTAAATTGGTGTGGCCTAATACAAAAACATAGTCCATGATGCTGACAAGAAAGCAGGAGGTTCCTGTTGTGTGATGTCTGTGTCCTGTGTAGTCATGGTGGAGGGGTGTGCACACCAGACAGACCAGCCCGCGGGTGGGGAAGGTACGGAGCGAGATCCGGGCCAGACGGGCGGAGGACCACGTCAGGAGACTGGGAGCTGAGCTGGACAAGTAAGTAACCTGTCAATAGATCTATCTATTAGTCTCTCAGACATCCAACTTAACTGTTAATTTCAGGTTTGCAATGTGGCTATGACCGCTACATGCCTCGAGTTGATAATTAGCCTGTAAGCTAAGCATCTTTGTTCATCTACTTTTTAAGAAACAAATCTTTTTTAATGGAAGAAAGGCGCCAGAAGTCATTCAAATGATGTTCTTGTAATAAGCATTAGAGAAAAACGGGCTGTTTTGTACTGATATAAGGTTATTACCAAAAGTGTAAACAGACAGAACTTGTGTATATTAAGGACATAATTATATCTTTGCTGTTATGGTTGATGTCATGTTGTTATCCAAGGTGTAAGCAGCAGTATGAACAGGAGCGGCAGGTGCGACAACTGCAGATGGAGGCCATCAAGTACCTCTGGATGCAGGTAAGAGAAAAATCTAAGGCTTATATTTCATTTCTTCTTAATGCATGTAGATAGGCTGTAGAATTTCCAGTATCAGTTCAAAGAACACACCTTTGTCTAAGTTCTTACTGAATTATAGCTAGCATAACGTTTGCTGAGACATTTGAAATTGAACGTGATTGATTTTCCAAATTGCTAATGCCTCTAGACCTAAAGTGAACATTGTCATTTTCTAGGTTTGGCCATTATGAAGTTGAATCCATCACTGAGGTACATGTAGGCCTATGAGTTGAAACTGAATGGTTATTAACATCTTATAATTATCCCCTTTCAGGTTCAAAGCCTTCAACAGTGGCGGGAAGAACAACTAAAGAAGGAGGAAGACGTCAAGCGAACACTAAGAAAATCCATCGAGAAAGAAAACTCAGAACAACAAGAAAAGACAAGCAGCACCTCCTCCGAATCCTCCCAGGTTGAGTCTGGAGGGGTGGGGAAAGGGGAGGACTGAGTCAGTGAAAGGGAAGGACAGGTTGGGAGAAGTGGGACCAGGTGAGACGTTCACAGCCAGCCCACGGCAGACAGACAAGGAGAGACAGCTGGAGAACAGGTGTGCTGACCTACAAAGACAGGTAAGTTGTGATTTTTCTTTCTCTCTAATACACAAATGCCATTTTGTTTACAGCAAGACTACAAATCAGTTGGAAGCAATGTATATATGTATCAGTAATTGTCAGTAGAAGTCAAAAGTAGTTAACAAAAGTCAAATACATTCCCACAGTCAAATATCTGTAATTGTAATATACAGAGGCCACAACATATATTCAGGATGTTTCTTTGTTTGTTCAAGAACTCTATCATATGCAGTTTGAGCCTTTGCCTTGAGTATATGTCTTTGTCTTGTTACAGGTTCTAAGACTCCAAGAGGCTCTGCTAGCTCTGTCTGACCATGTCTTTAAGGAACAAGACCAAGAGGAAGGAGAACAAGACGAGACAAATGTTCCTTCGACACCAAAGGGAGACAGAAGCAAAGGAGCAGCCATGGAGCTGGCCAATCAGAGCACTTTCATTCCAACCAATGGGGACCAGCCTGTCACAGCATCACCAGCCAATCAGGTAAGACATAAGCCATGATGCTAGCCAATCAGAGAACTTTTATCCCGACCAATGGGGATCAGCCTGTGACAGCTTCACCAGCCAATCAGGTAATACATAAGCCATGACGCTAGCCAATCAGAGTGCTTTACTCTAGCAGACCAGTATGTGACAGCACAAACTGACAAATAAAGAAAACAGATATTTCAGTAGCCTTATAATGTTACACAATCTCTCGTTGTCAGGCTGATTACCGGTAGGCCTCTTACTGAGAGTTGTTCCCAATATTCTCCTGACTTTGTTGGTGGTGGCCATCAAGCTTCTAGAGACCTGGCCAGTGGGAGGGCTGCTAGAAGCATGATTTAGCTGTACTAATATTAACTTGTCATGTGGTTAGCTAGAATGTTCCAGAGGCAATGTTGACTTGCCCTGTGACCTCTTTGTGTGTTCTTTCAATGGATGTACATGACGTGTAATAATTACCCGATTCACTTTGTCCTCAAAAGTCCTCTTACACCATATTCAGTGGGTTAAATCAGGTCACTGAGTCAGTGCTGAGAAAATTCTGTGATCCCATACATGTATCTACATACGCCCACCTCACCCAAAACACAGGAATGCAAAAAAAGACAAATGTACAAGTTCAAGTGTGAATAAGATGCTAAAAATGTCAGCAGCTTCTTGAGCACACTTGTGTATGGTCAGGGTCATTTAAGGACAGAGACTTATAGGGCCAACAGTCACATGTTCTGGAGAATGTCAGGTATGACGTGTCACTAAGATTTATGGCATAATTAACATTGCAGACCCATTACAACATGCACAATTAGTCTGGTTACCGCTCAGGCCCAAAGCTCTGACCTCAGCACCATAACATTTGTCATCATCATTTGAAGCCACAGTCCCAGACTAAGTCCACTCTTTCTGTCCAAGTGTGTTGAAACATTGAAACATGCTGATTCCTGACAGGAAGACTAGTAGATACATGTCTAAGGGTTTTTGAAAAATTCCACTTGAAATTGGCAGACAGGCCGCAGGGCATTCTATTTTGTAGTTTTGTATTGACATAAGCGATCTTGACAGCTGTACTGTCAGGTAAACTTCTGTCAGTATTGGTTAGTAGGTTCATGAACAGGATAAACTGTACCAGAGGTTGAAACGAGTACATTCTTTGTATCAAGTTAGAGATTACAAAATATGAAGGAAATGGTTGAATTTAGTTTCAATGAAATTCTACGATCTGCAGTGCTTTAAACAAACAGTAGGGGGCATTACTAAGTAGTTATCTTTTATGATCACTTTTTTATGAGTCCTAAAGTTTTGTAGGGAATATTGTGTAACTGATGGAACTGTACATGTGAATCAGAATACATTTCAGTAATCTGCAGTACCTTCATCAGACACTAGGGGGAGTACAGTAACAGTAGTCGTTCATCATTGCTGTCCCTTCCACAGATTGGGAGCATGGTGATGGCGTCCCCACCCCCTCCCCCGGGCTTCCCCAACCCCCCTCGTGCCTTACGCATCCAGAAGAGCGGAGAATCGGGCATCATCATTGCCTGGCAACCGTCACGAGTCCCCGGCAGTCTGGAGACGGTTACGGAGTATCGGATATTCGTGGACTCTATGCTGAGTGGCACGGTGGGGACTAGACTAAACATTTCTTGATGTATACTTTGTTATATACATGTGTATAATAACATGCAATTCTGTAGCTAAAACGATTTGATAGTATGTTTTACCTTCAAGTTTCTACCTTAGCAAGCTGAAGGTTAACTTTTAAAACCGTGTAATTGCCAGTAGCAAGGAATACTAGCTGTCAAGATGACATTATTACTGGATGTCAGAATGACATGTTTTCAAATCACATATCAAACAGTTAGTGAGTTCTGTTTCTTTGTCTCTTCTTTCCTGTGCAGGTTGATGGTAAGAAGACCCGTGCCCTAATCGAGGGGTTAGACCCACAGGAAACATACAGGTAGGAAATCTTCATCTTGAAGTTTTGAGGTTGTTTGTTCCCCACAACCCACCCACTCCGCTGTTCTGCTGCATGGCTTTGCATCTTCCTTTTGCGCCTTTTTTTGCAGAGCCAACACTTTTCCTAACTAAGCTTCATGTTGTGCCTGTTAACCTACATATGCTAGTCTCAATCATTTAAATCACAACTGTCCTAAGAGGCTGCCATAACTCACCCGTGCACTCACTTGCCTGGTTACTAAACCTATTGTAGCTGCCGAGTCTCTTTCATGCTCTCTGCAGATAGCAGAGAGTGCCCTCAGGTATCATTAATCACTTATCCCACCTAATCACAAAGTTCACCTGTGTTTTCTAAGTGACCACCTTTAACTTCTCTTCTGTTGCTAAAGAAAGCTAAATTTTTTCTCCTCAAAGTTTGAAATGGTCCTGCATGTTCATCATACTTCAATAAAGATTTTGTTGTATTCATAATCCTCTTCCTTCTGTACTCACCTGTTTGTATGCTGAAGTGCCTGTGTGTGTGTGAAACGTCTCCCATTATTGTCAACATTTCAAAGAGAGAGCACACACATATGTCTAACTCTTGCACGACAGAATCTCTGTCCGGGCGGTTTCGAGGGCCGGGGAGTCTCTGGACTCCAACCCTGTGGTGGCTCAGATCGCCATAGCAACCTCCATGATTGACAGCAGCAGCTCCGACTCGGAGTCGGAGCTCAGCAGAACAGTGGAGGAGGTTAAGGAGAATCTATCAGCCGATCAGAAAGTGCCTTCAGCAGGTGAAGGAAAGACGGCCACAGTCCCAGAAGCAGAGAATCATAGAGACTTAAGTGGTACAAAGAGTTCTTCAGGTAAGCCACAAGAAACAAACATTCCAGACGTTACAAAAAGTGCACAGAAAACAAACAGCAAAGAACAGCCACCACTTCCCTCTGCTCCAGTCCAGCCAACAAAACATGAAGAAAATGCAGCAATCGTCAAAGCATCAGAAAAAATGACTGAAGCTGCAGATGAACAGAAACAGGAAGGTCCTGAGTACAAACCCGTGAGGCAGGAGAGCATTGATATTGAGATTGTTGAGGAGAGAAGACCTTCACAGCAGCTCGACGTGGTACAGAAACTCCTGCAGGCCATCAAGGCAGAAGACGACCAGGACAGCAACCGTAGTACCCCTGTATCTGAGCCAGACCCAGTTAAACTAAACCTGGACCAGATCGAGGACTCACTGGACTCCTCCATATCCGAGCTGCAGAAGAGTCTGCCTGCTTCACCCAAACAGAAGTCAGCCCCTGATTTGCCACCAGCAGGATTCTTCCAGGCAAACATAGCCCGGCATTCTGCATCGCCTGATTCTTCACAGTTGGACTCGGATTTGGTCCTGCTAAGTGATTCCCTGAGCAGCTCAATTGAAGTAGTCAGGGAAACACTTAAGAAAGAAGATAAGACTTCTCCTGAGGCAAGCTTGCAAGGAGACTCCTCAGACTTGCAAGGAAGCAGTAACCATAGTGACCAAGACAGTGAACTGTCTGCTCAAGAAAGTCAGCCTCCCCCACTTCACAGCATCTTGCAGTCATCTCTAAGAAAATCAGCATCTTCAAAGGATCCCCTTGCAAAGCCTACCTCCGACAGTTCCTTCCAAGACTCGGGCATTGCAAGCCCTTCTCTGTTAGAGAGTCCTGTGCAGCAAAACATTGAAACAGCAAGGAAAATCTCAGAGGACAGTTCTGAGCAAGTGTCAGGACAAACTTTGCAAAAAGAGAAAGATGTAAAATCTGCAGAGAAGCCACAAGATGACCAGGCGATGGCAGCTCGCCCGAGTGAAGCATCACTCCATACAGCAAAACCGCAACAACAAGCAGTTGATTTGCTAGAGTTTTCAACTGTAAGCAAATCTGAGCCAATCTTACAACCAGAGAAGTCACAGGCAGCTATGAAAGGTGTCAGTTCTTTGCCTCTGAAACCAGAGACTGTGCAAAGTCAGACACAACAACTAGGACTACCCAGGCTGAGTGTAGGGGTGTCTCCAAGTTCTTCTCTCCAGACAGCCAGCAAGTCTTCAGAGGAGTCCTCACCTTTAAATCCTGCAAAGGAAGCTGCCACAGCACCTACAAGACGTCCTGTGAAGTTACAGACATCTCCAAGAGACAGGTCTGTGTCAGAAGGTGAACAGGCAGGTGCTTCAGGCTCAGACAAGAGAGCTAGCGCTGGTGGGACTTTGTCCAGGGAAAGGACTGTGTCTACGGGATCAGAAATGGATGATACTCCCTTACTTCATTCCCCCACTGCCATTCCACGTCCAGTTCTGTTCAAAACATCACCCAGGAAAGACAAGTCAAGCCCACTGTCAACATCTGTGGTGAGTTTTCCCTTTTTATCTTTATTGTTATCTATATGTTTTTATAGATTACATTGGTGTTTATGAATAAACCAGTCAGCCCATGGTAATGCATTCTAGGTTGACACAGTTGATAAAAATACTGCTGTTTTGTCACTAACAGTTGTTGTAATTTTTCTTGCTTGCCAAGTGATTGCAGCACTCAGGTACATTTACTTACCCTTATCAACTTATTATAGCTATTTCTGAAGATTATAAAGATTTGACAGTATTACTAGATTAGGACTTCAGCAGCCAGATTCTGAAGTGTATCCTAATTAGCAGGACACCCAGCTGGAATGACAACAGGAAGAAACTTCATGATGGCTGTATTGTGCGGCCCGTATTGTGAGTTACATAAAGTTTTAGTGTGGTGGCAAGGTTTAGGGACATTACTGCATAAAGTGGTCTTAAAAATGTGGGATAGAAGGGACAGTATTTTGTTTTCTGTGGAGGGATCTTGCTTATAGATGTAGGCTGTTCCTGACCCTCAAAATTGCTACTTTCCTCTGCAGGAGGATTTGACCTTGGCAGCCCGCACAGCACGTTCAAGGTCATCCTTTTCTCCGACCAAGAGTCCCGTCCGGTCGAGGTCCATCTCTCCCAACAAACCAATCAAAGGCAGCCGCATCCCCGTCCGCAGCAAGTCAGAGAAGGAGTTGAGCAAAACCTCCTGAGTCAGCCAATCACAGGAGGGTTGGCAAACTTTTGACCAATCAGGAGGCTGAAACTTTCAAAACCAGCCAATCTAAAAGCAGGGGTGGCAAACTTTTGACCAATCAGAACACTGAAATGTTTCTATTCATCCAATCACAAAGCTCAGAATTTAGAAGATGAATTTGAAATTGTATATATCTTGTGATCCAAAAAATGGATTTCAGACCAGTTACAAACCACTACAAATATTCTTAAAAAGAGCATGAGAAACATTTTCCCTCTATTTCCATGTACATACTGGTTTTAAAAAAGCCTTGTAATTTCTTTTGAAATTTCATTGGTGTGAAAAATGTACTACTAGATATCTTGGTTGTCTTCAAGTTACTGGTATGACCCAAACTATCCAAACACGTCTGGAAGGTTTATTTGTTGCACACATTTTCGTTTTGTGGAAATTGTACAGAAGAAGTTTTTTTTTCTATCAGAATTTGATAATGGATGTGGAAAAGTTCACTTTGGTCTTACAGATATAAGTAACCACTCCAGATTACTATATACATATACCACTGCTATATTTTCAGAAGTCACAATGTACTGCTTGTATAATTGAGCTATGGTAGCTAATGTGTGTGGTTGCCTTACGAGATTGTATTATACATAATCTTGCATATGATTATGACTGTATATATGATTGCTGCTACATGCTACAGTTGAACCAGAGAGTAAGCCACAAAAGAGACTCGAAAAGTTTATTTTCTGAAATGACTAACAGATTGAAGTGAACAATTTAGGTTAATACTAGACTTGTTGCAAAGTTGAAAGATTTTACTGTTGTTTTTTGTGTTTCATTTGATATCATTATCAATGTATAGCTTAGACGTAACTTTTACTAGGGAAACATTCATATCATTTGGGGAAGAATCTATTACGGTAGTACATGTATGTTACTATCCTCACATGTATATGGATTACTTTTGGATCCTGTCAGAAGTAGGGAATCTTGTTACCTACATGTGTATTAGCACATGCACCACACTGAAGTGTTGTTAGTTATAAAGAAATCTTTAAAGCTTAATGTGGAACTGTTGTGCCTACCCAGTGTCTTATATATTGTATATAACTGGCAAATGTAACATTATTAAAGTGGTTTATAAAACACCATGCTACATGTTGGGTTCAAATCTGTCATTAAAGTTTTAATGTGTCAGAAGGTCTTGTATCAAACCAAAATCAGCATAATTCAAATGAAAATCCTTTGTGCGATAGACAGAGAGGAAATAGATGCACTTGTTAGATGGAGGAGGCTGTCTAGATCACCAAATCTACTCCAGTCATGAACTATGATGAGAGGTGATATCATTATAAACTCAGTCACGTTTGGGACTGCATTCTTCACAGTACACCTCACTGCAGTGTGAAATACAACCAGTCATTATAGCCCTGAGAAATTGTAAAGTTGACAGTCACCAAAACGTCAGATAGGTATAAACTCTTGGTTGTGATCTCGAGCTCTAAGCAGATCTTTCAGTGGAAAAGTCGCAACTAACCAAATGGCGGCCTATTGAACAGTGTCTTGCCCATTGGATACTGTCTTACAGGTTGGATACAACTTTGCCACCGAAAAGATTTGTATGGAGATTATATTTGTTGTGAGAATCCAGGCTGTTCTGTGATCTGTCAGAAATGCAGTGGGTTAGAAAGCAGCCGGGTCTGACGTCCTGTTGATTGAATAGATGCACCTGAGATTAGGCCAGGTTTGCTCACGGCGACGCTGGAAGCTACTCCCAGCTATTACACTGGATATAACTCTGATGGACAGCACGTAATGTGCTCCCCAGAATAGAACAATTAGAAACTAACAAAACAACAAAAACTCTTGTGTTAAGCCTATCTTGTCTGTGGTTACAGTATGATAAAGTCACCAGTGAGGCAGGAGTAAGAGGTAGCAAGATTTTCAAACCATCAGGACATTTGAAATGGTTTAAAAACCTTGCTGTCACAATCATATCTGAATTGTGATCTCTTGTGGGAGTGACCTGTTGAAGTTGTAGCAGACATACAGGACAGACAAGATCAGTAAACAGTATAGAAGTACTCCTGCATTCTCCCAGCTTGTCTTCAGTATGATACTACATTGTATGTTGAACAACAGAAGTGCTATACATGGTTACCGTAATACTGTGTCCTTTTGATTGAAAACGCACCTGAATCCCCCCATGAGTTGCTACAGGCTACACCAGAAGCCATCAGTTAATACTGTCTGTGATAGACATCTAGTAATGTGCTTTGAATACAAATGTCACCTGTATATTATAGAAAAGTCTCAGAGGATATCTTTAAACCTTACTTGAAATAAGTTAAAAAGTAACTGTAGAGAAGCACAATTCAGTAACGTAGTTTATGAGGCATTGTTGACAATGTAGGTGAATGATCTGCTATTAGCACAGTGTTGATATTACATTCTGCTCACATATGACCCGCCGACATGCTACAATGTAGTCGGACTTGTTTCTGGGGACCTCCCAGGAGCAATACGTCAAACCCTGTCATCCTCGGCACGACCTTTCACCTCTCTGGGTCAGCCCACCGAGGGAGAGGGCCCGTGGCGATATGACATTTTTTCCTCTTTGTCACCTTTGATGTGGTGACATTCTCCCGATTACTGATGTTTCTCTTCTTTTGTTCTTGTTTTGTCCAGGACTGGTGTACAATGTAGATTACATGTATCACTGGCAGGTTTGAAAGACATCAATGATCATGGAAAGACCACACTTTCCTTTATATCAAAGCAACAGGGCTCAAAATACCTTCTACTGCATACCTGTACAGGTGTAGGTAACATTGAAAATTACCTGCACCAGAAAAATTAACCTCTGTACTACTTTCTTTAGAAATGGTCATCCTTGAATACTGTTTCGAAAAGATTACAGTTCTTTTATTTGGCATTTTGTAGGTCCAGCCAACAAAACTTCCAGATACAAACATACCTAGGACATACCTAGTACGTTAATCCTCGATACGGAAACATCAGAAACTCCAACTTAACCTACACTAACTCGCAGATGCAAGTAGTATTTTGAGCCCTAGGCATTGCTATTTTTGTCATATCATATGTAGTTTTGACTGACCCATAGTGCAGTACCGTTGTCTCTTGAGACAGATGGTAAAAATCCCAACTATATCTAGTTTTCAACCAAGACTTCTGAAAAGTTAAAAATTTTGTGCCTTTCCAAGTTTAGTCTGTAAGTAGCTGTTAATCCTAAGGTCTTCCTCAAAAGTGATCACAAGTTAAGAAGATAATCCTGAAGATTTGACGCATGTTTAGCTAACCCCAATCTTCTCAAACGATAATTGCCCCTGTTTGATTAGCTTCTATTGAAGCTAACCCCCAGAACTTAAGAACGATTTGTTCACAACTATTTATCACAATTTATGTCATGGAAGAATTCGTAATTAGACTGTTATACTTAGGGTCGTACTATATCATGCATTGTCACATGTCCCAAAAGATTTATTTTGATTTACTGTCCAGATTTAGTGTAGATAAAGATCAATAAATAGATGATGCTGAGTCATTCTTGCAGTGATGTGTTAGACAATCTCTGATAAATTTTCATGAAAATCATTTTTATTGATTTTGAAGAAGTCATGAAATGGAATTTCATGTATCGTTCATGTAAAAATGTGCTCTTTTCTGAAAACAGCTATGCGATTTTTTAATTGCTTGTCTAAGAAATTGTGACTTAAAAATGGCCACTCAGAGCTCTTATGTACAGGTGGTCACTTGTACAGTTTGGACTGTAAACCATTATCCCGCTGTAGTCTGCTAATAGTTACCTCCGGGTAGGGATGTATATCCCGTGCGCGGAGGTTTTGTGAGGGAAGACGAAAATTGCGTTCGCAGCCGTTTCTCGCGTTTGGGTGGACGGATATGTCTGGGACTTGGTATACGTTTCGCTGTTGGGCTGTAGATGGTGCACGTTGTTTTGGTTTTTTAGTATGTGTGTTTTAGTGCGTGAAAATGATGCGTTTTGACAGCGTATGGACACCCCTTGTGTGTGAAAGTGGTTTTGTCTTTTGGTTTTCGGCGTGTATAAAGTGTCGTAGGTTGCGTCCACATCTGGTGAGAGGGGGTTTCAGGTATCGAGTGTGAAAAATTATGGTCGCGCGGGTCGCAGCCAGCCAACTTCCGGGTGGGCCAATGGGTCAGGGGTCAACGCCCTCTTGCGCAATTTCGGATGTTTTCTGCGTATAGTACAAATACCGTGGTATACTGTCTCAGGCGTTCTCGACATGCATTTCGCGTTGGGGTAGACGGGACTCGGTGTATCTTCTGTTAATGGGCTGTAGATGGTGCAGGGTTTTTTTGTTTTATTGTATATGTGTTTTGGGGCGTAAGATTATTTGTATTTCGTGTCTCGGACACCCGTTACTGTTGTTAGTGTGTGAAAATGGGTCGCGCGGGTTGACCATTTGCGGTTACATCTTCGCCAATCAATCAGCACACTCGGGCTCGGGGGTCGCCGATGTTATCCTGGGAGCTAGCTTGGGGTGCCATCCCCCTACGCGAGTGAGCGATAATCTTCGGCCAGGGAAAGCCACGTGCACACGCCCCGCCGACCCTGATTTGCGCCCTGGCTCTCCTGGCCGGGTGTCTGTACAAAGCCTCTCGACCGCTGAGTCCCTGTGTTTTCGAACTTCGGTGGGGATTTCCGTGTTGTTTTCTGATTTTCATCATCCACTAAGATATACTTGAAGACCGAGCGTGATTTGAACTACTAGTAGTGTGGGATAAGTGGGGAGGGATGGCAGCCGCGGGGGAAGCGGTCGGCTTGATAAATTTTCGAGAGCAAGTTGATTTCTCACGCGGCCGTTTGTGTGGGTGTTTGTTTACATTATCGCTGGTCGCTGAGGGTCGGGCAGCCAGATTCGCCACGGGATGCCTCCTGTCCTTTCTATTTTTGGGCTCCAGTCGGCTAGGGGGGATTAGTGATTTCACAGATCATTTAGCCAATTACAAACATTTCGAAACTTTTCGAAAAAAAATGGTATTCGCGCGAATTCACTAGTTAATTTAAAGAACAGTCCCAACATGCACCCAACATTCTGCAACATACATTACAATACCCGGAGGTACAAAATCTACGATTTTCCTTGTTTCAACTGGAAAAGAACTGACACTGAATACAGCTGTGTACCCTATAATCTTCACACATATTTAAAACGCTGTAACTGACTGGTACAGTGGATGGACAGTAAAACCTTATTCCACTCTAGTCTGCTAGTGGTTTCAACTCAATACGAGCTGAAACTGAGCTGCCTTACTGTACACCCTATAATCTTCACAGGTATTTAAAATGCTGTAGACTAACTTGCATGGCTTAAAAGCATCTATTCAAATTGTGGACAGAGAGACTCAAACGGAAACTATGTTCAGGCAAATTTCAGACATGTCCTGGAGGAAAACGGCTGTTTGGCAATTAAAGGGGAATTCTACAAGATTAATGACCAAAGTGACACGTGCGACCTCATAACTGCTGAACACGCACTGTGTAGTAAATTGTCATTTTATGTTCCTTCACTATTCATTCAACAGTAACTGTTGGTGTTACCAATGACAGAAGAATGTTCGCCAAGCTTGCAAGAAATGGATTTTTAACCATAGTCTAGAAGTTTGTTGTTTTCTGTAGCCTGACCAATTGCCCTGCATATCTATTATGTTTGCGACATCATTTTCTGTCAGCAATTCGAGCAACTATCCCGCAGTGGATGCTCTGAACGAGGTCAAAATACCACCTACATATGCAGGTTATTCCTGCAGGTATTTCTGATGCTTGTCTGCACCTTACATTCACTGAGTGTTTGCCCAAACTTGGTGCACACTTCATGTTGGGTGTCACCTGCCTCTGTGCAGGTACTTGGAAAATGTTGTGTCTTGTCTGAGGAGATTTCATTGGCATTTTCCACAGGGTTGTTTTACATTGTGTCAAACTGTTCTCTGGGTAAAAAATTGACTTCTTGGTCATTGAACTATGCATAACATGTTTTCAACCCATTAACTATAGCCGAAACCGGATATGCTATATCTGTCTGTGCCCCTGGCCTGAAGCTATCATATATCATTCGCAACCTTTAGACATTAGTATAATTTTTCTTTAATTTGTCAAATGTACCAAAAAACAGTTGTGTCCCAGTTATAAGTCATTAAAATGATTTTATGAGGGCTTAGAATTTCACCAGTCAATGGGAAACAAAGATGATAGGGACACATGACTTTACCTCGAAAAGGAAATGCATGAGTAGAAAAATAGATTATAGTGGCTCTGTCAAAAGAAGAAGCAGAGTGACATTATAAGGTCACAAAGGTTGAAGCTGTTTTTTCTCTGGAGTCAGACCTCCAAGGTGCTCGTAAAGCAAAGTTGTGGAGCAGTGCCAACTACAGCAGACAATGAGGGCTTGATCAAGGCTTACACCTAGTCTGGTGGCACGGTTGACATGGCACCTATAGCTTTGATGTATTTTGTACTTTAGCTGCATAAGATTACTTGGATCCGGAGGCTAAAGCTGTAAGGTTCTGAATCAGTGAATGTTACTGTGTGGAGCTGATCTAGAGATTTCTGACTATACACCTGTATTCATTTTCCTCAAGGGGATTTTGGTTTTACCACTCACAGACACACACACACTCACACACACACTCACTCACTATCCAGTTTATCGTCTGTTGTTCCCCGTACTCCGAGGGCTAGACGTGCTTGCAGACTGATGCTAAAGATTGATACCAGGAGTTGATTTGTGTGTAGAGGATGCTGGTAGCATAATAACATAGGTTTGGGCTTTGTAATTGCAGTGGTGTTATGTTTTTTTTCCTACAGTGTATTTTGAACCTTGGTTCAACAGCTCAGACTTTGCTTTGTCTGCTGTGCTCTGATAAAGATCATTCATCTTTCTATATCCTCGGCAGTGACTTTGAGACATTCTTTTACGTAAGCTTGTACTTACAATTTGAGCTGGCTTGATTCCAAAAGGTAAGCACTTGACTCATCACAGTGTGTAAGATATCATATGCTTAAGATCTACTTTGGAAGACAGCAATACCTATAAGCCTACACAGGACTGTGCCAGGGGTGGCCAAGTCTAATCTGCCTATAGAAGGGGACTGTTTCAGACATTCTTGATTGTGAATGGAAACCTTGCCTGTGGTTCTGGCCTCCTCATTAGATGCCTTTAAAAGTAGGATGGAGGCTTGTCTAAAGAATTTGGTTGAAGAAGAGGACAATACAGTACCAGTTTATTCTGTTTGTCTCTTTTTGCAATATTTCAATTGTAAACAACACATTATAGATCAACTGAAGAAGAAAATATTTTATAACAAAAAGAAAGGACAACGTTTAGAAATATCAATTTTATCATATCCCCTCCCTAAAACATTTTTGCCATTCTCACCCGCTCCATCACTTCTGGTCCATCCTAACAATATCTAATGAATATTTTTCAGTAAGGTAAACTAGAGATTGAATGAGAGACAAGCAGACGCAGTGAGACACATGATTTTGAAAGGGTGTCAGGACTTTATTTACAGAACGTCTGGCTACAAGTTGAACCTTGCTCGTAACAGACACAAATCTTGTCAAGCAGATGTGAGGAGCATCGGTAATAAGTCTAGCTTTGTCTCTGTGCAAATAGTTGTCATGGTTACAAAACATTAACGTTGATATTTGGTCAGCAGTGTGTCAGCTTGGTGATCATTGGATAGACAAGAACAACAGCATCAGGGCCACACAAACACTTCACATCAACATCAATTAGAATGAAGGTGAACTCTGGTTGGTCAATATCCAATGCTGTAACCATAGCTACTGAGTACAGCATGCTGATTGGTCAGTAGTGTATCTTACAGTCCATGATTGGTTACTATTATACAGTATGTATTGCTTAATGTTATTGTTTAAAAGAGCTATTATATTATAGCATTCTACTATACCGGTAAATGTTTTTGCTTGCTAGTCTAGAAATGCAGCCTTGGTGATGGGTTCAAAATGTTGCTCTGAACAGGACAACTTCTTCATTGAAATTATGTGACAGTAACTATATGCTACCAATGGTGGACTGAAAGAGGAAAAGCTCCTCCATTCTTCTTAAGCAACCTTACAACAGTGTTGTTGCTCTGTCAATAAATTTTTAACAGCTTTAGTTTGAAATGTGTAACAGTATGTACAGTGTTCTGAGTATATGTACATGTATCATATACCCCATGTTTTGTACATGTAAGTACTGTGTGCTTGTCATATTAGAATGTACCTTAAGATATATACATACACCTCTTGTCTCTAAGTCTATATTGTACTCCAGCTAGTAGGTTTTAATTTTCTTCTTCTTTTTTTGCATTAATTTTTTTGAGGAATACATACAGTAGTACACATTTGCAACCAACACATCACTGAGGCTCAAAGTCAGACATAATACACTTCTCTAATACTGTAATGTTAAGGCAGTGTTTTCTTGCTGTTTTTCAGTCAGGAAATTAAGGATTTGTATGCCAGTGTATGACTGGTCATTGGGCTGTTGGCGTTATACAATGTTTTTCTGAATTGTGCTACGTCGATGAAGGTTAAGACATTCAGATAATGAGATACAGACTGAACAAAACAGTCACCTGGATAGATTTTGAAAACTGCCAGACCTTTCAACTAAATTTAAGTAGCATCCAGTAATGACAGTCTGACAGTTTTCAAAATCTGTCCAGTTGCCTGAGTAACTGTTTTCTTGTGTATCCTCCTGTCCTGCTTGGTCAAAACAGTCAGTAGATTAATCAAGGATTAGCATATTTGTATGTTGTTAATATTTTTGCATTTTTCTCCTGCTACTGTGGGGGTGGTTGAGGCGGCGGGGGCAGCCAGCCGACAAACACGGGCTGGTACGGACTGACCGGCGGGCCGTTGGCGTACTGAGGGGGCGGTGGAGGGGGCGGGGTCGGCATGCCGTAACCATAGGAACGGGGCGGCAAGTAGGCGAATATCGGCATCACCGGACCTGGTGAGGGACTGCTGGTAGCCATGGCAGCAGATGCCGTCACCCTGGCAACCGTCGACGTTGCCATGGCAACGGTTAAGGGCGTGACGTTGGGGAGGGACATGGTGCTGTTTGGGGTGGTGCAGGGCGGGGTGAGCCTGTGTTGCATGCCGAGTTGGACCCCTGGCGAGTTCGGCACCCCGACGGCGGCCTGCTGTTGCAGGGAAATCTGTACCCCCGGGGAACTGGGCAGCTTTGCGGGAGAAAAGCTGTGGACGACTGCAGGGGAGTTCGGGTACGTTGTTGGTACAGGCGGCTGTGGGGTTGCCGGCATGGCGAGCTCTGATCTGGACGCTGTCGGCTGGCTGGGGGACTGCATGGTGTGCGGGGACGGTGGAAGGGGCATGTCCACGGCGTGTCTGGGGGGCGTCATGAGGCGCTGGGGCGGCGCCGAGTCGAAGGTGGGGTGCGGGAGGTGCGTCTGGAGCACCCGGTGCACGTCCAGGGACATCTGGGAGTTCCTGAGGTGTGAGCGCAGGCTGACGACCAGCTCGCTGTCCTCCGGCATGTGCTCCTCGTGCAGCAGGAACTGCAGAGCCTCGTACGCGCACTCCGAGAACCCCGCCAGCACCGCGTCCGTCGCTGTGAAGATCACTCCTCGGGCGGGAGGGGCTGACGTCTGCTGGGGACAGTTCTCGTCTGGGGAAATAGAGAGAAATTTCCTGTTAGAAAAGTACAGAAAAGCACTCTGCTAGCAATGTACATCATGCATCTGGCAGGTCGCTAGAAGCTTCATGTCCTCTTTTTTATTGTTTTATTGTTTTTTTACTGTGACTTTTTATTTTTTTATTGATGTTTTAAAGACAGTTCTCGTCTGGGGAAATACACTCAGAGAAAATTCCTGTTAGAAAAGTGCTTCTCTTTCCAAGCACTTAGTAACACACTTAGTAACACACTTAGTAACACACTGAGTAACACACTGCGAGCCTGACTAGATGATTGCACAATATACATCATGCTTCTGGCAGGCCCCTAAAACTTGAGAAGCTTCATGTCCTCTTTTTCCATTTTATCAATCTTCAAAAGAAAAATAACAAAATTGATGAACTTTCCAGCGAGGGATTATATGAATGAACAATGATGTGATCTTGTACATAGTACATACTACTATATAGTTACATGTATAATGACAATAACAGAAATTCAGAGTTCTAAAGTGTGATATGCAAATTTATAATGCCGCTCCCCATGTACATTGGACCAACAGGTAAAATTCTAAGCATAGGGTGAAAAATATGCAATTGCCCACCCAACAACCGACCCACCCACGCAATGACCTACCCACCCCTGAGCACCACCCACACACCCACCCCACACCCTCTCTGCCAACAAGCGATTGTGGAACCCAAAAGAACAGAGGAGAAAAAGTCAACCTAATTCCACGATGACAATAGCCAGTGCTCAGGAACGCGTGTGGGTCCAAAGGCCCTAACACGATTACTTGTATAGAGAGGTTAGAGGCCAAGAGGTTTAAGAAAAAGAGGTATTTAAAGTAGCTTTCTGACAAATTAGAGCTTTTGTTCGTTGTTTGCTCCAGTATCTAGGCAGTAAGGATGTTATTGAGCTATGTCAATTACATTTCCCGCTACAGTTAGCAGGTTAAGTAGCAAACCGAACTGGTAACAAGATTGTATAAATCTGTAACGTTGTGTCTTTTCTCACTCCACCCAGGTGTAAAGGGGAACCTGACTTTGGTAAAAGGCAGTGGAAGGAGAGGGATGGGTTCTGCCTCCCAATGCTGCACCCAGACAAAGTAGATTAACGACCCACTGCCCCTGTGGCCTTAGAAACGCTATAGGACCTTTAACTTTTTTTAACCTCAACAACCATTGAAAGTATGGACAGCACCGGTGCTGAAGATTAGCATAACTTCAAAGCTAACAACTGATATATTCAAGTTTGTTTGAACAGTTTATATTCAGTACAAGCTTGAAGACATGGAAGAGTTTGGTAGAGAAACTTAAGTAGAAATCCCACCAGTCTAATGCAATTTCCTAACAAGATAAACAGAAGAAAAGAACCATTACAAATTTGGTACTGGGTCTATGGACCCGAAGAAGGCAAAGGTCTGGTCATTGGCCAGCTGGTCCATATGTGGTCACTTGTACAAAAACTGAATCTTTGTGTCACTATCTATCTTGACTATACATTTGTAACCCTACTTGTAAGACTTGTGTAAAGTTGTGTACTGAAGCCTTGTACTTGGCACGTGACTGAACAGGCACGACATTTAAGAGTACTACCTTTAAGCTGATGGAGTTATGTTTTTCCTGCTTTGTTTTCCCTCTTTTTTTTTAAGTGGCACAAGAAACAAATGACGTAATTAGTTTGGCAGCATCCATCCATCTAAGCCACATCCATCAACTTACAACACAAAGCCGAAATTGTCCTGATAAAAATAAAACAGGACGGAAAAATGCAGGTGTACCTTACCGTCAAAGGGCTTCCTGTGTTTGGTTAGTATATCCTTCCGATGTTGGTTATCGGTTGCTTTTTGTGGGCCGATGTACCTTGTTAAATACACAAACAAAAACTTATAACTCTCACTCGGGTTATGTCGGGGAACAATGGATGGTTAGTTTGGGTTCCTGGCTACGTGCAGGGGCTTTGTTTCTGAACCGCCAAGTTTTCGTCAGCTATTGTGCCGGAAATAATGCAGAGGAACTGAGATACTTGAACAGAGATCCGCTTTTCATATGCCGGCCAATGGCCCATGTAGCACTGGGTGAAGTACAGTCTGTAATAGTCTGGTCTAAGGCCACACCAATTTAATTTGTTGGTTCTCGGATTTTTTCAGGAAAAATATGAAGCGACAGGGCGAAAAAAAATAAAAATAAAAACAGATCTAGGCATTCTATTATAGCCCCAAATGCTACGATAGGAGGTATGAAGTCAACACAAAAAGGCTGGTTCAAAATTTAAACAATGAATTTTTAACTTCTAATGATACCACTGAATTGAAAGATGGAATAACTGTAATGACTAGGAAGAAAAGGACTGTTTTCAACTGTTCAGGGCAAAATATGAGCATTTTGCAGTTGATTCTGAATTTTTTTTTTTGCAAATCAGGAAAAAATGAAGAGGCGAATCCGAGAACCAACAAATTAAATTGGTGTGGCCTAAGTTGATGTTTAAGGCTTAACACCAAATCTAATGTTTGAAGATTAAGATGTGACCACTTTTTTGGTGGTCCCTTAGATAATTTTTCCATTGACATGAAGAAAGACCTCACCCTAAGGCCTAAGTGCTTAATATGTAATTCTAAGGATTGTTAAATCTTTTTTATTTATCAATTTGATTCCAGGGTAGCCAAAGACAGGTGAACAGATTGCAAACTTAAGAGGTCATAAATAATACAAAGGTCTGTCTTTTTCTTATTTAAAACATTCAGATCCCTCATAAATCCTGCACCAGTACACACTGACACCAACTAAATCTGACAAGCGGGACCCTTTCATGTACAGAGGATGTACAATTTAGATAAGGGGAAGAACGTTAGCAGCAATTTTCCTCACCCATCTGAGCATGAAAATCCCCTAATCCCACATTAGAGCCTGCACGTGTGTCAGGGACAATCAACGTCATTCCTTTCAAACGTTTTCTTCTGGATATCTTCAGAACAATTTTACAAGAAGATCCAACGTGGGATGAATTCCTGTGCTTTTGTACACACCATTGTGTCAGATACAGAATCTCCAGGAGATGTAGTACAGGGAATCAGTTTTGCCTGGCCTTAGGTTAGAACTTACTGCTGATGAAGTTATGTTGAGAGCAGCTCCCCTCAGGCAAGTCAGGCCCAATCACTCTGTACCTGCTGAGTGGTAATCCCTGCCTCTAACAGGAATATTTCCCTCACTACCCTCATTTCTACCCTCTAGGCTGAATTTCCAACTTTTAAAAGCAATACTGGAGGTGATTTTCATTTTTTTTAATGTGCTGTTAGTTGATCTGAGCTTGCTTTCATGATGCATTGAAAATTACCCAAGAATACAACTCAGGGACCAATAAGTCTTGTCTATGTGGACAGGTGGTCTCTCTAGAGTATAGACAGGATTCTTAATGCTTGTATCAATGGGAAAAATTATCCAACGTCAATATTAAAGAGACCACAAAAAGTGGTCACATTGGTCAGTTGGTGTGTATGTAGAGGTAGTCACTTGCAGTTAAGTTTGGACTGTACCAGTAAATTAGAGTTGTCTGGAGGCGTCCAGAACAATCTACCTGTGACGAGGCCCTTGGCGCTAAAGATTATGATCGATTTTGTGCAACTAATCTCCACCTGAAGGAGCTGGTAATTAAAAGCCAGTGTGATTAACTCCTGATCTTAATGAGCAGGTTGTTAAAACTGTGAGATAAGATAACACACACGGCCCATCTGGTGGTGCTGACATGGAGTAATTGTGCCTCTTAACACTTGTCTGTCTCTTGTCTGATCTCCAACCAGATGTAGTGTTTGGCTCAGTGTTTACACAATCATATGTTTCAGGCTAGTTTTTAGCTCATCCCTCCTAGACTTGTAAAGAGTAGAAAAGATACTTTTGGGTCTTTTGAGGATGTTGTGTGTATGTAGTTTATGTACTACTAAATATTACAACAGGAGGTATCAAACTTTGTATAGTATCCTTATTTGACTCAATTGCCTTTGAAATAGCCTGATGGTTTTGTTTGTTTGTTTAAGCCTTTGTTTATTCATGAAATACTCAAAGTCAGCCTGCTGACGACTTTTCATTCAGCTACACTCAGTGTCACTGCTAGCTATCCTTTGCGCACCAATATGTGCACCTTTTGGTTCAGACATATACTAACCAGTACAGGTGCGTATAATCGCTCTGGCCAGGATCCAGAGTTGAAAGTTCCCACCCTTGTACTGGGACTATTATTTCACCTGTGATGCTTTTCTTGTCCCTTTGTTTGTTTATTTGGTATTGCAATACCTGGACATGTGTTTGCCTTAGGCTGCATTACACTTTGACACAATGAGCATTTTCTCCCGATGACAACATTACGGCCAGGCCCCAGTTATGCTGTCTTGCTGTTATATAGACTGCCTAAGTTTTGGATGTCTGTTTGCGGCTTATTTTAGGATTAGCTTGAGAGAAAGGCTATTTTTTAGGCCTTTGAAAAATGCATAAAACATCACCAGCATTATGCAACATTGTAGGTAGTACATTTGTAAATCCACTGCCCAAGGCAGTCTCTTTAACTTTTATAGCCTGTCAATGGATGAATTAATGCCTGATCACTGCAGATTTGGATAATCTTCAGCACATCTAGATACACTTTATCTCATGCAAATTTGATTGAGAGTTTTTCCATAATTATCTTTGCAAAAATCAGTCCAAATAAGTTGGTAACAAAAGATACATTGATGTTCACTGGAAAGGAAGACAAAGGGCCTTCAGGCTAAAACTTGTATTTTACAGAATACACACTTTGATCTGACAAGTTCAAAGCAATATGGAAAACAAGTTAAGAACCAGTCATTGTGGCTCACCCACTCACTCACTATGAGGTTTAGCTTCAAAGTAAAATGTCAGGTAGTATCCTGGTTACAGTTCAATGTTTGACAAAATAGAGCCTTTGAGTTTGGCTTCTCCCTAACTCTAAGCCTTATCAAGTCTAAGCCCACACCACTTGCC